TGGATAAACAACAGGAACATTAAAAATACAGGTAGACCACCACAACAGGTAAACTATGGATAAACAACAGGAACATTAAAAATACAGGTAGACCACCACAACAGGTAAACTATGGATAAACAACAGGTGTATTAATAATACAGGAAAACAACAACAGGTAAACTATGGATAAACAACATGTATATTAATAATACAGGTAAACAACAACAGGTAAACTATGGATAAACAACAGGTATATTAGAAATACAGGTAAACAACCACAACAACAGGTAAATTATGGATAAACAACAGGTACACTGATAATTCAGGTAGACAACTACAACAGGTAAATTGGATAAATGACAGATACAATAATAATACAGGTAAACGACCACAACAGCTAAACTGTGGATAAACGACAGATACATTAATGATACAGGTAGACCACCACAACAGGTTAACTGTAGATAAGTGACAGGTATATAAATAATACAGGTAAACAACGACAACAGGTAAACTGTGGATAAACGACAGGTATATAAATAATACAGGTAGACAACCACAATAGCCTCATTTATCACAGATTTTCCATTTTTCTTGATAACCCTGCTAAATCCTTTTGTATCTATGTTGAAATTACTAGTAGAGGAAAACCTATACCTACATCAAATTCCCAGCTCATGTATATCTGGATGTAGAATAATCATTCTCATCACCTCCTCCTCAACCTTGAGTCAAGGAAGGTAAACTTTACTAAAACAATGGCCAAAAAAACAATCACGTCAAAGTAACAAATTCCTAATTAATGCAACTGCAATTGAAATAAGATTAATTTTTGTTACAATCTTGTACTCCTTTGTGGACTATTTCTCTATGCATTTACAAAACATTGTTTAGGGTTTTCTCAGAATATCAACAATGACAATCTACAATCAATAATCATAATTGGCATGCCTATCTAATCAATCTCTGAAAACATTAACAGTGATGTTTTAAAATGTTTTGATTGTAAGTCGATCTCACCTGCTCGGCTGGTACATTTTCCCAGGTGATCGGAAGTTCATGACAATTACATAGTCCCAGGAATGAAAATTTTCTGCAACCGAAACTTCCACTGATTGTCTTTTCATCACTAAAAAAAGATTCAAAAATCGTTACTTTACCTCAAAATATTTTATCTTTATTTGATTACAATTGTTGTTTAATCAGTACAGGTATCTCTGTAATGGGTTTACCAGGTAACATACAGTAAATCTTGTTTGAAACTCAATTGAGTTGAATACTGGGATGGTGTAGCAGATTTGGACATAGGAGTACTGCGAGGACCACACAAAGACATGGATCTGTGGACCACAGCCGAGGACCATGCCTATCAGATCCAGGGAGCTGTCTGGCCTTGGGACTTATATTACATGCTGGCAGGACCAGGACTTTTGAATCTCAAAGAAGGAGAGTAAAGGCCACTTAACCCCTCGTGTCGACTGAACACAGACCGAAGTCAGTAAAAGATAACGTAAAACACCTAACCAACCAACCAACCAACAAGCAGATTTGGACTGGGTTGATCACTGTGACCAGGTAGCTATGTTTATTTGGTAGAGTATCCGTCTAGGGTTTAGAGGTTACAGATTTGAATCCTAGTCTAGTACGTTGTATTTTTTGTCCTGTTATACTGTTAGCTTTACATATCTATCCGCCTCTATCTTCATTTCTTTTTTCTCTTCTCTCCATGAGGTTGATTTAAAGCTAACGAACATTTCTCAGAGATGTCAACCTGTTATATGAAACAAGAAGCCTGAATTGCCCGTAATGCTTAAATGTTATAGATTAGTGTTGGCAAACACATCTCACCTCTGTGACCTTCAAAGTGGGTCAAGGTCAAACATATTTACACAAACATCTTTTGAATTCACCAGATTATTGTCATTTATTCGATGGTTTGATAGTCCATCATTATCTATGGAAGTTAAAGTCCAGAATATGTAAAATCATTATCTATGGAAGTTTAAGTCCAGAATATGTCAACCAATCAGAATCTAGAAAGTACCTGTAATATGCAATGTAATTAAATATGCACAGATACTGTGCCATCTTTGAGCCTTAGTCTTGCCATTATGCAAGCATTATCTTTATTTGACTAAACTCCATAAAATACTTCAGGAACTTTTTGCATATAAAGCAATTTGAGATGGTTTGACAAACTGAAAACAGTATTTCCTGTATATTTTTTTTATGAAAAAAAGTTAAAAGGAAAAAAAACCACAGAGTGATATCTAACCTTGGATGTTTGGCCTGATCACCATGTGGGTGTTTGACCTTTGATCCAGCCAAGTTTGTCCCAGAAATATCAAGTGAGGTCAGTGAGGGCAGGCTTTCTAAAAGCTCGCTCATACTCTTCTCTGGGGCATTGTACAGCCAGGGTTCCTCGTCGAACATTGATAGGTCCAGGTGGCTACAGGTAAAAAGGATAAACAAAATATCTTGATATTTTGTATCACTTTATGAAGTCAAATTCTTGTCAGGTTTACTCAATTTTGTTTTAAGTTGAACTAGTAGAAAATATTGCAAGAAAGGTTGAGTTATTTTTATAATGCTCAGATCAATATTTGTTTCTGCTATGTGCCCTAATCAGAGAGACAGAATATACACAACCAATCAGCAGGACACAGAAGGCCAATTCTACGAATTTTATTGGCATTGAGCGAATATTTAACTCGGCAAACAATTTCCTGACAAACAGTAAACCAAAACACCATTTTTTTCCCCCCAAACTGAACATATAATAATCTTCTTTTTTTCGTAAAGGCCAAAAAACAATATGTATGTTTCAGGTATTATACCCTGACTGACCCTAGTTTTTTCCTCCAACCCTAACAATTTTATCTCAATCAAATAAACTTAAACGTCCCATTCAAATGTACAAAATAATCGTAAGTCTCATTATGACAACTTTGTATTTCATAGGCAGGAGTCAAAACCAAATTTGAATACAAGTGGTCTGAATTTCTGACCATGTTAGGTGAATTTTTTGCCTTGCAATGTAAAACTTGAACATTAAATTTGAACCTGACATGTTCAGTCTTTGAGCCAATACAAAAATTGTATTCCACAAAGTTTGTCAATTAAGCATTTCTTTCCAAAATAAGGGAATAACAAAATTTACAATTTTATGCAGATCAGTCAAATTTGAGTAATGTTAAAACTTATTTAACCCACAACTTGATTTCCTTTAAATTCTCATTATGTTTACACAGGTCTCGTTAAATCAAATTAAAAAAAGTAATATAAGCAAGTTACCAGAGATTTTTAGCTTTGGCAATTTGTCGAAGGCCAACGCCTAGATCTTTAATTTGATGTCCTGAGAGCCCCAATGATATCAGCTTTGGCAAATTCCCTAGGAACCCAAGGCCAAACTCTGTCAAACCAAGTCCAAGAAACTGCAGATGTGTGAGATAAGTAAACGAGGTAGATATCACTTTGGAGAAAAACCATCTGATATTTTCAGCATCTTTGGGTAGTTTTTTGTCTACATTCAGAACAAAGCATGTCAGCGCACGAAATTTATATTGTTTTACGCCAGAGGCGACATCCTCTTCATTTGCTGCTGTTGGAACAGTGATGGTCGTGTCACCGTCTTCATGAGATTGAGTAAAATCCTCATTGGGGTCTGCAAGATCGTTTGATTTGTCTATGTGATACCCTGACGCTCTACACTGTGGATCAAAAGAAAGTCGTAACACATTTAAAGAGTTACACATTTTATCAAAAACCGAAACTGATTTTGTGTTGTTGTAGTGATGATAGAACTGACAACAGCAGAGATCTAAATATTGTAACGGCTGATTGAAGATTGACTGCGGGAGGGAGGTAGACAGGTCATGTTCTTGTTGCAGTGACACTCATCTCAGTGGTGTCTTGTTGGGATCGCTAAACAGCGACATCAGCTGTACAAACTCAGCTTTGTTCCGAGTCCGGAGATATCTCCCTATGTAGGTAAATATCATGTTTGATAAATTTGTAGGGAAAGCGGACATCCCTGAAGTATTCTGTACAGTGTTGCATTCTGTTTTCGCTTCATCAGTCGGATTAATTAATGCTGATCCTGTGAGGGTTTCAAAGTTATTTGCACAGTACCTCACACACATGTGGAGCAATGGGTCAGGCGTTGAGGATGAAAGATGGCTCATTTTAAAGAGGACATCTGAAACAATAATTTGGAATTGTTTGTTTAAACTTTATTTTAATTACAAATATGCAGTAGATAATATAACATTATACAGAATGTAATGTTAGGGATCTGGCAACAAGAGTAGGCTCTTATATTAAGCCATCATCCAACAATGAGAAGATTGCAGTTTAACACAAACAGGTTAAATAACATCAATAATTATAAAAATTCAACTAATATAGCTAATTAAACAACCAAGGCCGACCATTAGTAATAATAGATAATAGGATCAGCAGTAGAGAATAATGTAAATATCTATTTTAGAGTATAGAGATGTAGGGGTAAGGGTTTGGAATTTGGAATTTGGAAGGGGGGAGATAGAGGAAGGAGGAGGGGGATTTTATGATGAAGAAGTGAAGTGAAATGGAAATCTACCTGTTCCAATGATATACCTATGCACCTGATTAAAGATTTCTGTATTATCATTGCAAGACAAATTTGGATCACCATGTGATAACTTCCTGATGTCCACGATTACCCCTAACTTTGCTATTGTTTCGGCTAGAATTGTGATATAGTTCCTACATTCCATGAGAAAGTGAGAAGTGGTTTCGATGCAACCACAGGAACACAGGCTAGTTTCTGAAACATATTTATTATATAAATGATGGTTTAATGAGCTGCATTCGAGTCGAGGCTTGTATGAAGTACCTGGGCAAGCCGTTTGCCGAAGTAATAGTGATCGGGTATCTTAGACTTATTCCTATTAAGGTAACGGAGGAAATAAGATTTAATTGGGTTGTTCCCTACATGTTCAGGTATCAAATTCCGTTCACGGATGGCTGTAGGAAAGAAAGAAGACATATAAATATTGGTTCTGCTATGTGGAGGATGCATATTAAAATTTGATCTTAAATTGTAACCTCGAGTGGAGCCAGTCAATGGGGGTAGGTGATTTCGTAAATAAGGGGGAGCAAGTCCATGGACTATATTGTACATAGCTTGCATCCTATGTTTATATCACCTGTAGGACAATGATTCCCATTGGGCTTCATTAGCAAGGGATTGTGAAGACGTGGACTTGGTTGCACCCGTCACAATACGAGCTGCTTCAGTTTGTAACTTTTCTAGATCAAGAATCTGCTGTTGGTTGCAGTTCCTCCACACAATATCCGCATATTCCAGGATAGGCCTAATATAAGTAAAAGAACATAGTTTCTAAATAATTCCGATCTAGTTGGAATTTCAGTGACCTCAATATACCAATTCTCTTTCATGCTTTCCCAAATACAATGTATGTTGTCAATATGTAAATGCCAAGAGCAGCTCTCTTCAATGGTTATCCCAAGAAGTATGTGACTACTGACTTGTACTATTTGTGTATTATTCATTATTAATGGCGGATGGTCGACTTGAGCACGTTTCCTAGATAGAATCATACTTTTAGTTTTATTTGGGTTGAAGTTTACCAACCATTGCTGTGCCCAGGTACTTATAGTAGCCAAGTCTCAATTTAGTAACTTTGCTGAGCGAGTCGGATTTCCAACTATGATGTAAAGTGAGTATCGTCTGCAATCAAACGAATACTAGCATTTATACTATTAACAATATCATTAATATAAATGATAAACAGAAGAGGCCCTAGTATTGAGCCTTGTGGCACACATGTCTGTAGCTTTCCTTTAGCAGATGAATTCACTTCAACAATTACTTTTTGACTGCATCCATCGAGATAGCTCACAAACCAAGATAATAATGTACCAGAAATACCATTTTGCTTAAGTTTGTGTATTAAACCCCTGTGCCACACTCTATCAAAGGCTTTACTAATGTCGTTAAACACCAACCGAACCTCCTTGCCACTATCAACAGCTTGGAAAAAAGCGTTTACAATATCGGTTAATTGAAATATAGAAGAATCTTTTGGGGCAAAACCAGATTGAGAGGGTGTAATGCAGCCATTTTCCCTCAGAAAGTTATAAACATATTTAAAGATACATTTAAAAAAAAAATTGCTATCCAACTTAAAAGAGAAATTGCCCTATAATTTGTTACTAGGCATTTCTCTCCCTTCTTGTAAACTTGAATTACATTTGCAGTTTTCCAAACTTAAGGGAACTTATGAAGAGATAGAGATGAATTAAACAAGTTTGATCACATAATTATTGATATTTGAATATATAATCAGTATCTTTACCACTCTGGATATTTGGAATTGTTGAAGATAGTTTGCAAAAATATATAAATTTGTAAACAAGGGATAACAGTTACATAATAAAATACAATGCAACATCTCCAGAGATTCAAAGTACATGGTCAAATTAAATATCTTTCTACTTAACTAAATAAGCATCAGAATTTTATTTTTTTGTGTTGAAGATGTAAATGCCATTTAACTTCATTTCTTCTCTAATCATCACAAAAGGCCCATGAGGCCTACAATATTTACACGCTTTCAATTATTAGAAATAGAAACAATTGGCCCATTGGGCCTGTATTGCTCACTTGATCTTTATCTCACACTGTGACTTTCAGTGTTTCAAGGTTTTACCGGAATAGGCTTAATATCATAACACTACATATCATGGATGTTTCTTGAAAGATTTTATTAATCTAAACTTTATAAAAAGAGATCAGAAGGTCTCTCAGCTGAAGCACAATTCTCTATTTGCTGTTTCACTTGTAAACAAAATAGGCCTAGGAAGGCCATGTGCCATTATTCATGTTTCTATAATATGTCATATGTTGAAACACCTGTACTGTTGATTTCAAAGTGAAAGTAATTAATTCAACAGTATCAGAGACGTATTATAATGTACATCTCTGACAGTATCCACACACATGTATCATGTCGTCCTACATTCAGGTTGGTCACAACGGCTCATATTGGTAATAATCCTGCATTTGGGTAACAGTTACCCATTTGAGTAACAATTTCATTAAGTTACTGAAATTGGGAATAAAATGAAATGAAAACACACAAAGTTCTTTTAAAAACTTGGAACAAAAAAGGTGAGTCGTTGTGCCCAACCTGCTATTGTCGATATAACAGACCTTCAATGGAGCGCTTCCAAGGTGTACAAGTTTGTATCAACACTTCCACTTTTCTTCTCTCCATTCTCAATGTTGTTTAGTATTTCGACAGACCCCGAAAGATTGCGAAAATAATACATCTCAGTCGATTGAACGCTTAATTGACCGCGCGCTTTCCTTTGCTTGGCATCCTGCTTAGACCAGAGACATATCCTGTCTTTATATGTCTCTGGCTTAGACGGAATTTTACCAAAATTTTATCTTTCTATCAATTGTAAGATTACTAAACAATTAGAATAATGAAAATCGTACTGTAATTATGTTGTTTTTTTCATCATAATTATATTTACCAAATTTCAATGAACTATTCCGTGTTTTAATATAACAGAGGCAACCATTCACATTGGAGGCAATCTGTAGAACGGTTGACAAAACATCGGACATGAAGGCACTGTCCATTCTTTATCGTTCAGCCGTTTCTTTGGGAGACAGGGTCGTTCCTGCACGTTTCGCTGAAACATGGAACCACCCAGCAGGTAGTGTCATTTATGATAACTGTAAATAAATTTCACGGTAGCTACCGGTGACCTTCGAGTTCACGTTCCACAGGGGTTCGTTACAAATGTCTGAAATACACATATGATGATATGGGTCACAATACACATATCAGTAAAGCATATGTGTATTTCAGACATTTGTAACAAACCCCTGTATACGTAGTTCAACGTTAACTATGTGCTAAAACCGGCTCTTGCCATTGAATTTTAAAAATACATAACTATTTGTTAACTGTAACCTTGGTGTGTTTTATGAAAATTTTCCCTTTGGTATTTTATCTTGGGACGGGCATCATATAATTTGTCTTGCCCACAGGGAAATAAGCGTGATTGCTTCCCTTGTCCTAAAGGTGCTGTACATTTGTCTTTCATTTCATTACTTTTACCCCCGACCCCCAACCACACGCACTTAAGTGAAGGTGGTATATTGTAATCAGTTTGTCAGTGTGTGTGTAACCGGCGTCAGGGTTTCTAGGTAAACATGTGATCGATTAGCTAATGAATAATTATTGAAGCATCATAAAAATGTAACTGAGGATGAGGAATAGTAATCAAGATAGTGCCGTTGCTCACCCAGGGGCTCGAACCCACAACCCTTGGCTCTCCAGCCCATGTTCTACCGCTGAGCTAAAAGGGAATTTGACGCTTGTAAGGCAACCTAATCAATGCACATCTTTAACAAAAATACAAGTCTATTGTGTTTTGAAATAATGTTTCCTTATAAGTTAATTATAAATAGATTTAAACATGAGTTGAGTGTCAACGCTTGTCATATCAACATAGTTTTGTATAATCCCTTTTGGTCAAATCAGTGTGTTGTTCAATTACACTGCTATAGTGTTCTTGTTTCTTTTTAGATTGCATTTGCAACCCATTTTAAATATGATTAACGTTGCAACAGTTTTTAAGAAAGGGGTGTAAGCAATTACTTAATAATAATAATAACTTTTTTTTTAATATTTCAGGTCCAAAGACGATATTCTTCTGGGCTCCATCGTTTAAATGGGTAAGTGCTAATGTGTAGATTAATGCATTTTCTGGATAAGTTGGCTGCCTTTTTGGCCCCCTTCAGGTGATAAATCATAAGTGTTTCAATACATATAGGTCTAATATTGGAAATGTTGTTTTTCGTAGGGATCTAATTTTGTTTTTTGATCTGCAGTATCAATTTTTTTCATGAATATAATATATCCAAGAAAATTGATAGGGATTAACTAATCTACCCTTACTTCAGCACAATTTGTTATGGTCACTTGATCTGAACTTCACAAAAAAACAGATCCTGCCAAATTAATTGTATTAGAAAATCTATGTCAATTAGTTACCATGAAAAAAGAAGACTTTTACAGCAATCCTATTTATGATATACCCCCTATACCAGAAAGAAACATATATTCTGCCTTTCCTATTGCAGAGTTATCTGCTCTTGTAAGCAGGTATTGATTGTTGCGTCATTTGTTTGTGAGAGTAACATCATAAGTTTTTGAGAAAACGACGTAATTTTCTCACACAAACTAGTGACGTAACAATCAATAACTGCTCACAAGAGCAGATAACTCTGCAATATGAAAAGATGGAATAGGGGTATGTATCATGCATAGAGATACTTTTATGTGTGTTGATAAATCAAACTTCAGTGATTTAACCAAAGTTTGACACATGAAAACATTGTACCATTTTAGTCTCCATCCTATGTTTAGGTTTGGTTTGTAACTACTTAAATAAAAAAAGTACAAGAGACAGGCAAATGAAGTTCCAAAGTGGAAACAACACAATTTGTTTTGTTACTGTATCCCCACTGAAACTCTGTAGTGATTAGAAAGCATTCATAGAAATGTTTTAGTGATCCTGGTCTGATGATAAGATGTTGCTTTGTAGGGCAAAAAATGTATGTTTTAGGTACCCGATCAACCCTAGCTTATACCTTCGACCTTAACAATTTATCTCACTCGAATGCGCTTAAAGGTCCCATTCAAGTGTGCCAAAAATTGTAAGCATCTCTATGACACCTCTCTATTTCATAGGCAGGTATCAAAACCAAATTAAAATCCCATATTATTATTTAAAGACCTAAAAATGTAATGAAATAAAGGTTCAATGCAATTGGTCTGAATAACTATGCTTGGTGATTTTTAAAAATTCCTATACAATGTACTAGCTCATCCTCGATATCCAGGGGTTATACTCACTTTCGCTTTCTGCACCCCTGGAATATGTCATACAAAAATTGAAGGGTTAGTGTTTGCCACCTTGTTGATGAGACAAGAAGACTAGTTTGATCCTTTGATGTACTTCAAAAGAATCTCCCGGTTGCCCAATGATAAAAATTGACTGGCTTTGAAGTCGGATGTAGCTCCTTTGTAATCTTCAAAGGACAGGTATCAGCCTAGCGATTGGTCAGGGTTATATTCCAGTGGTGCAGAAAGCGAACGTGAGCATAACCCCTGGATATCGAGAATGATATTAGCACAGGCAACTTTCCTCCCTTCCTAACAAAAATAAAATCCCTACCATCTTACCCTATTTTTATGCCCCTGCTATAAAATTGGGGGGCATATAGTGTTGCCCATGTCCGTCCCGTCCCGATTCAATGTAAACACTTAGCAACATCATTCTTTTGACAGAAACTTTATTCTTTGACAGATTTTGGTCAAATTTTATACAAAGGTACAACCCCTCCATAAAATGGGGGGGGGGGGCATATAGGGTTGCCCATGTCCGTTCCGTCCCAATTTAATGTAAGCACTTAGCAAGGTTCATTCTTTGACAGATTTTGGTCAAACTTTATACAAAGGTCAAGTATGAGTATACTTCAGACATCGTTGTGTTTCAGGGATCCAAGGCCAAGGTCACACTTGCTATATATAGAAAATCATCAACTGATTGAATTTAAACACTTGGCAAATTCATTCTTTCATGGATTTTGGTCAAACTTTATACAAAGGTACAACTCTCCATAAAATGGGGGGCATATAGTGTTGCCCATGTCCATCCCATCCAGTCGCGTCCTGTCATTGTCTATTCCATATATGATACTGCCTCAATATGTTATGGAGATGGTAGTAACATACAGAAAAAACATATGAATATTAAAATCAACTTATCAACTTCAAGTGTAGTACTTTGTGTGTGTGCATGTTTCAGGGTATCAAGATCAAAGTGGTTGTAACTTTTTATAGAACACTGAAATTAATTTCACACGGCAGCGGGGGCATTTATGTCTTACAGACGTTTTCAGGTCACCTGAGATCGCCTTTTGTCCGTCGTCGTCCGTCGTGCATCCTTAAACAATTTACATTTTCAATTTCTTCTCCAAAACCCCTGAACCAATTTCAATGAAATTTTGCAGAAACCTTCCATGGCCAAAGGTCAACAAAAATAGTTGCCGGTTTGGTCCCTGGCCTCAAGGGGCCTGAGGGGTGGGGCCAAAAAGGGTCAAATTGACTAAAATTTCAAAAATCTTCTTCTCAAGACCCTGATATGGTAGAATCAAATACTCTTCAAAGATGGAAGGGTCTTAAGGTGCTGTACCAAAATTGTGAATTTCTTGACCCTGAGGTCTCACGTTTCCCCCTGGGGAGGGGGTAAACTTTACTATAGTCTATATAGGGAAATCACATTTTGACCAACATTTGTGTAATTGCCATTGGAGGTAATTCAATTTAGGTTATTATTATCAGTATTGGGTAGCAGTTTGATGGTATGCACATATGAGCCCTGACTGACCCCCCGGGGCTATTGGATGGTGCCAAAAAGGGTCGAATTGACTGGAATTTCAAAAATGATCTTCTCAAGACCCAGATATGGTAGAATCAAACACTCTTCATAGATGGAAGTGTCTTAAGATGCTGTACTAAAGTTGTGAATTTCATGACCCTTGGTTATCACGTTTCCCCCTGGGGAGGGGGTAAACTTGACTATAGTTTATATAGGGAAATCACATTTTGGACCAACATTTGTTTAATTTCCATTGGAAGTAATTAAATTTAGGTTAGCATTATCAGTATTGGATAGCAGTTTGATGGTATGCACATATCAGCCCTGACTGACCCCCCCGGGGCTGATGGGAGGGGCCAAAAAGGGTCAAATTGTCTGGAATTTCAAAAATGTTCTTCTCAAGACCCAGATATGGTAGAATCAAACACTCTTCATAGATGGAAGGGCCTTTAGGTGCTCTACCAAAATTGTGAATTTTATGACCCTGGGGTCTCACTTGAACCGCTGGGGAGGGGGTAAACTTTACTATAGTTTATATAGGGAAATCACATTTTGGACCAACATTTGTTTCATTTTCATTGGAAGTAATTCAATTTGGGTTAGCATTATCAGTATTGGATAGCAGTTTGATGGTATGCACATATGAGCCCTGACTGACCCCCCGGGGCTGATGGGTGGGGCCAAAAAGGGTTGAATTGACTGAAATTTCAAAAAAAAACTTCTCAAAGACCCAGATATGGTAGAATCAAACACTCTTCATAGATGGAAGGGTCTTAANGGGGGGTGCAAAATTTATTATGGTTTATAATGGCAAATGATACTTTGAATATTACATGTGAATAACTTGATTGGAATTATAACCCTGAGTTGCCAGTTTGATACTTTGAAAATTTTGAGCCAGCCCTACCCCCAAGGGCTGTAGGGTGGGGCCCAAAGGAGTCAGTGTGCTAAAATTTCTTCATTTTCATTGTTTAGAATCAAAGGTGCTAGTTTCAAATACTTTTAGTCTTAAATATGTAGGCTAGATATTGAATAAGGTGGGTTTTTTGTCACTGAATAATATTTCTGTTCGTGTTAAAAACAAAATCAACTCTCTGTTTAAATATATCAGGTGACCGTTAAGGCCCATGGGCCTCTTGTCTAGTTTAGTCATGTTACATGACGCATTCATATTATTATTTTGGCCTAACAGTATGTAACATCCATGTTTCGTGTTTCTCTTATTACAGGCCCTTGTTATTGCTGGCATTGGTGACATTGCCCGTCCACCAGAGAAGCTCAGTCCGTTTCAGTCTGGGGCCTTAGCAGCCACAGGTAAGTGTCAAGAGGATTCTAGTTCAGTCTGGGGCCTCAGCAGCCACAGGTAAGTGTCAAACGGTTTCTAATTCAGTCTGGGGCCTTAGCAGCCACAGGTAAGTGTCGAGAGGTTTCTAGTTCAGTCTGGGGCCTTATCAGCCACAGGTAAGTGTCAAGAGGTTTCTAGTTGAGTCTGGGGCCTTAGCAGCCACAGGTAAGTGTCAAGAGGTTTCTAGTTCAGTCTGGGGCCTTATCAGCCACAGGTAAGTGTCAAGAGATTTCTAGTTCAATCTGGGGCCTTAGCAGCCACAGGTTAGTGTCAAGAGGTTTCTAGTTCAGTCTGGGGCCTTATATTAGCAGCCACAGGTAAGTGTCATGAGGTTTCTAGTTTAGTCTGGGGCCTTAGCAGCCACAGGTAATTTTAAGTGTCAAGAGGTTTATAGTTTAGTCTGGTGCCTTAGCAGCCACAGGTAAGTGTCAAGAGGTTTCTATTTCAGTCTGGGGCCTTAGCAGCCACAGGTAAGTGTCAAGAGGTTTCTAGCAGAAGATCATGTATTTGTTAATACAGTACAAACAGATTTGTATATCTATAAAACTATATGTATGTGGTTTTATTGGAAGAAGTGCATTGAAGTGATGGGAAATCCAATCTTGAAAAAAAATATTAATCTATTTATTATCTATCATTTATTACCAAGCCTTCCATTTTATATGTTCACCATTTGCCTAAAATCTGACCACTCCATTCATACTTGCCAACTCTCCCTATTTAGGAGAGAGAGACAACCCCGATTTTGAACCTTCAATTTAATATTTCCAACCAGTGAATTTGCTGAACTATTCTTATATGTTAAGATCTAATGATTTCATCTGGAAGAACAACTCAAAAAATGTCATTTCAAAGGATTATTGTGTCCCTTTAGTTCATGTTTTTAATTTTGAGCATGTGATATCTTCCCCATGTAAATTTTAAAAGGTTGGCAAGTATGTTCATTTCTGGACAGATTTGGATTAAACTACAGCTATATTTGTCAAGTTCATTTGTGTTTCACTGTGTCAAGGTCACTATTTATAGAAAACTTCGTCATCTCTCTAGCAACTTCATCTCTGAAAGGATTTTGATCTCACTTCTTATATCAGATATGAGAATACCTGTAATGAGTTTGCAAGATCCTGTGAAAAATAGAAGATCTATATAACATTAATAAATAGCAATAGATATCTTATAAATGATGAATTGTACAGTATATCATCTATAATTGGTTCAATTTGGTTAAAAGTCGAGTTCAAGGTGAAGATATTGTCTACGAAGGTTTAGGTCACCTGAGCTTTAGCTCAAGTGACCTATTGCTATCCGTCTTCGTCTGTCGTCGTCCGTTAACATTTTACATTTTCAACTTAAGCTGAAATACTGGCGAAGGTATTTCATTAATATTTCATGGGAAGGTTACTGACATCTCCCTGACCAAGTGTTGTTATTTTTCAGGTCGATCAGAAATCCAATATGGCCGACACGGCCGCCATTTTGAAAACTATTTCAAACTTAAAGTAAAGTTCTGCTTGGCGGATTGAACTGAAACTTGGTAGGAATGATTGACTCATGGTCCTGACAAAGTGTTGTTATTTTTCGGGTCAATCAGAAATCCTATATGGCTGCCACGACTGCCATTTAAAAAAACCTTTTTCAAACTTATAAACAAGTTCTATTAGGCCGATTGAACTGAAACTTGGTAGGAATGATTGACTTATGGTCATGACAAAGTGTTGGTATTTTTCGGGTCAATCAGAAATCAAATATGGCTGCCACTGCTGCCATTTAAAAAACCTTTTTCAAACTTTTAAACAAGTTCTATTAGGCCGATTTAACTGAAACTCGGTCTAGGAATGATCAGCTCATGGTCCTGACAAACTTAAGTTAACGTTATACTTAACTATTTTTTACTCAAATTGGTACATATTCCAACAACAAAAATAAATAATGTAGGACTCTGGTGACCGTTAAGGCCCATGGGCCTCTTGTCTTTATCAATACTGAATTCAAGGCTTCACTTATGGAAGTCAGAATGTTTCATCCCTTCAAGTAGTTAGCTGCTTAATTGCCCAGCAATGGTTTAGTCATATCAGGCCTGAATATCATAATAGGGAAACTTACAAAACTTAATACACTTAAATGATCTGAGTGGTCAGATCTTATTATAACAAGTGTTTTCAAAATTAAGATTTTATTGTATATACCAAACTCACGTAGATATTTGACAATATTTGACAGATCAATAATTGTATGAAACAATGTTTTTATATCAGACACATCATAAAAATTGCCTCAAAATCTAAAATTGATCAATATGTGAGACGCAGTTAAGTTTGTCACATGAATGACAAAAGGACTAATCCTCTCGCCAAAGCTTGACCTGCTTCATCCCTTCACGGGCCTAATCATATATTAACTGACTTGAGAAAAGTGTGTATTATGGCTTACATTTGAGAATTAGAACTTTCTGCAGTCCTTCTAATTTTCTGAAGTAATTAGCTCCAAGGACACTTATTCAGCAGAATGAAGAAAATAAAACCTTTTCTGATTACACTAATGATATCTCTTCGTTATCAGGAAACAGTGTTATTCTGGAGGTGTTTTATTCAAAAAGTTCACTCTATTTAATATATGTGTACAAGATTTATCATTTCTCATGCGACTTTATTCTATTTTATTACAGGTATTATATGGGCTAGATATTCTTTGGTTATCATCCCCAAGAATTACAACCTGTTCTTTGTAAATATCTTCGTCGGTGCAACTGGTATTCTGCAGCTCAGCAGAATCTACACGTAGGTATCAATTGAAAGTGGTCAAGAAGGCAACCATCATGTCTTTTTATGCCTTTGCTATATATATATAGTTAAGGGGGCATTATATGTTCATCTTTCCCATTGGTCCATCAGTATTAGGTGTCTACCTTTTACATTGGTCCATCAGAATTACCTGGTAAATGTCTGCCTTTCCCATTGGTCCATCAGTATTAGGTGTCTACCTTTTCCATTGGTCCATCAGTATTACCTGGTAATTGTCTGCCTTTCCCATTGGTCCATCAGTATTAGGTGTCTACCTTTTCCATTGGTCCATCAGAATTACCTGGTAAATGTCTGCCTTTCCCATTGGTCCATCAGCATTATGTGTTTGCCTTTTCCATTGGTCCATCATGATCAGTATTGTGTGTTTGCCTTTTCCATTGGTCCATCAGTATTGTGTGTTTGCCTTTTCCATTGGTCCATCCGTATTATGCGTTTGCCTTTTCTATTGGTCCAGAATCAATATTTAAGCTTGGTTTAACTTCATTAGCTTCATTTCTATAGTTCCTTAGTTATCAAACTTAATAGGTGGATACATCTTGAATACTACATCAATATATCAAAAGTAGATCACTCTGCAAGGGTTTACAATTTCATCGTTGAAGTACTAGTCTGTAGGTAGATTTCGAAAAGTGTTACTAGCTGGGCCTATATTATCATATTAAATATGAAAAATATTCTTGCCATGCTGTGACATATATTTTGTGCTTCCGACTTCTTGTAGTGTTCAGTTAGACTAATAACATTTAGTCCATTGTTCCAATACTAGTAGCTGTAGTTCCATCAAAGCTGGAGTAGGAAAGTATTAAGTTCTACGAAGTAAACATTTCGGCTTGCACGATGCTGTAAATGCTAAAGACGGTTTGCCAGTGTTTTATGCTCTCACTATTCAACTCATTAAGTAATTCAATATTTTTGCAGTGATTGTTAGGAAGTCTGTGTTGTTACTCCTAGAAATAATTCATCTTTTCTGACTTATGAATTTTTTGCTTCTTATGGTTCAGTATTTGTGTTTATAATTTGAATGACCTCCCTGAAGTCTTAACAAAAATTTACAATTAGAAGCCCTTTTACATAGCAAATTATATCGCTTGTGTTACAATTCAAAATATATTATTGTCATTTCAGGTACAATCAATCTTTAAAAAATATGGACAAGGATCTGCAGAAGTGAACCCTTTCAACAAGTGTGATAGAGATGATACTCAAGAAAATTGAATCTCTTTTTTTCTTCTCTTATTCCAGATTGAAAAGATTATTTTAAACCAGTCCTTTTCAAACTTTTCGGGTTTTTTTTGTGGGCATTCAATCTAAAACTCTTATAACGTCTTAAAGGTAGAAAGCTACCTACCTACGACTCCATTTAGCTTATTTGAATCAAGTATTTAATTAATTATATATTTTACAGATACAAAATATTGTACCTAACATTGGAAATGCTCAGTCATTCTTTATTAAGAGATAATGTTAAGTAACAAGTCACAGGTATAATGTTTAAGGTATCTAATTTAAGCTAGAAAGAGGTGTGGTTGTGTTGTGAGAGTAGAACATTTCATCATGTTTTAGAACTACAGTGGAGCTTCCTTAATCCAGCCATTAATGTTCCCAGTAAAAATGACGATATATACCATAAAATATTGACTATATATATATAGAACTGGATGGAATAAAGAGGCTCCATTGTGTTAGATCTAGAAGATGCAACTAGTGATATTACTTTTTGCTCAACCGATTTGTTTTGTTTTGAACGTTTTTTGAGGTTTCAAGAGTAGATGCAGAATATGCTGTACATTTCGTAAATTTCATCCCCATGGAGTTGATTATTTTAACCCTCTTCTGTGAGTTTCCAGGAGATTAACTCATCCATAGAATCTCTGTGCTAATGAATGCTTGTAAGTATAGATATTATATTGTTTCCTTTTTTCCACTGCACTTATAATCATTTGGATAGCTTTGTGTTAAGTTGTTGAGTTACATTGTATTATTAAAGTGCTAATTGTTATATTGAATATTTACTTTTTAAAAACATATTTAAAGAGATATAGTTAATCATATAAATATTGCAATGTGTTCAATAAAAGGAACCCAATATGAAACATTGTTCTTTTTTATGTCAATGAAAAAAATTTGGGCTATTAAAAATGTCGTGTCCAGAAGGAACAAAATCCACATTATACTGTTATACATGTGAACATGTTTCCATCATATAATGTGGTAGAAAACTCATTTTAGCTTACACTCGAGTGTATTCCATCTTTGCGTATTGCAGAGTTATCTTCTCTTGGGAGCAGGTATTGATTGTTACGTCATTGGTATGTGTGAGGAAATTACGTCGTTTTCTCAAAAATTGATGACGTTTCTCTCACAAACAAGTGACATAACAATCAATCCCTGCTCCAAAGAGAAGATAACTCTGCAATACGCAAAGACGGAATTACTATTGAATACTCATTTTATTCCAGGAATTAATACATTTTAAGGCCTTTGTTTTATTTATTGGGAGAAATGTCTACTAAAGGAATTTATTGTATTTATGGGGAGAAATGTCTACTAAATATTGTCTCAAAAACAGATCGAAACTTATGTTGTACTTTATGAATACAAGTTTCCCACTACCTATTTGTTTTTCAAAATATTGCATATCACTCTAATTTTTTTTAAACTATATAATTAAGCTTAAATTACGAAACATAATTTTTTGTTTAAATGTGGGAAATCTTAGTAAGATGGAAGTTGATATTGGATGGGAGAGTGTAACCAATACCAATGTATATGTATGTGTTAATTGTTAATGCTTGCGAAACAAAATAAACAGCGTGGACACTCCAAATTCTTCGTGTTTGTTATATGACTCTACTGACTGCACAATCCTTAGAATACCAGAAATCTGTAACTGTTCAATTGGATGTTTTACAGAAATCTGTACCTGTTAAATTGGATTTTTTACAGAAATCTATACCTGTTAAATTGGATGTTTTACAGAAATCTGTACTTGTTCAATTGGATTTTTTTACAGAAATCGATACCTGTTAAAGTGGATTTTTTTACAGAAATCTGTACCTGTTAAATTGGATTTTTTTTACAGAAATCTATACCTGTTAAATTGGATTTTTTACAGAAATCTATACCTGTTAAATTGGATGTTTTACAGAAATCGATACCTGTTAAATTGGATTTTTTTACAGAAATCTGTAACTGTTCAATTAGATGTTTTACAGAAATCTGTAACTGTTCAATTGGATGTTTTACAGAAATCTGTAACTGTTAAATTGGATGTTTTACAGAAATCTGTACTTGTTCAATTGGATTTTTTTACAAAATCGATACCTGTTAAATTGGATTTTTTACAGAAATCTGTACCTGTTAAATTGGATTTTTTTTTACAGAAATCGATACCTGTTAAATTGGATTTTTTTACAGAAATCTGTACCTGTTCAATTGGATTTTTTTACAGAAATCTGTAACTGTTCAATTGGATTTTTTTACAGAAATCCATGCAATAAGTTTGAATAGTTACTATTTATGATGGTCAAGTATTTTCTGGTCTCCTTTGGAATCTGAGGTACTGCTGCATTTGCCAAGTGTTTGTTCATAACTTGGTGATTCAAAAGATAAGACAGATAAGGATACTGACAGCTGAATTTATTGCATACTGTAGCACATGATTCATAAATAAAAGATTAAAAAGCATTTTTCCTTTATGCCCGAGGACAATATTTCTTTTATAATTACGTATAAAAGGATACACATGTACATGTAAGTTGAACCTTGTCACATTAATGTCACTAAGACCAGGAGAAAAGGGAAGAGATAATGTAATTGAAATACATGTATTGCTATTGAACTACATTGAGATGAACTGTCTTTAGGCACAAGAAAAACCTTTTAGTTGGAAGTAATTATGAAGTTCAAACTGATATATATCATAAACATGTTAAACGTTAAAAGGGAACAAAGACTAAAACAATATATTGTTGATAATTATGGCAACTGTTTTACGATGATGAAGGTGACATACACACAAGCACCAAATTTTAAGGTTTCAGAGGTGGACACCTAAACTTTTGAAAAGCAAACATTGTGTAGAATTCTTTAAGTTAGCTACAAGTAATACGCTTCGTAAACAACAGTTGACAATGTTCTAGTGTAAAATAAGTAGTTACATGTCTTCAATAAGATTCATCAGTTTGGAAATATATGTGATATCAAAGTTTTACTTTCTACACATACAATGTGACACATTTAATATGTACATTGTGTGTGTAGAAAGTAAAACTTTGATATCATAGTTTGACATGTTACTGAAGAAATAGAGAGTAATGACATTATGTCGAGGAAAATGAGGTTCAAGAAATGAAATTAAGTTTAACAGAGAAAGAATATGCATTGAATACAGACAGACAGACAGACAGACAGAAAGTATGCACTATGAGTCTACCAAGCCCGAGTTTCCTTGGGCCCTGACAACTCATTTGGTCATCATTACAGAATAGACACTTGACCCCATAATGTGTGGATACAGTTTGATGTAACATACACTTTTCCAGATACAAGTTTATCTTGCATGACTAGAAATGAATCTAACAAAATATTCATAGTAATAATACAAATGTATTAATAACAACTGTTAATTAAATATATTTTTCACAATCAAATTTAACAGACCAAACCACCATTTAGTTTTACATATTTAAGAAATAAAATCATATATTCTTAATTTCATTTTTTTTTTTAGATTTTAGTAATTTCCTTTTTACTTTTATGAGATTCCTTATATGCAATAATTTTGCAGTTATCAAGGCCATGGCAACAACTCTGTTGATGAAAAAAATATTGATAAACGTTCAAGTAGTAGTCCCACTTATAAGAACAGGTAAACAACAGGATATCTGGAAATCCCTTTTTTTTTTTTTTTTTTTAAATCCTGTTCTGGTTTCGTTTCCAGATACTGAGGTTTCATTCTCCCAGAAAATTTGAGTTCACAGACAATCACATTTTAGCACATGTAAATTCTCTGGGAAAAGTTGAAATAAAAATGTACAGTTCAAAATGCTGTCATTTCCAGATCTTGGAGATGTGTACTTACAGGAAGGCATTACAAAGAATAGCACAATTTAAAATGTCCACATGATATCTGTTTATAACGGTGGTTCTAATTCTTTGAGCAGTGCCTGGCTGTCCTGGGCTTCTCTTCGCACCTGTAGTAACACCTGCTCAGACTCCTGACACAAGTCAGCAAATCGACCCTAAAAGGATAAAAGATACATCCAACTTCATTAAATCATACTGGAAGGAGGGTAGGCAAACATCAAAAAAATAAATAAAGGTATTTCATAAATTTATAGTTTACAATACATGTCATTAGAATGGAGATAATGTTTTGGGTGTGGTTCTGTAACAACTGTCAGTGGGAGAGATAGTATTGAGGGCTTGTGGCTATGCCACTCATGTCATTGCAAGAGACAATATATTTGTGTGGTTAGTACTGGTTACATAATCTTTGGTCCAGTTGATTTTTTGGGGTAGGGGTTATGTTATAGTTTAGAACTTACCTGTACGTTTTCCAAGTGTGTGGTTACAATGTTTGGGGGTAGGGGTTATGTTATAGTTTAGAACTTACCTGTACGTTTTCCAAGTGTGTGGTTACAATGTTTGGGGGTAGGGGTTATGTTATAGTTTAGAACTTACCTGTACGTTTTCCAAGTGTGTGGTTACAATGTTTGGGGGTAGGGGTTATGTTATAGTTTAGAACTTACCTGTACGTTTTCCAAGTGTGTGGTTACAATGTTTGGGGGTAGGGGTTATGTTATAGTTTAGAACTTACCTGTACGTTTTCCAAGTGTGTGGTTACAATGTTTGGGGGTAGGGGTTATGTTATAGTTTAGAACTTACCTGTACGTTTTCCAAGTGTGTGGTTACAATGTTAGTAATATCATTCATAAACCTGCGGTACGCCTTTTCTGTCTCTGCAATCTCCAATTTTGTCTGTTCATATCTACAAATAAAGAAAAAAAAGAGAACTTCAACTCACATTCATCATTGTGATCTACAAGAAAACATTGTTACATCACTTTTGTGATATTTGCAATTCAGGTCTGCTTCATTATTTTCTAGTTTAAAGTCTAATACTACTACATGATTTTGCCACATATGTTTACCTATTTAACAAAACTGAATTTCTGGATTCCTGTATGCTAGAAAACCTTTTCCCAGATAAATATTTGTCTTTCACAAAAAAAATCCCAGATATGTAAGCAATCACATTCTATTCTGAACAGAAACAGCAAAGTTCATGCAAACAGTGACCATTGGTACAACCTGGATCAACTTGTAGATAGAGTTAGACTTTTACACAAGTGTAGAATATTGTTGAGCATATTTTACCTACAGGTTTCTCTGTTGTTGCTAATCTTGATATTTGCTGAGGTATTTTAACACCATACATGGGATATTGATATCTGGTACCATTTAAGTAAGGCACAAAAGAACATCTTCTCATATGATGGTTAAAGGGATGGTTATTTTCTTCTTCAAATATAATACACATAAATTAAAGAAAGAAGCGATGATTGAATATGTATACGAAAATTTATTTATTTATTTTACTGGATGTACTTACACTTTGTATGCATTTTTGAGATCCCTGTTGGCATCTTGTAGACTGAGCTGTGAGAAGGTTTGTAGCTCCATCAGCTCCCGCTGTAAGCTTTCTGTCTCCTCCTGTGCCTGCTGGAACTCACGTTGGAAAACCTAACAACAATCAAAGTACTGAAAGTACTGAAAGCTAAGGCAAAAGATATATATTTTATTTTTGGAATGGAGAACAAAATAAAGACGAAGTTCCCATCATATTGTACAGAAGGATTTACTGTTAATTTGTTATGAATCAAAGTTTTATGTAAAAGTGTACCACTGTGAAGTTATTCTTCTTGTGTGTACAGTATATCTTTATAGGTTTGTCAGAAGAGTGGTACCAAGTTTCCTCTAGAATATATCATTTTAAACCTTTGGATAATTAATTTGCATAGGAATTTGGAATTGCTTCCCTTTGTCCATACAATGTATTTCATAGAACATTAAAAACTGAAACTGGCATTTACCCCTTTGACCAATACCTGATTATTTTAAACCATTGAATAGATTATGCACAGATTGTGAACATCTTTGAACTTTGCCTTTGTTGTTGAATAAGATATCAACCCTTGCCTTATCTAACAAAGTTACTTGGCATAAAACCATTGACCAATCAGAGTACAGTATGCTAATTAATTAGGCATGGATTTCACTCAACTTTGAACTTATCGTCTAAGTTTGTATATTGATCAATATATATTCAAGCAAGTTATCTTGTAAAGTGTGCACATCGACCAGGGTTGGCATGCTTTTTAATACGTGTGAATTTTGTTCAAGTTTCAATTTTGCATCAGTCAGTGTATATTGTTACAGAACAATATTTATAAGGATGTTTACTTGCCGAAACTAAATTGTGGATAAGCAAGTGGATTACTGCTACCCATAAATTTACAAGTCTCTCAATAATTTTGAAAAACTTTTAAATAAAGTGTTTTACATATTCACTGCAGTGAAAAGGTCTCTTCTTATGAAAAATGGAACTATTTTGAATCTGTGTTCCCATGAACAAATAATATAAAAAGCACTCTAATTCAATATGATACATTGTTGTATGTTTCAATATTGAATAAGATAAACAAAATATAAACATACATACTCACACACACACACAAGATTAGGAGAGTTACATTATTTTCCCTCTATTTCCATTGCATAAATTCTTCACAAAGAAAACAACAACTTTATAGCATATGTTCAGCTTTATCATCTTCATAGGCTAGCATTTGAAATAAGATGCACATATTAATTTCAAATACATTTCAAAAGAGTACTGCAAATGTACCAGCTAGAACACATACTATGTTATTACAGTTGTCATGATTGTTGGTTTCAGAACTGATAGCATTGTGCAACAAATGTTGACAACAGGACTTATTGAAAGTTGAGGTTGCTTGTGTATATGCAAACAGGTAGTGCATGATTTAATGTTGAGAATGATGGATCAAGGTTTATAAAATTTGGTTTGAATACTTAGTTAGGAATGCACTGACAATTTCTCTGTCACATGTACATGAACAGGTTGTGAAGCTGTAGCCTTCACCTTGACTGAATGAAATTGACCTTAAAACTGTCTTGAACAATTGATGTATGAAATTTAGAAATGAAGTTTCAAGAAATATGGTTGAAAACTTAAGAAATAATTGCTTTCATTGACATTGATACAATCTTGTGTGCTATCCCTCTCATATATCACACAAGATTTAATATCAAATGTTGGACACAGTAAAATCGAGCGAAGTTAACAAATATCAAGTTACATATTATAACTTTTATTTTATTTTATTGATATTGATCATAAGCATTGTTAAAAGTACAATGTATACCAGGGATCTTACATTTCTTTTACTACTTAACATTTGCGTTGACTTTTAATTCATTGGACAAAAACTAAAAGGAAGCCATGACCAGTATTTCTATCTTTAAAAACATACTTTTAATTTTTTTTCCAATTTGCTCCCACCACCCATAGTGTTATATTGATCAAAACAAACGTTGTTTCCAACATTTGTGCCCTTAGTCAGTAGTGGGTGTTCAATCACATTCATCAGGGTTTCAGCATCAAGTAGGGGCTGTTCAATCACATTCATCAGGCTTTCAGCATCAATATTCACAGATTCAATCTGTTCCAAGTAAAGATCACTGACTTCTCCATTAAGGAAAAGTTTGCGAGGAAAGCATTTGAACTACATTTGAACTATTCGCTGATGGAAGGATCTGTGGACTCGGCTTTCATGTGTCTGAGAGAAAATGATTTAGTCAGAGGTTCCTCCTCTATAAAGTAACTGACAGATTTCAAAATGTCATGTCACTGTTGGTATAGTTCTTGCAGCCTTTTGAAAAAGTTCATGAAGTCCTCAAAGGTATGAGAGAGTTGGTACAGTTCCTATTTCTCATCCTCCTTTCTCCCATCAATAACCATCCCTGTCTGTTGTAATATTGATTGCTTTCCCCCCCTAAAATAGAACATAGTTACCATATAATTTCTGCACCAGCAATAATGTTTAGAGATGATATTCAAACAAATAGGAGGCATAGCAATATGAGCTTGTATAGTGAGAAATAAGGCATTAAAGCTGAGGAGTTCATTAAAATGTTTCAAAAACATTTCAATAAGTCAATCTCTTTGGTAGCAGAACTAAATATAAACAAAATGTACATTAAATTCAACTTATAACAGCACATCATATGGGGGCTTAAGACATCTAATTCCTTAGGTGGTAAAACATGTGTACATAAAAAGGTACCAGTAAAAACAAAACAAAATTAGTTTAAACACACGCACTTAGATATTCACGGTTTTCATTAATACAAAAGATGAAGCAGAACATCACTCTCCCCTGGTTGTTTCCATAAAGAAGAAATTAACCAGGAAACATGGAGATGTCCATTGCACTCCTTTATTTTGCTTACAATGTGCAAATGTGCCTACTATGTGCTAATAAGCTTTCCATGTTATGGTTTTGTTTTTTATGTGCTGTATGCAAATGTTCTAAATGTGCTTAAATTACCATGTGCTGATGTGCTTACCGTGTTCAATGTGCCTATTAAGTGCTTTCCAAGTGATAAACTCTTTTTCTGAGCTTACAGTATACTACATGTACATACATGTTTTTATTTTATTTTTCCATGTTGTAATATTTTGGTCTCTGTTATTATACTCATGTTTTGTCTTTGTAGCTTATGTTGTATGTTTTGCAAAATGGACGTAAAATATATATTTTTGTATCTTGTACGTGCTCAAGGATTTTATCTGTAGTTTTTGGGACTATATATAGAAAAACTTTACCCCAGTATGAGGAATTGTTTTACACATTTATCATAAAACAAGTTATGTTCAGATTTCAGACAGAAGATACTCTAAAATTGTACAACTCAGAAAAGGTTGAAAAATATTTATAGTTCATTTTTTTCTGCTTAGAAATATTTAATCTCTAAATTACAAATGATAACTGTTTTAACAGGTCTAGTTTCCGAATTGGAAACCAAACCCTGTCTGACCTATAAATGATCATTATATAAGGCCAATTAAAAGTTTAAAACAAATATTGAGTTTATGCTAACCCCACAGATACTGGACACACTAATAGTAATATGATGTGTATAAACTATGATATATTATACACACTATACTTATTGGTGTGTTCGACACCAGTGTGGTTAACCAGACTTATCTCAGATTTGTGTTCTACAATACCCTTAAGTTTTTATATGCACTGTTAAAGTCAGAACTCCTGCTCTATATTAGCGCAGTAAAGATATTTTTCAAATTAACAATAAAATGCCTAGCTAATACATACCTACCCTATTTTTTTCTGATAGTAGAAACACAAGTAATTTGTTTGGCCTAATGTTTCTGTCATTTCATAATATTTAGAACTACTATACTTGTTTAAGTTTCCAAAACATCAAGTAGTATAACAATTGAAACTTCAATGAAAGCCAACATCACAATGAATCTAATAATACAATGTTTATAACATGTTTTTTTTTAACTGAATGAGAAGAAATGTAAGGCCAAATATCCTCACAAACAACGCTTAAGTGAAATCAGTTTGCAACTAAGCAGTTCGAAAATTTTGCAACACGTCTGGAGAAAGACGTTCCTCGTGACGCTGTAATTCACTAGAGTAAAACGTCCGTTTATTATGTTTGTTTTTGCATAATAACTGCTATACATACCGTAGAAGCACCTTCCTTTTTGTCATCGCCGCTGACAACATGCGCCATTCTCTGCGGCTTCGGCCGCATGCTTGGCCACAAGTCACCGAAATCGGGATACATAGCCTTATTTATGAATCAGTAGTAGGTAAACGTTGCAGAAGTGTATGTATATTGTTCATTGTCAATGCTGCTTAAACAACATGCCTAACATTAAGTCAACACTCGCCTGCATTTTCGTCTTTTCCGCTTCGCGTTGCGAATGATGTCTAGGCCTACACAAAACGAAAGTAAAATGTGCGCATGTCTAAATGTAAGGGAGATCACTCGTGTTTTCCCGCAGTATATGTCTGAAATCATTCCGAAGGTGTTGTTGTTTTTGTGTATATTGAAATAAAAGAGTCCTGTTATATGGTAATACTTCAATAAACGAAAAACACAAATCACACCAACAGACATATAAAATGTAGGCCTATCGGAGCATATTTTCGTTTCTGGCTGAGCTGTAATTAGCGAGAAGGCGATATAAAAATGCAATAGCATATCTTATGATGAAAATAGAACAAAATGATAATACTGCGAAGGTAAAAAAAGCCTTCAGGTTAGAATACCAATATGGAACTAGAGAAGGACAGTGGCTAGTTCTAACATGATTCCCGGTCTCATCTGCCCCGGCCGGTTGATCCCATTTTAGTTAGGCAAGCCTGGTGTGAATCACACGGAGGCGATTTTAGAATTAATTGACAGGATCCGTATCCATTAATAGGTTTGTAATATGAACTTTTTATGTTGATCTCCTACATAATTGTAAGTTATACTCCGCCTTATATTTCGTTAAATTATCAAGTTTACGTAACAAGTGCAAGCGAAATCCTAATTGACTGCCATGTTGGAAACTTCCTCAATCTTTCCGATATAGGTCAGACGTCTAAATATGGGTGTCATGACCAAATATGGAAATTGTAGTAAACATGACCGCATCAGTAGTAATACTATATTTGGCCGTGAAGGCCATATAAGGAAACGGATAACATCACGCGTGATCTAACATGGCCGTCGTTTCTTTTTTTAGAGTTTTTAGTAAGGATTTGTTATTTTAACGATGAACGAATATGCAATATTTTGATAACATTATAATCATATGAAGCGTGAATCAGATATATTATTACTGATTAGCACTTTTGATTATCCTCAGTTAGTTGGAACAGGACCGCTTCATAGCTCTGACCACGCAATATATAATTGTAAACAGGGACGTAAATGTCACCAATTTTAGCCAATCACAGGACAATATTTCCGTGTAAAGGGTTAATCCAGCGACAGTTCCAAGAGTAAATACGAAGTTTTAGAAGGATACTTAGTTCTAACTAAGAATAAGATTATATCCAATGACGTTTGAGTGAACTTGAGTCCGTGGTAATGGATTTTATTTGCAGTTTGTTTAGTATTACTAGAAGGTGACGTTATGTCTCGTTTATGAATATCTGAGCTCATTAACTGAAGTATTTTTACCGGAAGTTGCGTGTAGCATGCATGACCTACATTCAAGTAGCAGTTCCCGATTGAGATAAACAGGGTGCATTTTCAATAAGAATACGACGTTGTGATAAGATCATATGTTCTATAAAGAAAAGTAATGATATTTACAAGCCATTCAAGTGCATTTGAGTCCAAAGTTACGCATAATAAAGACAGTAGGTCCGGTATATGATTCAATTTAGTACCAGTGACTACCGCTAGAGGCCGTCTGTGTGAAATCGACATTTATGAATATCTGAGCTCATTAACTAAAGTAATACCAATAGATGGCGGCTAACGCCTTAGCTAAAAACTACATTTGTAAGCAGAATCCCCACACCAATAAGCTTTAAAATTGTGCCAAAGAAATGTAGAAAAACATAAAGATTGATTACTGGTAATAAAACTTCTGAGCTTGAACAATTAAGGATACAATATGTATGACATTTTACTGTGACACGCATTCCTTACTAATATGTAAACATTAATTCAAACTTTGCAATTACTTCAAAAAGGGTATAAAGTCAAACTTGTATTGGGTATCTTAATGCCTCCCAATGGAGAGAGCACAGTCTTAATCATTTTCGCTAGCCAAGTGTTCGCTTCGTAGTGTAAACGAAGGGAACACTTGGCTAGCGAAGATGGGTCTTAATAGACAGGTGGTCTTTACAGAAAAATTGAATGCATAGATAATACATTTATGGGAAGTTAAAGCCCTGTAAATTTGTTTCAAGCACAAAACCATGAATAACAAAAGCACAGCACTCTGCAGTTACTGTGTTGCATAAAGAGGCTCCAATTCTGCACACTGTCAAATCAAAGTCAGTCATGCTTGTTTTCCGCTTTATGTGAAATATGTCATAAGAAGTTTTAAAGGTAAAGTGAAAATGATCAATCATGGGTCCAGATTACATTCTGCAGTATCAGTGATCTTGAACTATGACCTTTGATCCCACAAACAGAAGACAGACGGGTTTTCGGTAGGTTGTCCCTGACTTTACCTGCTTTTTACAATCCAGCTCGTCTCCCATGCGTTTACTGCGACTCTCCAGCATGTTGATGTCCTCCTTCATCTCATTGACATATTCAAGCACCTACAATGTACACAAATTATCAAAATCTAATATGATTCTCATGATTTTCCCCAATTGGACAAATACAATCAAACTTGCATCAATTCTTTTACGTCCTTTCATTAGGTCATGATGAAGAATCTCGTACCAAAACACATTTTTTTAAACATGGCAAAATGATTGGTAACAGCTGTATCTTACTGTTTTATCTGGCAATAAGCCTATACCTGATAATAAGCCTGTAAAAAACAGTTGGGTAGAAAGGCTAACAAATGCTATTATCCTGCATTAAGCCCATCCCCTGCTTAGAGCTATATGATGGCCCTCCTGGGCTTAGTGCAGGATAAATATGGTCATTCATCTTAGAGATTTTATCTTTTAAAGACACCACAAAAACTGCAATGCAAACACACATACAACCGATTTTCTAGTACTTTTACAAAAATCTTCATCTGCTTTTTAAAATCAGGCGCACGAAAATTCACTGACAGACAGACTTTCATATTTATATGTGTGGAAGGTTGGTATACGAGAGTAAAAGTAATACTTGAGGCTTTGTGTAGAGGTTTACTCCTCAATTAATGTGTGGAATTTTTTATCTTCCATTAAAAATACATGAAAAATTACTTTTCTCTTTACACATCATTCCAAAAAACGATAGTACAAAAATATAAACATTGTGGTGAGAGTGAAAATATTGATTCTCACAACGGGGACATGCTCATGAGGTGATGAACATTGTCTTGGCTCCTGTTTCTCCCATTTAGTCCTTCAATCGTACAATTTGACTCCTTCTGGTATAGGAATGATTTGCAAGAAATTATTTTCAAATATACATTATAAGAAGCTCTATTTAGGGTTGGCTTGTTGAATGCAATATTCAAACAGTGGCCATTTTAGATCGGGATATCCAATAAATAAAGCCATAATCAATGAGAGGTCCTCATTCAAAGCTGGTAATGTCACTTCAGTATCAGGGATAGTCATATGTTGTTCTCTACCTGTTCTAGAGACTCCTGGACCTGCATCATCTCTGTGGACTTGGTGTGGACAGAGGCACTACACTGCTTCTTCAGCTGCAGCAGGGCAGGCTGGAACATACAACAGACAGCTTTTTAAATGTCAGTCACAGATGGGGACATTTCTAAGCCCGGAACACAAATATCACTTAAAATTACAGGAAAAACCAAAACTCTCACAGCTTTGGTAAATTTACGACGCTCACATCTACGATCAAAATGTAGGAGAATCTTACTTCAGCACATCTTCACTTGGTTTCCCAGGTTTTGAGATTGTAAATGAAACATTTTGGTTGTTGTGTGCTTAAAATTTAAAAAGGGGGACAGGTCCTGATGAAAATGAGATAATAATTACTATAGAGTGAATAAAAACAAAGTGAAAGGAGATTCCTAGAGACATGTTTATTGTATATAGTCACTTGTCAATTATGTATTCAAGTGTATTGCAAATATACAAGCATTGTCAAAATCAAGGTAAGCTTGCATTTTACAATACCTTTGCAATATCTAAGGAGAACTCTTTGTCATATACAGAGAAAATTTCTTTCTGCAACATGATGGTAAAGCAATGGAGGAAAGCTATATCATCATTCTTACATTTCTAGGGCATAGAAAATTTGCCCCTTCAACAGTCAACAATGATAACAAAGATGAAGATTATTAGAAAACAGATTGACTGTATGTATATATTTCAATATTGGATATTGTGACACTTTCAAAAAAGCTGAGAAATCAAGTGGGATGTGATTAAACCTATAACAGGCTGGTAGTACTGAGATGAGACCCTGTTTAACTAGGACAAGGACAGAATAGCAAGGCCCTTGTCATGTATTTATATGAGAAGTTCTTTTTACACAACCAATAAGATTTTCTTCTTGGTTGTGTAAAAAAACCTTCTCATAATCCATACTTACCAACCTGAAGAAAATGTTTAGAAATGGCCTTTTCATGTGCTCGACCATATAATATACAAGACACCATAATCATTTTGGATAATTAGGAATTAAGTGTTACACATGGCAGCCATCTATTGGATCCAAAAAAAATATAGCCTATACACTAAGAACCATTTACTACCTAATGACTATGAACAATATCTTATCAATAAAACAAAAGGTATAGCCAATCAGATACAAGAGATGGTGGTCATCTTGGATTTCAGGATCATGTTTCATGTAGGATAAACACCAAATATTTTTATCACTAAAATCAATACTAGTAGTTTAGAAAACTTAATTCAATTTAATTTTACAGTATGTCCCCTTTTTTTATATAAATTTTGCAACAGCGACCTTTAACTTAGAAAAAATGAAACACCTATTGAACATCTACATAAAACAGTGTTATCACCATGTAAAATGTCAGAATAAGATTTCATGATAGAGAAACAACCTCCAGAAACGAAAAATGAGGATTGACACACAGGCAGACTGAGTCCCCGATTACCCTGTAATTTATAGTACCTTGATTGTATCGGTAAATCTTGAGTCCATGTAGCCGAGGTAGGAAGGCTTCAGTTCGTAGTCTACTCCATAAGCATTCTCCGCAGACAAAGGTATCAGTTTCAGTTTCTGAGCTACCTTGTTGTACTCATTACATTGTTCTTCCAGCTGTTGAATTAATAAATCAATTATAACTACACTAGGTAACTTGAAGGAAGAGTTCACTGCAGGGTTTGTCCTGAGTGTGATCTGCCCACAGAATTTTGAAAGTCATGTATCCTTATTGTGACTAAGGTAGTCAATGTATACTAAAACATAGAAATAGTATGTAATAATCTTATGTCATATTATTTTATAATTTGATTTTGAATATCATGAAAACTTAATGAGTACATACAATTTTGTATATTATTTGGATGTAATAAGAATTTTCCACAAATACCTCCTCACTACACTTGGGACTGTGGCAAGAAATTACAAAGTTTATTCAGAGTATTATGTTGACGGATTTAAGACACTAATTAGATACAACAATCTCATAAAATCAGAAAGCTAACCCTCCTATAGGCAAACAATTTTGACAACCATTTACTCTTTTGAAGCAATGAAACAGCTGTGAAACGACAATATAATCATAACCAAATTACACAAGATGTGAAACAAAAAGATGTTCAATGACATTAATTGTAAATGTTCCACCAATATATTTATCAAGTATAAGATATTGTTAAAATATTTAAATGATAACATTCTAAGTTTTCATCCAAAAATACAACTTCACCTTTTCATGTTCTTTTGACAGCTCCATTTCCTTCTGCCAGATTTCCTTGTCAGTCTCTCCCTCCCGCCGCTCCGCCTCTTGCCGTTGCCGATGCAGCTCTCGACCATTTAACTTGATACGCTCGACATCTGCTTGGGACAATTTCTGGTCCTCAAACAATGCATTCATCCTCTGTTTGTTAGATTCGGCACACTTTGAATCGGCAACTTTAACCAACAAGAAAGGTAGTTAGGCTCAGTAATAGGTTTCTCTCAAAATTCCAAACTCCCTGTTTGACTTGTTGATAGTGAAGACTATATGTGTGTTAAATCTACCAGCAGTTCATTGATGATTTTCTACTACTTGTCCTCTTAAATATTAATTCCAACAGTGAATGAAATACATTATATGTAACATTCCAGAAATGTTGAATATCGATTGATGAATGCAGGGAAGTTAATTATAACCTGCTAATATCGAAATGCAGCATCTTACAAGAAGCCCAGAAGAACTGGAATCATTTCTGTATCAGATTTTTTTATGTCCAGCAATTGCATACATGGTTATGGGATGGGGATCTCAAATGTTTCAAAGTTTAGTTATGACCCAGGGTCGACTTAGTCACAAAGCATGCGACCACTCCTGGTATCTATGTCTATTTGTCCCTTCACGCTCAGCAACTGTATGCAGTAACAGGGTTGGGATCTCAACCAATTTCACTCTGCCATTCAGAAGAAGTCGTTTGAAGAAAATGGTGACAAACAGATGTCATGGTACGCCATAAATTCACCTTGGTCATTTGGACCAGGTGAGCTAACAACGAATGCTACATCTTGAATTTAAGGGGAATGATGTTGACCTATATAACCAGGAAAAAGGTGTCTACCTCTTTAACACCAAATAATAAATAACAAGAGGCCTATAGGGCCTGTATCACTCACCACGATATCTGTGCAATCATGGCAAAATATTCTCCAAATAGATCCAAGGGAATATGCCAGACCCCAAGGCCAATCCTTGTAGCATATCTGTATTAGATTGTTCATGCCCAGCAGTTTTATGTATGGTATGGAGTGGGGATCTCAACTGTTTCCAAGCTGTGACTCAGAAACTAGCTAGGTCCCTAAGTTTGTGGCCAGACTCCAGGATCAATTCTAATATCATGACTGCATTCGTCTCTCTATGCCCAACAATTGTATATATAGTTTTGGGGTGGGGATCTTAACAATTTCAAAGTTATGACCCATGGGGTTAAGTCTCCAAGGGTGTGGCAGTCCCCAAGGCCATCCTGGAAGCATATGTGCATTCATCACTTTATACTCAGCAATTGTATATATTGTTATAGGGTGGGGATCTCAACTGTTTCCAAGCTGTGACTAAGAAACTAGGTCCCTAGGGGTTCGGTAAGACCCTGGAGGGTCTATTCTAATATCATGACTGCATTCGTCTCTTTATGCCCAGTATTTGTATATTTGGTTTTTGGGTGGGTATCTCAACAATTTTAAAGTTATAGCCCAGGGACTATGTCTCCAAGGGTGGGGCCAGACCCTAGGAGACATCCTGGAAGCAAACGTGCATTCTTCTCTTTATACTCAGCAATTGTATATATGCTTATATGGTGGGGATCGCAACCATTTCCAAAGAATAAACTTTTTTTGACCCCTCCCCTTAGCCCTGGGGGTCAGCCCCACCATTTGTACAGTTTTGAATCCTTGCCTCCAATGAATGCTTCCGACAAAATATGAGTGATATCCAGTGCATAGTTCTACAGAAGAAGTCGTTTGTAGCAATATAGCCAAATAGCCCCCTTTTGCCCCGCCCCTCAGCCCCCTGGGGGGTTAGCCCAACCATTTTCCCGCACAGAAGCAAGTTTTACAAGTAAACGGAACTTTTTCAAAGCCGATTACAAGTCAATTAAGGATGAACTTTCTAGTTTTGACTGGGAAATTATGGAGAGGATGACTACCGTTGAGGCTTAGAATCACTTTGTTGAAATAATATCAGAAGTTATAGACAACCATATACCAGTGAACAAAGTGGAACCTAGTCGCACTAGTAAACATCCTCTAAATCGAGAGGTGGTTCAGGCCTTAAAGGCAAAACAGAGTAAGTGGAAAAAGTATGTACATTGCAAATCCACGGTGAACTTTGACAAATATAGGCAGGCGCGGAACAGAGCTACAAATCTTGTAAGGAAATCTGCATTCCTCAAGGAAAAGGATATAGCGCAGAACATTAAGAGCAATCCCAAACAGTTCTGGAGGTACACACGTTCTAAGATGAAGACCAAAGCAGCAGTGTCCAATGTGTACAAAGAAAATTGAGTCCTCACAATCAATGACCAAGAAAAGGCGGACGCATTGATAACATTTTTCGCGAGTGTATACACAAGCGAGACGGATGTTGAATTACCTCCCTTTCCTAATAGGCACTTGGAGCAGACAATTGCTGATACACCAATAACAGACGAGGAAATCTTGACTGCGGTCCAAGCTATGGACGGCTCTAAATCACCTGGTCCGGACAATATACATCCAAAGTTCGTTAAAGAGACTGTACATGAGTTACTAAAACCATTAAACATCATCTTCAACAAATCACTGGAGGAAGGAGTATTACCACACGATTGGAAAAAGGCCAATATAACACCAATCAATAAAAAAGGTAGGAAACAGGATAGCGGCAACTATCGTCCAATCAGTCTATCATCTGTATTTGGGAAATCACTTCAGAGAATTATCAGGAATAGAGTGGTGGAACACATGACTAGTAACAAACTGTTCTCTGATCATCAATATGGTTTTGGGAGCAAACCTTCATGTAACCTTCAGCTGCTTGAAATTATGGAAAGTTGGACGGAATCTCTAGACAACGGAAATGAGGTCGACGTAGTGTACTTAGATTTCAGTAAGGCTTTTGACACAGTTCCTCACAGAAGGCTGCTTGAAAAGGTCAAGGGATATGGGATTGACGGCAGTATCGGGAATTGGATATGTGATTTCCTCCAGGACATGGAACAGCGAGTAGTGATCAATGGCAAGGCATCTTAATCAATTTTGGTCACAAGTGGAGTGCCACAGGGTAGCGTTCTGGGACCGATATTGTTTTTAATATACGTCAACGACCTACCAGATGTGACAAACAATACAGCTAAATTATTTGCGGACGACGCCAAAATGTTCGGTGATATAACATCGCCCAAGTGCATTGACTCCATGAAGGATGATCTCAACAACATAAGCCACTGGACTGAGACTTGGCAAATGAAACTGAATTTAGATAAGTGCAAATATATGAACATCAAGCTTGGGCAATCTATATCTGACCAAAGTTATACCTTAACGGGAAACACCAACACAACAGTAATTAAAAAGGTGGAGCATGAAAAGGACTTGGGGATTGATTTCGATAGTAACTTGAAATTTACCGGTCATGTCAACACGCAAGCGAAGAAGGCCAACAGAATGGTGGGATTAATATTCAAATCTTTTACCTACATGGACGAGGCAATGTTCGCTAATCTATACAAGTCTCTAGTAAGACCTCACTTGGAGTACTGCACATCAGTCTGGTTTCCAATGTATAAAAAGGACCGGAAGACTCTAGAAAATGTCCAACATCGTGCCACCAGGTTGTTGCCTCATCTCAAACATCTAAACTATGAGGAGTGTCTGCGAGTTTAAGAATACCTTCCTTAGAGTACAGACGTGAAAGAGCAGACATGGTAAACCTTTTTAAAATATGCAATGGACTTGTAGATGCCAACGTGGATAAATTCACAACTTTCGCGGACGGACAGAATGTACACAACACCAGAGGACATAACAAAAAACTTTTCAAGAAAAGATTTAGGACTAAACTAAGAGGAAATGCCTTCTCCAACCGAGTGACCGAACTGTGGAACAATCTAGACTCCACCGTAATAAACGCTCCATCATTAAACTGTTTCAAATCAAGACTGAACCGTGCGTGGAAACACCACCCAGGAAAATTCAGCCCCGCATGCTACAGAGTGGGAGGTGCAGACCGGGAGTCCGTACCAGTAGAATTAGTAGAAGCGTCAATAGTAGTCTATGACTATTTGTATGACGTCGACAACGGTGAGTTAACGTTTTACTATACATGTGTTTCTATTGATAGTTGCAGTATTATAATAACATACAAAGGCGAGCTATGCTGTTCTCCGACAGCTCTTGTTGTTTTAGGACATGAATATTGTGATATACTATAATAATTTGTTGTGATCAACTTCCAATNATATCCATCTCTTGGTTCCAGAGAAGAAGTCGCTTAAAGTAATTTAGCCAAATTGCCCCCTTTTTGCCCCGTCCCTCAGCCCCACCATTTGTACAATTTTGAATCTCCACCACCTAGGGATGCTTCCAGTCAAATAAGGTTGATATCCATCTCTTGGTTCCAGAGAAGAAGTCACTTAAAGTAATATAGCCAAATTGCTCCCTTTTTGCCCCACCCCTCAGCCCCAAAATTTGTACAATTTTTAATCTCCACCACCTAGGGATGCTTCTAGTCAAATATGGTTGATATCCATCTCTTGGTTCCAGAGAAGAAGTCGCTTAAAGTAATTTAGCCAAATTGCCCCCTTTTTGCCCCGTCCCTCAGCCCCACCATTTGTACAATTTTGAATCCCCACCACCTAGGGATGCTTCCAGTTATTTTTAGTTAAATTCCAATCAGTGGTTAAGAAGAAGTCGTTTAAAAAATTTATTGACGGACGGACGACGGACGCCACGGTATGGCATAAGCTCACCTTGGTCCTTCAGACCCGGTGAGCTTAAAATGTAATTTAGCAGAAATCGTCTGCAAACCTGATTTGAGGAATTTGCCTTATTCAGGTGTTTACTAAGTTCCCCATGGTCAAAACCACATGACTTTATCTGTCCATGGTCAAACCATGTGACTTATTCTGCCCAAGTGACTTACGCGCTTCACTGAGCTCTTCCTCGGCTTCTGCACACTGCTTCTCCAGCCCTTGTCTGTGTATATCGATTTTGGAGAGATGATCCATGTAGCGCTCATCATCCAGTTTGAGCATGTCTCTTGCCTCCTTTGTGGTTTTCAGGCTTTCCTGTAACCAAAACAACCGATACAGAATCTTTCTATTTTGTTGTGTACAATCCATTCACTTTTATTACCAAGATAATGTGGTCCTGACGATCGACGGTTGTCAGTAAATCACTGCAATGAGTATATGTATTACAATAACGACTAACTATGATCACAATCACAGATATGTTGAAGTTTTACAATAGCCAAATGATGGCCGCACATGTTATCAATAGGAACTTTTACACAAGATTCATTCCTATTTCAGCAAAAACTGTGTATGGCTGCTACAACTGATGGTTGTTTTAATTTCTCTAATTTATCAACTGACATAAACCGAGTTAATGCCCTCAGCTGTGGACTTGGAGGGAGCCCCTTTATCTGTCAATCACCTGTGCTGTACAGCCTGATGCCTGATACAACAGTTTTTGACTTGGAGAAAAAATGTTTATTGGAGTTTCATAATTGAGAAGTTTTTATACAAAATCAGTTTTAATTTTTTTCTTGACTCGAGAGAAATCCATGAAAATGAATGTCATCAATCAACAATATATCATCAATCATCGCACTTTCTTCCACAATCAACAATAAAAGGTTGTGTGATTATAAATACTATCAATGAAACTATATATCCACACTTTCATATAATGACCCCTTCGTTTGTACATTACGGGTGTCAAAAGTTGGGAAGGAGTATCAAGATGTTTCAGTGATGAAAATTACAATAAAACATGGCTTATGTTTACGTACTCAAATAGCAACAAAAAAAGCTCTTTGAAGATTGTAGATGTAAGTGTGCTGTCTCCCTTTAGTTTCTTTTGAAACACTGATAATCTTGTCTTAATATAAATATTTGTGAAAATACAACAATTGATCTTTCCATTCATTAAAAATAATATTGTTTGATTTAGAAAGTCCTTTCACACATTGCATGATACAACATTGGGCCCAATTATTAATCATCAGAAATTGCGTCATTAGAGGGTAATATGACCAATATTGACGAGACAAGATTTAAATTTCTGTGGTAGACCTAGTTCTTGTTTCCTTTGACTATGTGTTATATTTCGGTGAATTAGAATTAATATTACAATGAGATATGATGATATATAGTGTCATCTCTCACTCATCAGTTAACATCTCTCTCTAGGGAATGGAATATCTGTACAATAAACAAGATCATGACCACGGAAACACATTACAAACATTACTTTGTACAAAACAAACCATGTCATTCTCCAGTAACTCCAGTTCTGTTTGTAGTCTCTTGTGCTCCATCTCTAGTGAATCATTGCCACCCGCTGTACCACAGTATCTCTCATCTGTCAACAAAAAGTGTTCACACACCATCAACTAGATAAGACTGTACAAAACAACTGCATATTACACCAGACAGGCATGATATAGATATTGATGTTATTTAAGTCAACAAGTTTAATAACTATGAAGCCTGACGGGGACAATAATTTTCTATACCTTCAAAGTTTGTTGATAACTTTAAAGCATATAGGGATTTTGACATCCATAAAATTTATTGTTTTTTCCATTATTTTCTGTATTTTCCAGTGATGCTGTACATGTATAACCCGGGGACTCGCTCACTAGTTCAGCAACGTAGATCATGGTCAGTAGCTGGATGGGTAACTGCCCGCATGTTACAAATGCCAGTAAACCCCATTAAGTTTCAAGTGATGGAGGAGACAACTTTTCCAATAATAAGTTATTCGTTGCATGACAACATAATACTATGTCCAGTCAAAATTAAGTAAAATAATATGAAGTGCCAATACATACGCATTTTCTTTTCAAGTTGTTCATCATAGTCTTCAAAACTGTCCTGACCAGCCATGTAGGCACTGTATGTTTGCTCAAAGTAGTAGTACAGGATCTACAAATACACGAGTACAGACACTGTAAACAAGTTTTTTTCAACAGAAGTCTTAAAGATACAGGACAAATTTCACAGCCTTACATTTTTAAACCTGATTAAATCTCAATATTTTGCATTGTCATCACCTGCACAAGAAAATTAAACACTTAACAGGTCTTTACACAGCGATTAACTCATGTTACACAACATAATTTTTTTTCTATTTAACTATGTAAACTCACCTTTGTCTCCGGGACAGAATTTTCAAAATCATCTTCTACAGATGGAAAATAGGAGCTCACAATTTCTCCAGACAGTCCCCACTGAAATACGATATAATGGATATAATACTATCCTAACATGAATTGACAATTTCTCCAGACAGTCCCCACTGAAATACGATATAATGGATATAATACTATCCTAACATGAATTGACAATTTCTCCAGACAGTCCCCACTGAAATACGATATAATGGATATAATACTATCCTAACATGAATTGACAATTTCTCCAGACAGTCCCCACTGAAATACGATATAATGGATATAATACTATCCTAACATGAATTGACAATTTCTCCAGACAGTCCCCACTGAAATACGATATAATGGATATAATACTATCCTAACATGAATTGACAATTTCTCCAGACAGTCCCCACTGAAATACGATATAATGGATATAATACTATCCTAACATGAATTGACAATTTCTCCAGACAGTCCCCACTGAAATACGATATAATGGATATAATACTATCCTAACATGAATTGACAATTTCTCCAGACAGTCCCCACTGAAATACGATATAATGGATATATTAGTATCCTTAACATGAATTGACAATTTTTAATTTACCTTGATCACACATTATAGACACTATATTGTACAAATGAATTTTAATTATATCAAATAATCTCATCAATTCATTGAGATATATATATATATATATGTAAATGTATGGAATATGCGTGTTTCTTAAGGAATTGCTATCCTTCTTTCCACTTTAATTTTTGAGTTGCATTTTTTGCCCTGTACACCATAAGGTATCCTCTTGAAACTGAGAAGATGACTTCAACATACATGTGGACTTATGTGATGTTGGTTCTTAGGGAGCTTTCCCTACTTCTTTTGTGTTTGATTTTAGTCAAAAAAATGAAGCACAACATTTTATCTTGAGTGTCAATAATGTCTTTTGCTTTATCATAGATTATAGATCATATTCTTTACTGTATACTAACATTTTTTTAAATTTTGAATTTGGAAAATGGGGCCAAAGAATTCAATTTTCAAGAAAAGTTGTTATCCAAAGAAAATTATTTCAGTTTTAGTCTGACCCATCCTGTCAGTTCATCTTAAGGATAGTAATATAATTATTTTTTGAAAACCTTGAAATAGAAAAAAGATACCCTTATGAGATTTATGAGCCAGTTGAGGGCCGCCAGCAGTGTGGGCCATGTATGGGGGCTGCCAACTGAATGCATGGAACTTTTTGTAATGGTAAATGGATAGCCGAGCTGCTTGAAAATCTTTGGAACATCATCCCTGCTAACAGAACACTTTGGGTTCAGGAAACCATATATAAACTGAAAGAAATTAAAACATATTTACAATATTGTACATGTATTCACAAATTAAGAAATTTCATTAAAAATTGAATTTGGTTTGTATTGACATAAGGAATCACTAATCAAAGATATTTCAGATATGCTCTTCTCCGTAAAGACGAGTTGAAACACACATTTGCTGCTAAAAGTATGTTCAGATGTGTGATATTTCACCCATTTCCAATATATGCAGAATTCTCCCAGGAATGTTTTTATGAGCTTTGTTTTCAATCTCCAATACTATTTCACTCACAAACAAAGTTATCTGAAGCCTTCAGTTAGATTAAACTTCACTGTCAAAGTCCTGGCTTTGATGGGGAGAAATATAATCAATAGCATGATTGCAAAATGTAATGGGTAATAGGAAAAGTTTGTGCATAGCAGGAAATTTTCGTGTAGTGGTTCAAAATGTATTTACAATTGTACAGCTACACAGCCTGTGAATGAGATTAATATATATTGTACAAACCTATTTTTTTTGGAACAAATGCTCATTGAATGAAGCATTCAATTATTTTTTTACTGAAATAATTGAACTTAATTAAGTAATCATAAGCAAACCTCAAATATCTTCATGAAGTCCCCACCAGTAGGTGACTGTAGAACCTTGGGAGATATAGACTGGGGAAACTGCCTTTCTGTTAAAAACTGAAATAGAAATCCAAAACTTGATTAAAAGTCATATTCATGTTAAAATATTTTATCTATATCAACCCTTCTGAACCATTGTGATCATAAAATAGGAATTTTAATGTCATCACACAGGAAAAGTGGTATCTATCATTCAATATACCATATTAATCTTGTTTAATATGCATATAAATATAAGCTCATGCTCACTAAACGACATTCCATTCCTGCTGTAAATACAAATACTTAAATCATTAGCTTTTCACTATTGAACCTGATATTTAAGGCTGAAACAGCGAAGTAATTAAGTGTTTATTATTGGTTACTATACCATGATCAGGTCTTTAATACACGTTTGTTGGTAAGATTTGTTAGAGATTGGTCGTGGGTCTTTCGTTATGCCTGTATGACCTCTCATCCCCATGCCACTGCCCCGAGACATCCTGAAAATTTCATAAAGTCATAAAAGCAAATGCATTCCTACAAGCCATCTTTATAATTTATTATTCAAATTCTGTTTACAATGATTTTTTTATCAACTTTAATTATGAGATCATTATCAACTTTAATTATGAGATCATTATCAACGTTTATAACTCAATAAAAAATATTTTACTTACTACAATATCTACTATTTAAAACCATGTGAAACTTGTTCTGATTGGATGATTAATTCACAAGTTTCTTAGTTGGTATGATATTATACCGACTTTAGAAGTTTGTTCAAGGTATAACGTACTTAGAACCAAAACAAGGGGAATCTTCTTTAATACCCAATCTGAGCACAGCCTTAATGGGACATCCCAGCAGTGCTTCAGTAAAACATTGTTATATCTATCGTCAATTTTGGTATGCAATCACTATATATGCAATATCAGGTCATTGTAATGACTGCAAACTAATATAGAATTGTATTTCGGTGAAATTATTCTTTAGATAGACAACACTGTATCAACATTACTGAAAGATAACTATTGTGTATTACCTATGGTATGTGTATATATATAAATATATATACCTCAGGTTAAATATTTGGAAACCAAATACAAAATATGTTAATGTATATCTACATCAATTTTTATATTAACCTGTTCTTTTGCTGTTGGTTAGACCCATAAAAACTGTATCTTGACACAGAATTACGGGGGCCACCGTTGGCTGAACCCTGTGAATATTGACTTGACCCACTAACGGCCCATTTCTGCTGTGGTATTCCACTCTTTCTGTTAGCATCTGTGTTGACGCGCAAGGGACCACCAGACATGGATGACCGGTCTTGGGATGATGCACGTCGACTGTGAGATCCGTGAGATCCGGACAGGGAAGAACGCTCCATAGAGGATGCCCTTCTGCCATAGTTACTCGATACTGACTTTCGCATTTTGACTGTAAGTTCTGAAATTAAAAACTGTATTTTAGTCCTGATGAAAATGAAGTATAAAGGTATTTCAGTCTACAGGAAGTTGATCAAATAGTCTAATATAACATCGTTTCCATGACATCTACCAGGTATGTGATTTTCAACGAACTTCAATGCAAAATAACCATGTGTACAAAATATGTGCAGCTGTAAAGAAATTTCCTGTGATTATTTTTTTACTTGTGTGACATAAAAACACAAGTACAATCTAAGTTTATGTCACATTATTACCTTTATAAACTAATTTCTTCATTTAAAATTCAACAGAATAGAGAATTGATTAACTACTCCGTCCTTCATCTGTTGGTTTATTTACAGGGAATATATATATTAATACATAAATATGTAGACACCTAAAATTAATAGACCAACCATCCTTGTAATTTCAGGGGTTATGCTAAATAACATTATCTACACCCCTGGAGTATGTCATGAAAAAATAAATACAAGGAAGGTAGACAGTATGGTAATCTATTTGGTTGGTTTCAGGTAAAAAAAAAAAAGACAAATAACTAAGTTAATATCTGTCCTTTGAGGATGACAGAAATATAGCAACAGCAGACTTAGAAGCTGGTGATCAGTTTTATGGTTTAATGCTGCTACACAATTCTTATTATGTACATGAAAAGATTAAACTAGTGTATCATCCACAAGCTGTGCAGAGATTTAAAAATCTTAGGGTGTGCATGCAGAAAATTATTTTAAGTGTGTTACTCTCTGGAAGTACCACTGAAAACCAGTATGATAACACATGCTGAGCATAACAGAAGTAGTGGACTTTGGGCATGGATATATAACAGGAAAGAGAGTAGTGTGCTTCCACTGGGGATCAAACCTACAACCACCAGCTTAATTCCCAGTCTTGTCAATTTACAGATAAGCTCAAGGGAAATTCCCTTTAGTGGGAAGCCAAAAGCCGACTAATCATATATGCAATCAAAATCTCCCACACTATTCCCCCTTTTAAAATGTATTCGCTGCCCCCTTTTAAAATGTATTCGCCGCCAAACATCAAAACTACCCAGGTTCTAACCGTAAGACTAACGGATCACTGTCACCAAAAGGGAAATTCATCTAGCACAAAGCTAGGTAGTGACCATAATAGCTGATACAACGTTTTGAAATTTCTCGCCCCCCCCCCCCCCCCCCCCCGCCTTTATTAAATTACTATAAATACGTCCGTTACAACATAATTTGAAATATTCCCAGATTCAATATGATGAAGGCAATTATATGGCAGAAATAGAAGCAGAACATGTACAATTATGATTTGCCAATGGTGGCATTTTGTCGTATGGACCCAAAATTATTACCATTATTGGCGTGTATTTTATTTTAAAAAAGTAACTTGTCTCTAATAAAAATGTTATTCATAATGATTGCCTATATAGGCCTAGCAGATCATTCGGAAAACTGTAAACTAGAAATTAAAAGTTTAAGAAAACGGCTTCAGGAAATATTTAATAAATCAATTTAACTATACTTTATTTTAAAAATGTCAGTTGATTTAATTTTATTAATAAACCATTGAAATGAGTGAGTATATTGAATTGAGTCTATACATCTCTAGTAGGGGTCCTAGTTGTTGCCTGTATTTCAAATGTAAACAAATGTTAGGCCTACTGCAGTCGACTCAAAGTTGCAGGTGCTTGATTTGAAATATAGGAGTGTCGTCAATTTATGTTCATATTCTCCATAAACTTCAAACTGTTATTGTTGTTTTTAATGAACACACAGAGAAATCGTCTTCAGATAAAAAGTTTTCTTACTTATCTCATTTGTGGATATTAGTTTGTCATACTTAAATCCAAATCAAAACAACCGCTCCCGCTTTCCTCCCATTCGACGCATGCGTACCGGGGGTCGTATGTGCGGGACTTACTTTTTATGACAAACTTTGATTAAATCTTATAAGCAAGTCATTTAGTTGTCAACAAAATAGTTTATAATCTGGCAATATTGTAAATGGTAATTCATCTTTATTTTCAATAAATGGATGTAAAAACAACGAATCCCGGAAATTATTCACTGCGCATGTGCATCCGCCATGATAGCAAATATTTTTCTGAAAGGGAAGTTGTCTTAGTTGAAGCTGCAAACCCTGACGATTTAGCCTCTCCAATGCTCGCTTTACATACACCAGAGGATGTCAAAGACACTGATTAATTTAGAAAGGTAAGTATTTCTCGTATACGTAACCACCACACATGTGTACGTTTCTTGTTTCTTCTAGACAGGTGTTACCTTTTTTCTTTAGTTCCTGAAGTTAGCAAAATAGAAACTGGCATCATTTACCGATGTTTGTTTTGACATACGTCTGTGACTGTTTGTTTTAGTCGACCTATATGCAACAGTTGAAATAGGATCTTATGCATGATGTGTTATGGTATATTTTGATAAATTCAGATTAATTTATTGTTATCGCGATCAAAACATTGTCAATTTGTCAAGGTTGTACTAACACGTCATGTTATGATGTTGAAAATTGGAAAATGAATTGCGTGTTTAATGTCTTGTCCTTATATTTGTATACTTAACTGATAATATTATGTTGTTTTAACTTAAATAATTAGTTGTATTATGACAGCCGGGTCATGTCTGTCAGTCACGCATCAAAACGTCAATATATATGGTATACCAACAGTCCATGTCAAATCAGCTGATCGATGTATACGTGTTTATTTTTCAATTGGTGGTATGATTGCACAAAATATCATGAACACCTTTCAGCCACATTTATTTATTTGTGACATCAACTTAAGTCTGGTTTCAATTAAATGTGTGTAACTGTAAAATAAACACGTCTGTAATTTGAAGGCGCTAGTGGAAATTAATACTCGGACCAAGACTCCTTATTTGACTAATGATGAGAAGAGCCCTAACCCCAAGTAATTTGACAATTTGTGTATTCTGTATGTACTTGGTCCGTCTTTGGGTTAAGCTTTGCTGGATTAATTCAGGAATGTATTAGTTTAAAGGATTAAAAAAAAATCCTTTTATAAGATGTATAACATCATAGCAAGTTTTGTAACTAAGTAAACATTCAAATTGAAAGGATTTTTTTTGTTCAAAATACAACAATTACCGCACAATTGCATTTTAGGAAAGTTGTCTACTTGTCTGATGTATACATACAGTGTTCTCCCCAGGCTGTTTTAGCATCATGGCACAATTTCGCAAAAGACTGTCGATAAAACTTTCAGAAAACTTGAAATAAAAATTTGTTACAGTAAGATGGAACGTAAATGAGCAGAATGCACGTTGCGGCCATGTTATTTTGATTACCTGAATAATCTTACACAATCCGTGATTCAATGGCTTTTGAAACATGGATAAGGAAGCGTTAATAATTTTGGCGCCAAATTTATAAATAGCACATGGTTTTCCCAGTTTGAGAGTAACAATTTTACTGGATATTTACAGTAATTCAATTTGATAACTATATTACTATAAGTTAATATTGAAAACAGCATTGTTGTGATAATTTAGACTTTTTGATTAACAGGTAGCTAGGCCTGGTTAATTTCGTAACTAATGGATTTTTTTCAAATTGAATTTTAAAAATGAACCATTGACTTCAAAATTAATTAATAATTTGTCAAAATAATTACCTTTAGTTTGAATGTTATCATTTATTTATCCTCGGACGCATAATCATTTATTTCTATGATGACATTCTTGTAAAACAAATGCTAAGTATTTGTTAAAATTATCCATTTTCTTGAGTCTTGTTAGATGAAGAAAAAGGGCAAGGAAATGATCAATGATAATGCAATGTCAAGATTATTAAGTAATGCTATTCATTTAGATTTAAACGATCAATTATTACTGTTGGTTAGAGTTTTCTTTCTCAAAGTGGCATTGCGCACGATTGATGGGTTGTGATGTGGAAATGGTTGGCAGTGCCACCCTGTGCTGGAAGGGTTAAAAAGTAGATGCCATAGTGTATCAAACAATTTCTATGGAGAACACTGGTATAGAATATTATCACATTTACAACATGTTTATCAGCTCACCTGACCTGAAGTTTCAAGTGAACTTATCCTGTGGCATGGCATCCATCATTAAGTTTTAAAAGACTACTTTTACAGAATGGCTAAAGGGAATTTGGCTTTGGCATGTATCATTCTTTGGCCAACATATTATAAATGAAGGGTGTGTCCTGCTTGTGTTGTCATTACCACAACTTTTCCAAAGAAAGCTTGAATGCTCCCTTTTCTATTTAGAAATATGAAGTTGAGATAAAATGTGTGTTCCTGGAATAATATTTAAAATGTGTGTTCCTGGAATGATATGTATCAAGGTACTAATGACAATACGCTAGGTGTGTGATCTGTTAAAGACTTTAAATAAAGAGATTTGTAGAATTTGCGATGCTCTGTAACTTAAAAAAAAATATTCAAATTACAGGAAAAATTGCTGATTAAGCAGTTTCAATATAAATGACTTCCATGAAAAGTCTATATGGTGATGATTCTTTAATTTTGGCAACCTCAAATTTCAAACAACTGAAGACATTTACCCAAAGAACAAGTGCTTTTAAGATTTGTCTCCTTGCTCTTAATGAACAAAGTTCTGCCAACAATGCTAATAATGTTTCTCTCATTTTAAGTGGCGCAATACATGCACATTTACAATACAGACATTATGTCTAATTATAGAACTCATGCATTTTACTTCCTCTTTGCCGTTTTTTTTTTCACGCTGATTGATATTAGGGCAAAGTATGGTTAACCTACAGGCTATTGGATATTAAAATATTTATTAACACTCCTGGTTTACATAACTATCTTGTTTGGATAGGCTGGGTTTGATTTCTCTGTTGACATAAAACAGTATTCTACCTTTGTACTATGTGTAATTTTTATGTCAGATTGCACAATATTTTCACACAGTGTCCATAAAATACCATAAAATACTTATCAATGTATGATGATTATTCATACTCAGTAGGTATATACATATATCTGTTATGGTATTGCCAGAGGGGGTTTCCCTGGGCTATTCCCTGTTGTGAAGTGACCTTGTAAACAATCAATCAGTGTACAGTGTCCTGTATAAGGTAGCTGATCAACTTTACATTATATGATGAAGCAGATTTTTGCTGTGTGGGGTTTCAGTTAAGTTGGCCTTGTGTAAGTTATATGGATGATGATAGAGTTGAAAATTTGACTGACTAGTTGATAGATTATAAAATTTAAAATTTAAAATTTAACATTATTTGTAATTAAGTTTGTTTTCAGATCAAAAAGCTAATTATACAATTTTTGTTAAATTTTATTTGCTGAATGCTTTACCTGAGGTGACATTTAATGTTATGATCAACATGTTTCATTATTGTTTATGGATATTCCATGTTTATATATATATATATAAACAATTATATTTATACAAAATATTGATATTATTTATTTACTCTATCATAATATTAAAATGTTGACATACATTTTGCAGATATCATCTACTACAGGTTTTATATATGTATCATTTGTACAAAATATCAGAGCAGGTTGGTTCCAAATACTTTGTATAAGATGTTTTACCCTGTATGTCTTTGTCTTATCATACTGCGATGTGTCTACCGCTCAAAGAACCTGTGTTTGTTCAGAAAACAGTTAAATATTGTTTGGAGGTAATGTTAATTAGTTCAGGATTCATTTAACTAATAGCACTAAATATTGGAGCTANGGGCCCCCCCCCCCCCCCCCAGCTATTCTGTCAGGCTGGACTCTTTTGTGATTAATAGGCCCTGCAGAACATGCTGAACATTTTCCTAGTTAAAGGGCCCTGCAGAACCCTATGGAAAGACTTAAAGTAATGATTTAGCTTACCTGGTATTTGGAGGGGGGGGTGGTATCACTCTAAAAATAAAATAAAATTTGATGTGTATAATACACATAGAGGTGTCATCTGTTCAATTTTCATAGTACATTATTACAGCATCCATACAAACGATGAAATTTAGAAAATACAACATGTGCACTGCAAAACGAAAATGTACAAAGAGTCTGTCGGTCTAAACTGTAATTGTATAGTGAAGGTAGTATTCATAGTATTAATTTCACATAAGTTCTATAATTGCATCTGAACTGCATGTTGATGAGAATATTTTATAAATTTAAAAAAAAATTAGATATCAGCTTTAAAAAAGTCAAAAATTTAGAGGAAAATCAGGTCCTGTTAATTATATATATTGACATTCAATTTCACTGTGAATCAGTGTAATAGAAATTATGATGTGTAGGATTTTGCTTGTAGATGTGAAACAAGAAGCTAGAAATGACATCAGACTTAATAATAACAATGGATCAATGTTACAGAGAACAATGCTAAGCTATTGTGTTTATTTGTGCACTTGCATAAGAGCCAGAGATCAATGCTTTAAATGGAGGTTACAATACTGGTGAACTTCAGCTTAGTACTTCAGGGTTTGCTGTATGGATGTTATTGAATTTAAAAAACCCCAACAAAACTTAACCCTGATGTATTATTTTATAAAATAAAATGGATAAATTTGTTTCAAAAGTTCTATGTTAAAAGTTAGTATGTTTTAGTGGAGACGGAAAATTTCAAATGGAAAATATAATCTTAATTTGTAACTTATTGCTGCCATATTGATGTAGACTAGTGCTGATAAAGTGATGAAGTACTTGTACCCCCAGTGTGTTGGGTGCAGTATTGGTACACATTGAACAGATCATTGTCAATACAAAAAGGAAATGGTGGCAGATGTTGTAACACCGAATGTCATTGTTAACCATCTGGGTAGCTATAGGAAGATCTGTCTGTAGCTACCAGATGTGTGATGTGGTTAATGTTGGTGCATACATGTGTCTGGAAATAACACAAGTGAACTTAGTACACACTTGTCAAAGACTTGTTTGTTTACTTTACTCGCTAACATAGATAATAAACAACCACATGTGCCATATTTTTAAGTCCCTTTTAGTTTTATAATATTGTTTTCATTTTACAGTATAATTTTAGTTTGATTGCCCTTAGTTCAGGATGGTTTAAATACATAGGCTGTTTTAGCAGCATGTATCTGGTACCTGTAAGGGTTTGTGCTGGGAAATAAATACTTAGATGGCGACCTTGTTTGGCCATGACAAATCTAATGTTTTTCTGAATATTTTCAATGGGAATATTGGACATTTAAACGTTTCTTTTCCACTTCCTCACTTCACACCTGCTGCCTCAGATTTATGTACTCCATTAGATAAATCTGACCATGAACTTTTAAAATTTTCTGGAGAGAGCACAGTCTCCGAACTCAAGCATTAGTTCTTTACAAAGTTCTAGATTTACTTTAATTTGCTTACAGCAGTGATACACATCAGGATGTTGATGAAGGCATGTTTTAATTCTGTATATCATAATAGAAGTGGTGGGTTGTTTAGACACCAAGGTGTGTCCTACGTGATAGCTATCGTGTCACAATGCTATTTATAGTTTACAGACAGTCTACCCCTATGGTAGTCTATACACACACAGGGTGGTTCTAGTTCAAATATACAGACCGGCTAGTACTTAGTTACAATGTTTATCTTGAAAATCAAGTTTCTAGCTCTTTCAGAAAAAATATATACATTTTCAATTCAAGCATACAGACACTTCCTCTGAAATTCACTCTGCTCTTGCATTGTGCATAATAATACAGCATTCATTTATAATGCTGGAGTGTCACTACATATATCTGGTCTGTAACTCTCCTACTTATTTATGCCTGGATCAAGTAAAGCTCAGAGGATGGGTTTAAGTTTAAGTGTCCTTAATGCTAAACAGGCATGTTTCTCGCCACACACAACAATACAAGTGTCATCAGTGTTGTCGTCACCAGTCAATTATGTACAGGCTATGAGATATTACCGGGAAAATCACACACAAGAACGAATTGGAATGATAAAGTTTCTACCAAATCTTTCACCTTTTTACAATACCTGTATGTCTGAAAGGGTAAAGAACAATGAGTTGTTTAAATTTGGTTCCACAGTGTAGTGTAATTATGACCTATACTTCTTTAATTTACAGTAGTAATGAAACCTATTGTAATAAATGTCACAAAGTTTTTGATTTATTATCGAAATTTCTGGTGTGAACAGTTCTTACATTTCAGGCTGCATTTGAGATAATATGAAAACATGCATTAGCATTAGCATTTCTATATAATACCTTGTATCTGTAATGATAAACATTCTAAAGAAAACGTAAGATTGTCATAAAGATTGTGTATAATCGTTAGGGTGTATGACCAGATTTTACAAGTCTATACACAAAAACTCTTACCGACTACATCTCTGTATGCACTCTGTGTTGGATTGTATTATTTATGTGACATTTGCGGTATTGGTGTCCATGTCTATCAAGTATATATATTATGAAAACAAAAACGTTGTTGTCAGAAAGGAAAAGTTCATATCCTGTTTTATTTTTTTCTGCAAATTCAAGGTGAGGCAACAAAAACACATTAAATATTTTTTTGTACTAGTAAGCATTTTCAACATTAGGTGGCTGATGTGTTTTAAAAGTTGGTGGAGAAAATTTGGCCAGGCAAAATATTATGGTTTTGAAGTAAAATGGCCTTGGTATACAAATTACATTTAGAGATATGCATCAAACTTTATCTAGCCGCATTCATGATTTTTTTTTTTTTTTGCGGTTACGATATATATACATATGTGCATGGTAGTTACTGAAATACATACAGTGAAATGGTTATCGGATAAGCTTTATGTTACCACAAACAATGCTTAAAGAGGCTTACTTTGAAAACATTAAATGTTCTCACGAAATTTCATGTGCACACTGCTTTATCAGTGCATAAACATGCAATTGTCAGATTTGGGAGATAGAAATAAGATTTAACTTTTTAAGTAAGCTGTCTTTTCACTGCATTGTCCCATTAAAGTGGGACATTGCTCAAACACAATGCCATGTTACACTTGAATTTGGGTTTTCCTTGATAGGGATAATACCTGGTATAATATTTACATCTTTTGTTGTTGTGTATGCTTTGTAGTCTGCTGAGATACATATCTTTGTATTGTATATGAAGAAATTTAAAGTACATGTATTTGTATTAATCGGTATAGGTAGTATATAAATCCCTGACGATATTAACGTAATTACGGTATATAAAGTTGTCTGCTAATGGAGGGGTTTAAACCAGCGGAAATGTTATATATTACAGTGTATGGTATAATGGAAGGCTTTTAAATGTCTGGACTCGTCAGTGTTACAAGTCGGTTAGAATGTCCGACACTACTCTAATGTCGGAGTGTGGTGAATACGTGGGCGGGCCATCTGATACATTGTGTGTTATAGGAAACCCTGTGGTAAACACCTGCAAATCTTGATCGCTATTTATTGGCATTCAGTATCCCTTATCTGCTTTGATCCTTTGTTGTTCATTCAAGAGTTGTTCCTTATCCAAAAAGGATACATACTTTTGAATAGTTTCTTTTTACATATGATTTTCTGTAAGAACAGGTATGGCTATAATTAAATACATTTATAAGCTGCATGTGTATTTAAAATTACCTGCCAGGTATGAAAGAAATGTTCCTGTAATCTTGATTTCCTATTGGTACACTTTGTATGAAGAGGTTCCCAAGAAACAAGATTTCTATAATTCAAAAAATTGCATCATCCTTGGTAATTGATTTCATGGACAATTATTTTTCAATCACAATTTAAAGATATGTACAGCAGCCAAATGCAATAGATCTAAGATACAAACAGATTGTTGATCTGTATATATAGCACAGGTGGGAAATTTGGTTAGAATTACCTGTTGGTTTACCTTTGGATGGTCTGATAGTCCGGGTAGTGATAATGGCTGGAACAAGCAGTTCTCTGTCACCACAGCTGCGACGACGGCCTTGTTAGTGTCGGTCAGATGGGTAATTGATCACTTGTATTTTGTTTTTATCTATCGTCAATCAAAGTTGGTTGATCCATTGTGTTTGAATGCTTTTAAATAGCCAAATGTGCCTCAGGTTTGGACTTAAATAGAATGGTGTTCATGTGTAGGGAGATTTTCAAACAGAAACATCTTTATTTGGAGAGGGCGCAAACTACAGTGTCGATAGATGTTCACAGTGGTTTAACTGTGATAATTATACCTCGATCTCACTCTCATGGTGATAATGATAGGTGGAGAAACAAGACAGCAATTACATTCAATCAGGTTGTATTTTAGGCATTTCAATTTACAGGGAATTCTATTATGAATCGAAATTTGAAATCAAATGTAGAACAAACTTTCAAAATTGATGGCACCATGAAATAATGGATAAACTACAATGATTATGATTACAGATAGAAGTATGTATTATGTATGGGAAACCAAGCAAGCATTTTGAAGAAACTTATGTCTTGCTTAAATAAATACGTCAAAGTTATGCACATCCTTTAAGTGTCATAAACCAAAAATGATTTTGAATATGTTTTTATTTTGCGATAGTATTACAAGCATAGGGTACCTACAAATACATTGTATACACACAATACAGTATAGTTTAATGAAGCGTTGGTAAGTAAAACTTCCTAAACTAAACTCAGGTCATCAGAAATTAAGGTTCAGTGGGTTGTTTATTGATCTACATAATCTGAGTCACCTGACAATAATTATTATCACGTATATGTGGTTATACATGTAACCTATTGATTATGTTTTGCAGGTGACCACAACACTATGGCTACCACTGATGTGGATGTTAACAATGTACTTCTGAAGGAGCTGAGGAGCATGTACCCAGAAGTCCCAGAGCGTATCGTCACCAATCACATGATCAAGGTGAGAGGTTAGTGGGACATTTTGTTTATATCATAATTTGTTAAGATATACTATCATATTTTGTTGACCCTCGAGAACTTTTTCAATAGAATTACTTAAGAATGCATGTGTTAAGTTGCTAATATCATAATCATTGCTGAAGATTATCTGACACGGAAAAGTGAATACTTTTATTGTACGCCTTGACAGGATTAACATCTCATTTGTGGAAGATTGCCACAGTAATAGGGATTGTTTATATAGTTTTTGTTAAACTTTTTTAATATACTATCTTCAGTTCTTGGCTAAGGAAATGTAATTTTCATTTCTTGATTTACATTATTGTGGGTGTACCATTCCTGATTAAAAGTACCAGCCAACAAGTTTAAGCATCTTTTGAGAAATTTGACTAGCCTACCTGTATTTCTATAGTAAATATTTAAAAATCATCATTAGTCATGACATAAAATGTACTAACCCCAGACTAGTAGAATTGTATATCCCTGCTTTTACATTTATGAATATATTTCATATGCACTTGTAAACATAATTCATAAATACATTGTGGCATTCTAATATTCTTTCCAGCACAAGAATGACCGAGCTAAAGTGATTGAAGTACTAGATCACGAGGGACCCCAGAATCTTTTTGAAAAACCATTGTATGATCCCATTCAGAGAAGAATGGAAAACCTAACTATTTCACATACTGAAGGACGGACAAGAAGTGACTCTGGTTCAAGTGGAGTAAGCAGCACAAGTACAAACAGTGTATCCAGTGTGTCCTCAGTGCCATATGGGGGAGGAAATGCACGACCACCTCCAGATGGAACTGAGTTTAGTCAGTTCATGAGTCCAAGTGCGCGGAGCACCAATATACCAAACATCAATTGTAATGTGTTTACCCCCAGTTCTCCGCCGGTGTCCACATCGATGGCATTAGGCAAGGTGAACAAACCCCACTCTAGACTTCAACCTATTCAAGTGCTACACGTTCAGACATCACAGGGGCAGTCGCCTACCACAAGGAGTGATCACAACAGTCCCCCTCCGCGTGTGTCAATACTTGTGAACCCGCGCTCAAATAATCACAATGCGCAGACTAATCAGTTCCAACATCCCTTCCAACAACAGATGTCATATCCGAGTACAAATACCACGCCTCATAAATGGCAGTCACAACAGTCTGTGCCTGGGAACAGCTATAATACATACAACCCGCAGGGTCATAATTACCTAAACACGGCTGGTGGTATTAGTCCCGGAATACACACAGTGGAGAGACAAGCGTACCGCAAACCCCCAGTCAGTCCCCAACCCCCTGAAAGTGCAAAGCCTTCCCCTTCCCAAAGCCATATATCATTTCCCTCTCAGTATGGAGGCCATTCACAACCACAACAAAGCCAGTGGAATGCGGGGACATCCAGTTCGTCGAGTGGTTCACATAGTGGCCAACAGTTGTCCCAGGCTACGATATACTTGGAGGGAGCCAACAAACCTGGAGGACATGGGGCCATGTATAACAGTGGCACACAGTACAATCACCAAATGTCCACGGCCAACATTCACGGCTCCCACAGTGAGCCGTATCTGCTAGGTGGCTACAACCCTTCTCAACACCATCAACCACAAACCCCACAGGGTGGCAGTAATGCCACCAAGCCCCTGTTCATTAAGGTTGCTAGTTTGACTAACCAGCAGGGTGGAGCACCATCACAGTATAGATACAAGTCTGATTCGCCGTCTAGTGCAGGATCTATGAACGCTCCCCAAGTGAACTCTCGATATGGGAATATAAGTGGGGACATCCCCAGTAGGGCAGGACCCCAAACTGGGGCTGTCCACCCGGGCTCCTATGTAGGACAGTTATACTTGAATGAAGTGGCCAGTACAATTGGCAATGGTTCGTCTAGTCACGGTGGAGAGGCGGGGCAATTATTTATGCACTACCCTCCCGTTCCTACTACATGTCGGGTGCCTGGACACCCGTCCTCGTCAGGAAGCTCTTCGCCCCCAGTCCTCCCTGCCAGAACAGGAATTCCGTCTTCTGTGTCCGAAAATGTGATAAATAGAAAATTTATGGAGCCTGGGGAATCGCAACATATTTCACATGCAACGTTCCAGCCATTAGTTTCGCCCGCGTCTAGTCAAAGTAGTCTGAGTTCCGAGTCCTCATCTCAACGGGAAATCCAGAGGCCTAGGTCGGGCAGTGTGCAGGAGGAGGCTGACTATATATCAGGTATTACAATATATCCACTCCCACTGTCTTCAATGTTGACAATTTACAGATCTAAGTATATCTTTCACTTGCATATGCCAAGATATACTGTTTAACTTAGAAGTTTTGATATCAGCTCAACTATTTAAATTGACTAAAGTTTCATTGTCATTGTGATTTTATGTTTATGATGACTGGGATTTAGAAGTCTAAAAATAATTTTGCCAACATCATAAAACCATTGGTATTCATATTGTCCATCCTGATGTACATGTATGTATGTACTGTAATTGTATTTAAAGTTTGTGTCATGATGCCTGAGTGTTCCTTCATCTGATATATAGGTTTATTAAGTAAAATTGACAGTACATTTGTGTGTATATATATGGGCACATGATCCAAACAAACGTTTGTTGGATACATCTTTAACTTATAAATAGATATAGCGTCGACGTAATAACAACAGTGTAGACAAAAGAATTCGTCAAGTTTTCAAGACAGAAACATAAACACTTATAAATTACAACATGTATAAAAAATAAACAGTGACTATGAAATAATGCTTCAACATAAAATCATAAAAAGACAGTTATCACTTATGAAATATGCTGCTGTTATCACACAGCCTCTCAGTTAACCAGCTGTAACCGAAGTCTCACTGTTGTAAATATTTGACCCTGCGTCTTCAAAATGATTTTTTTACAGTAATATTAAATTATTTTTCGGTTAGAAGTTAATCAAGGGGATATGCGATATATATTATGAATTCACAATATACAATATCTCTTTATTTAATGATGTCACAATTTGTATGTATGTGTAGCTATATATATAAATATGTGTGTAAAGTGTCTGAATATTGATAAGTAAAGTGCTAATGCTTTACAGATCTATGTGTTTCTGATTTATAAACTTTTCATATATATATTGTATACACTGTATGTATGTTTTAAAGAAGTTATATGGGATGTTGTTGTCAACATATGCAACATGTGGCATGTAAGCAAAGGAGTGAAATATTTGTCGAGTTAACATTTTGGTGAATTTTATTCTGAATTAAACTTTAAACAGGATGTCACCAGGACCCTGATTCTTAATATGGAGAAATGCATTCCTTAAAAAAAAAGACCCCGCAAATTTAACTTTGAAGACTTTTTAAGAGAATAAATATGTTGACTACATCATCAATGTTTATGTTATTTAATGAAATAAAAAATAAATCAGTTACAAAAAGTAATTTTGAAACAGGTTGTTATATTAATATTAGATCTAGACCTTCCAACCATCATCATACTTGACTGGAAAATTAGTTTCAAGTCATCAGAGCATAAGACAACACAAAATTTAAACTTTGTCATATTTATCGATCAGCATGCCAGAAAATGTATACGTACTTTAAAATGTTTTACAGCTGTGTACATTGCTATGTAGTTTTGTAATATGGTGATAAAAAAACATTTGTTCTTAAGTAATGCTGTTTTAGTTAAAATTCCTAGTTCGTTGTAGTGCAAGATGTTTTGAAATCCTTTTTTCTATTTTCAGCTTTACTTCTTTTCCAAAAGGAAAGAATGAGTAAACTTAAGCTAGACCTTGAGACAGAGCTAAGAAAATTAGCAAAAATTCGCAATGAGGTGACGCAAATGGAAAAAAATATGTTGGATCGGACAAGAACGAGAAACCTGAACTTCTCCCCACATGTGAGTGTAATTGGGTATCTGAACACCCAGACATTTGTGTACTCTTTGTGTTAAAATTGTAGGGGATTTATTCCATACACTTTTGTATCATGTGAGGAAAGCTTTAAGGTGAGCAATAACATTATTAAAGATGGCTGCAAAGCCTTAAAAGATAATCAAGTTCATTTGGTTGCTAATTTGTTGTGCTTATCTACTGGTGAACAATATGTAAGACCTTCTATAAAAATAATAGAACCTATATATGTTGATTGAATAGTCATGTATAAATCATTGTAATTATGATAGTGTTGAAGCAGATTAATCATTAGTGATAATACATCTTATATCACTAGCAATAAATTGACCCAATTTAGTACCTCCATTTGAGACAGGGTTTGTATTCTGAAAGTTGTATGTTTTGGGTCCATTTTAGTCTTTATATGATGATTGCGTTTGTCTATATAAGCATTTCTGATTAACATCATCTGATACCAATGTTTCATCATTTGAACATGATCACTAATTTGAAAGTAAATATAAGTGTCAATAAATTTTGCAATAGCTTTCCATATCTTAAGTGTAATGTGACCAAGGTCACTTGCTATTTGATTACATATGTAGTGCTATGTTGGTGTTACAGTTGGAGGATGTGGCTCGACTACGAGGCCACAACATGAAGTTACAGGCAGAGATCCAGGTGATGACCCGGGAACTGGACATGTACAATAACGGACAAAGTGAGTGGACAATTAGAACTATACACAAACAAAATCAACTGCTTTGTGCTTTAGTCATTCAAAGGAAACCAGAATATAGTAAAATGAAAACCTTTGTACTTCCTGATTAAGTTGTGAAAATCCAGAAAAAGTAAAAAGAAATTAAAATTAATAAGAACTCCAAAAAATGATCATACAAATCATCTTCTTTGTGAAATTCATCAAAAGTATGCAGAAAGAATAAGATTATTTACTGAAAGCTTTAAGTCATATTCAAGAATATACTATAAAAAAATTACTAAACGCTTGAACACTATTAACAAAAATGTATTTTCCAATACAATTCTACACCAGCAATTGTAAACATGTAACTCTAAGCATGGTTCCTTCTTTTTGGTAAGATTAAAGGTGATGTACTTGAAAGTGTGTGATTTTTCCTGAAAACTTGCCTAGCCCTTCATAATCTGCAATTGTAAGACAATAGTTGAATAATTACCTTCTTGACTTGACGGAAAGTATTGAAATTTAAGTTGTTCTTTATATTGTGTTAATTTTCTGTTGTAGCTCCTCTAGGTGTGTTGGATCCCCTGGAACAACAGAACTTTTTCCAGAACATGAACCCCGGCCAGAGAGGTTCTATATATTCCCGACCCCCACCACCCACACCAACACCCCCACCAACAAGTGAAAGTAAGCTACACAACAAACTTAGGGATGGCAATGTGCCATCGTTTATGTTTTAATATTAAATTTGATTTGCATGATCATGATATCAAAAATCAGAGGTAGAGTTTATCTTTATTTTGCCGTTGTCTATAAAATCAAAAGTATAATTTAACACATCATTTTACCATAGTCTATAAAAGTATACTTTATTTGGCATTTCACTTCTGTATATGAAATTTACAGAAAATTTCCAAATTTATTAATGTTTATGAATTGTTGCATAAATTTTCAATAATTTAACATGGAATGCAACTGTTAATTGTCATAGGACTACTAAAATATTGCAAAATTCTTATCATACCCTAGTCTAATGTATGACTTTAACATTTTACAGCGCCCCCACCCATCCCCCCAAGGATCCACCATGTGCCACCCCCTCCCCCTCCCCAGCCCCTCACAGGATCAGGCGACTTAGATGGTGATGGAGAACAGTGGAACTGCTCTGCCTGTACCTTTCTCAACCACCCTGCCCTCAACAAGTGTGAATGCTGTGAGATGCCACGGATGAACGCCCCGCCCCCCACCACAGGTAGGGTGTGCCATGCCCACTCGGCTGCGGGACTATGTTACTGCCACGATAAGTGATGGAGGCGGGCCCGGTAAAGGCCACATATTTATACTACATACCATTGACCTGGTTGTGTGTCGCACATCCCTTCCTTAGGGGATGTGTGCGACTGATGCCACACCCATGGGAAGTGTGTCCCAGGTACAGCACATTCACAGTGCCAAGGTCCGTCATTAGAAAGGAGTTCTGAAAGCTCACAGCCATCTAGAAATAAGGCTGTGCTGGCGAATGAAGGTGTGGCCTGGGTTTGGTCAGATTTCGTCCATGGTACTTACCACTGTTGCAGAAAAGACGTGTATTGATAGGAAATACCTTCAGGTGTTCATGTATTTCAAAAATTGGTTACTTGTAAAGTTTTGGATTGTATGTAAAGGTCAAAATGGTAATTATAAGCCAAATGTTCGAGGGGACATATATACACCTAAAGGTTTCGATATATTTTTGCCCGAAGGTTTTTGTCCGGAGAAGTACAAGATAAAAAATTGCCATAGCAAAGGTCAGTCTTTTTGTAGAAAATGTTGAAGATAGATAATCAGAATTTGAGGCTTTACCTAAGCTGTGGTAGCTTTTGAATTGCTTTCCTGCTGCATTTCAGTCTTGTGTGCTTGTCAAAAGTGTGTTGGTGTAGAATGATAGATTGATAGTAAGGAGATGATGGGCTCAGTACAGTACAGATGTTAAAAGAAAAGAATCAATGGGCCGTATTGTTTTCGGTAACAGAAAAATTATGAGATCATTGAAATCATAAATACAGGATAGTTAAACTACAGTAATGTGTATTGGTGAGACAAGAGAGCTTCATATTGATTGGAGGCCAGAGAACTTTGTAAGGCTGAGATAGGGTACTGGTGATCTCCGTATCTCAGAAATAATGTCTAGATATATATTGGAATAGAACAAGTGTTTTAAAATTCACTGGTACAGATATTTTACAGCAATATATTCTTAGTCTGATGCTTTTCACAAATTAAAGTTCAGGTAACAAAATGGCTGAAATTACAAAATGGCTAATATTACTGTGATTGCTCGTGGTCATTCTCTGATTTGTGGTGCGTTTTATGGTTTATGAAACTTTAAAATTTGTTACAACATAATAATAACCACTGTTTACACTTAGGCCATTCTCAGAGATAATTGATTAAGTCCTATTACAACTTCAGTAGATTATGCAATGCCTGCTCAGCACTGTTGGTAATCAGGGGGAATATTCTGCATGAATTTAAGTTTATCTTGTGCATAGCGTTTCATTTGATTTGCATTTTATACATTTTACATTCTTCAGATATTATAGATATTGGCACTTTATTTTTGACAAAAAAAATGTAATTGAGAAAGATATGACAAATGAAGATATATTTTGCTGAATTATTTGCTGCATCTCTATGGCATGTTAGTGCTTATTGCATTGTTGGTATTTACTGGTATAAGGTATTACAATCTTAATAACTATAGGGGTTTAATTAATGTAATGTTAGTACTTTAAGGGTTTCAGTATTGCATGACTTGGGAGGTCACTCAGCTTTGTGGTGGGTGGATATAGCTGTGATACACATAGTCATCGTGAAGGACACACAATACGTTGTAGTAAATAGTGGTTTTGATATTTCCAGATCTTTTTGATGAATATCATGATGACAGCCGACACAATGAGTTAAACGATGCAGGCAATGATTTTGAACTTGTTTAATTTGATTGGTTAGGATTTCAAAGGTTAAAGGTATGTAAACCTAGAGATAAGCCATTTAAGAAATCCTATGTGCTAAACTGCTTATACAGTAAAATTGTGTTTATTACAAAGCTTACAAAAATGGTAAAAAGTTAACAAAAACCATATGAATTAAGGATCACTTGCCATATCAGACATATCCAATGTACTCTTGTGCATGAGTGAATTTTGAAACTCCTGTACAGAGTTCATCGTTGTAATTTACCTGTGTTTATGTAACCTTAGCTCTGTTTAAGACATTCAACCCAAAACAGAACAACAATACTTCACTTTCACAATGGAGCTATAGTCAAACCTGCCTATCAAGTCCAGTGTTACAAAGAATTAATGTTACAATTTACTTAGAAGTTCAGCATTAACATATCAGCTCATTTCAAATAATTTGTTGTAAACTTGTTTTACTGTGTGTTAATATTGCTTTCTCACTTTTCACATAGAGAATTACAGTTCTCACAAAATTAATACAAATGGCAGTTTTAGTTTTATATTTTTATCTGCTTTTAGTGATCGTTACTAGTTTAAAAATTACATTTTATTTGCATTTTAGTTTTCATCAATATTATGTTGCAATTTTAGCATGAACATTTTTATTCTTCACACTGTTAGTTAAATTAATACTAACCAAATGCTAAAAGAATACAGGACCATGTATAGGAAACTTGTCTTAGAAAATTATAAGAAAAACTGGTGTTTTCCAGGTTCATTTTATAAAGATAAAAACTATGGTTGTTAATTCATGGTGTATTTTAATTCATTTAATGGAAGATGGGAAAAGTTTTGTTTTGTGGCCATTTTTTTGTATGTAGTGCCGGTTTTTATTTCTGTAGTGTTATATTTGATGATATTCTTTCTTGTTGTTGCAATGCAAAATCGCACATTACCCTTTCTGATAAAATGGCATTGACTTGAAAAATGTCCACACTTTTATCATGTTGTTTAGATATGTGTATGTTTGTTGTATCTGTCATCCCTTACCACCCCGTCTAGTTATTGTCTTCTAATTCATTTGTTCAGACCACTTTCTAAATCCTGAAAATTGAATAAAACCAAAATTCATCAGAAACTTCTTGATGTTGAACATTCAGTTAATTGCAAACCTTGTCTATTCTAGGTGTTCATGTTTACAAAACTTATAAATAATAAATAATAATAATAATAATTTGAGGTTCTTATATACAGCTTTATCACAACCTAGTCGTACCAAAACGGTTCACATATTATTATCTGTGGTGATAGGGCCTTTGCAACCAGCCAACATATTTCTCAACTCCCTGGGGAGCATCAACACCCAGCACTACCATTTTGGCACTCACAGCTGGTATTCAACCATTCTAGCACTGCCCAACCACATACTCATTTATAGCTGGGTAGACTTGATTTACAATGTTAATGTTGGGTGTATAAAGACTAAGTGTGATTTCTATCTCCACCAACTTTTACTACATGCCTGGTGATGGGGCTGCTTTACCTGTTTGTACTGATCACAGGCACCTGGTTTGTGAAGTATTTAATAATATACTAAGGAGACTCGTTCCCAGCATCAATAGCTGAGCAGCATATTAATTCAAACTTCCCAATTCTCATTATAAAATGTTATATGTGGTTGCATACTTGCCAAATCTTCCTGTTAAGGAGGGAGACTCACGATTTCGACCCTAAAATTGAGCATTTTCAACCAGTGAATTTGCTAAACTATTCCTATTTTCTAAAGTCTGACGATTTCACCAGAAAGAACAGCTCAAATGATGCTATTAAAAAGTGTTATTTTTCCCCTAGGGTGTACATACACTCATTATAATTTTGCATTTAATCAAATAAAATTTCAAAAAGTTGGCAACTATGTGGTTGTGATTATTTGATCAACATTTGATTTTAATAGTTGTGAATAGTTATTTAGTGATTCAAGTTTGTGTAAATGTCCTTAAAGTAGGTCAAACTAAATTCCTGTCCTGTCTCCTGATGATAGAAACAGGTGCCTGTGGTATATTCCAGCATCTTCCTGCTTTGTTACGGGGTGCAATGTTGTTTGTTTGTTTTCTATTTAATTTACGATTTGTTTCTTCTCTCACTGTTTTGCAGGACCCACACATCCTCACTTGCATGGAACTTGACCTTTGACCCCCACCAGTGCTGTTTCCAAGCCGCAAGCCATATATTATTTCAAAGTTTAAGAGAAAACAAAATTGTCTTGGAAAACTTAGCAAAATTTGAGGTGGGAAAATGATAAAACAAAATCAGAACTGCATGTAGAACATGTTTAACTGGATAAGTGATGTCGATGGATTCTACATTGGGTTCAACAAAGACATAAATTCATGGTAAATATTGTATGCTAAGATAGCATAATCAACAGTGACTGCAGTACTGAATTTGAGTCAGGAAGGTGATTTCTCACTAAAATGAGGTTATTTAGATGTGCCAGAATGTTGGGGTGTACCGTGGCTGTGTAAAGGATAGGACAAATATTCTAAGTGTTATTTTTTGGAGGAGAACTCCAAACTAGATATTTTTACCATGGTTTGTGTCTTTGTTGGGCTAAATGTAGCTGTACATGGATCTAGACTTGAAGACTTCACGTTTGGAGGTCTGTTTTACTTTTCACTGTGTTGTCATCATCCCTTTTGGGAGTCCTATGTAAATTCTATAGATATGAATGTGTTATGATGCCTTTAGATATTCTTTGGAACCTAAAGCATCAGATAATGCATCAATATATAGCAACATTCATTTTATGAAATATTTGACATCATAATCCAATTTTGTGGTAAGAAATATAAAAAGTAGACATTAAGTTGATCACCCCTGATATTTGATAATGGACTATTCAAACCTTTAATTGGAAGAGTTCAAATGTGTCTTCAGGGTGGAATGAGTTTAGGCAGGGATGTACAAATTCATAATTTGAGTACTGGCCTGCAGGTAGATTTTACAAAATTCCACTAGGCCGAGCTTTATTGTTATGATATTGAACAGTTTTTTTGCTCTCTCTGGTATATAATCTTAAAGCCCAAGGCATCAGGCTATGTTTTTACGAAAAATAACCATTCAAATACAAGTCTCTTCTTGAGAAAAGCAATTCCTATCTTGACATGTAAAAGTTTCATAGCTTCCAAGGTCTAGCAGTAATTAAAACATGTCTGTTTAAAGACAAAAGTTGTCGCTGGTGATCACGGCATGTGTTGAACCTGTAGGTTGTATTACAGCAATGTTATGGTAATTGAACATGAACAGTGGTAGATTCTAATGAGGAAAATGATATCCTGGAATGACAGTTCTATTCACGGCTCTTATTAGGGGTGACTGTGTTACTGAGATGAGAACTGTTACAGAACACACTGTCAGTTATCAATACATTTGTTCAACACCTAACTGGACAACAGTTCCTGTAAACTTGTGTGTTTAAACACATTGCATAGCAGTAAGAACCAATTCAAATGCATATTGAATTCAGAAATCCTTTAAAAGTTAGATAGACTTTTAGTCAGCATACTGTAAATTGGAATGTTTTTGTTCTGTCATATGCTAAGAGCGGAAATGATCCTCTTGATTATGTTTTGGTCAAAGTATCAATTTTACTTTATCTAAATATTTTTTCAAATGGTAGACCAATGTTTAGGAGCAAAAAGTAAAAAGATTGTCTTTTAGACGCAAGGTTATCGTTTGTTTAATACACTATAACAGTTTTGTCAAAGGTTTTATGATGAGTAAGATGATAACTATGTTTCAAAATTTTTCAACTCCAGATTTCAAAGAAGGATTAAAACGAGATATTATTGTACTGGGCATTGAAATGCATTTTGTCAATTTATTTACAAAGATACCAGACCATATAGAGGTGAAAAATATTTTAACATCTTAAAGCATTTAATCATCTATTCATCATACCAGGCACTTTAACCAGGTACTAAACCATAGGGGTCATTATTGAATATGTTTAGTAGAGAAGCATTCAAAGGTTATTCACATGTATTCTATCATAAGTTGATGTTTGTGGACATAGATGAAATCAGCATCACTGAAAATAAAGTTTATGATGCTAATCCTAATTTGAAGCTATTTTGCGTATGGATTCACTTAAGAAACTCCACTGATACCGTATGTACAGTCTAGTGTTGCCTGGGTGATTATATGAATTCTCATCATATCAGATTAGTTATTTTCCATTACCGAGTTAATCTGATTTGTATTAATTATTGTTAAAAAATATATACAATTTTTATCAAAAAGTTCCATAATTATGAATTATGTACCATCATCCTGTTGCGAGGCCATAGTCTTTTTAGGTCTTTGTCAGGTCTATCAAATTCATGTCCATTTTTTTGGCCAAAATAAGAGTCATTGATGAGTTAAATCTCTGTCATTTCAACATTTTAAAGATGTTCGGGTGTGTGAAAGTCATTTACTGTAGCATGTGTAACCATACACACCATCTCGGCTCATACAGTTGGTTTGCTTAGATAAGGTTGAAATACATATATAGTGGAAAGAAAAAGTGAAAACTTGATTGAATTAACAATAATCAAGAGATGAGATGTTATTATGTCTCACAGGAAGGTGATGAAATACAATGGATCAATTTGTGCCAAATGATGGTTCCAAGTGGGAGAAATGACATGTACATGTAAACACATATATATATTTTAAGGAATCGCTGCCTACGACATGACATTTTGTATACCGTTTTTCAATCTGACAAGCACCAGGTGGGTTGTACTTTGTAAAGTGTACTAGTGTAATATTTTGTACACTGTTGTAGAGCTACTTTACTACATGGCCGGTACAAGGACATTACAGTTAACCATTATATATCTATTATACACAGTCAAACCTTTATTAAAAGACCACCCTCAAGAAGTCCAAAAAGTGGTGTTAAAACACTGATGGTCTCTCAATGCAGGTTAATTCACAATGAAGACACTGAAGTATACAAAATCATTCATGAACTTGTACAACAGGATGATCCTGTTGTACAAGTCACAACAGACCATAGATACTAGTGACAGGCTTGGTTAATTTGAGAACATAGTTTATGTGTATTACAGACGCAAGTTATACAGGTTTTATAACCCTCCAGCCCTACTGACTATAGCAAGCTGACCCCAACCCCCTGGGACCAGCCTGCTAGGACCAGTTGGAGAGGGACACTCTCTGTTAATATTTGTTTTCCTGTTATTCTTTAGTTCAGTTTACCAGAGGTTTTTATTTCCTTGTTGTAATGAAGTCGTCTTTCGTTAATACACAAGTTTAGGTTTTAATATCCATATTTTTTATCTTTTTCATTGTTTTTGAGTTTCGTCCTCAACATTTTGTTTCCTCAACATGCTGATAGCATGTTTTACCATTTATTGAACATTAATGTCATTTAATCATCTTAACAAAATGACAATATCAGTTATATTTTATTTGAATCGATTGGTTGTCTTATTATGATCAGTTTTATTGTGTTTGATTAAGTTCAGTGTTGTCAACTGTGAGCGACAATTTTTCCCCCCGATATATAAATTCAGCTTCTCTAAATACACTGTCTTAATTATTGCTATAAAATCTATTTAATCAGAAAACATGAATCTGCTTTCAGACAATGCATAAAACCTTAGAGTGAATCAGGCATTTTGTGATAGAGTTCCAGTGTTACAGTACGAAAGGGAGAAATTGTTTGACATGGTCGATTGAACATGAAAATATAGAATCATGTTATAAATTTTGAATCGATTAGGTAGGATCAAAAGCAAGTAGAAATGTTGAATTATATGGCCCTTTCTGTATTTTCTCTTCTTGGTGCAACATTAAAAATGGCCTGGTCTTGCCCCTTGAGTGTTTTAAGTTTATGAAATATCCTTTAAGTTAAACATTGGGACTACAAAATATTTTTGAGAATTTTAAAGAAATCTTTCAACGTTTTTCATGAAGAAATTGTTCTGTGTATTATATATACATATATATGCCCTGGTGGCGTAGGTTGGAGTAGTGGACTCTACTGGATGTCCACTTCTATTAGGAATATGTGCGGTGTTTGTGGTGACAAAGAGTTTTGTATTACTAACGAATGATCTCTTTATCTGTTTGTACAGAAAACTATTTGTGTTTTGAATACTCATGTAAACAAAATTGCTAGGTTTGTGCAATGTAGAGTGCTAGATAGGTCTAGTGGTTGAATAGTAGTCTGGTGTTTTGGTATTCATCGACTCATTCCAATGAGCTGAAAATGAGATCATTCTTTGTGTGTGTTAGAGATGGAATGTAAGCGTATTCAACTCATTCACCCCTGAAGACACATTTGAACTCTTCCAATTCAAAGCTTGGAATAACTCATTATGAAATTACAGGGGTGAATGAGTTACCAATGGCCAATTTTGTTTTATATGCCTATCTGTTTGTTTCATGGAGTAAGATTGCAAAAATATTACAATTACAATAAATTGGATTAGAGTAATCATGAATTAAATTATAAGTTGTAATTTCTTCTGTACCTGGGGTATTTATTAATGAGTTTCTAGAACAGTAATTCGCACCATTCTAGTCATTAAAAAAGATACACATATTGTGTAGGCTATTGTTGGCCGATAATCTATGGCTTGCAAAATTTCACACACCATTGAAAAATTGGTTTTATATTGTCATTTATACATGAAACTAACATACTACATGTATATTAAAAGGTATTTGGTTTAGGAAACTTTTTGATGAACGTTTGTACCTTTACAAAGATTTATAGTACAAGTGCGGAGTTGCAATTTCATGAGAAATGAATAGTTTCATGAATAGTTTCTGATCACACAAATAAAAGATGCAATCTTTTTCTAAATTCATATTTCTCACGTAAGCATAACTTTGTTTCATACATAAATTATTTGAAAATGATTTTCTAGCCATTTTCGATGGCTTACCAATGAACTTATATAACTGCTGAGAATTTGATTCTTTTGTGTCGAGTAAGAAAGCCAGATGTATTAGGAAGAAAATAAGTGTGAATGTAAAAATTGCAAAGCAGTATATGAACGTTATAAGAGTATACCGTATGTGATATATATACAAATGAGGTGATCTCAAAACCTAGAGGAGTCCAGAATGTCCGCGTGTCCTCAGTGCCTGTTTTTTTCTCTGTTCAATATATTCATATTAAATTCATAGAAAAAGACTGTCTGTAGATCATTGTTGAAAGTTTCAATCCCTCCATTGTTAAAAAAAATATCGCAACATTATTATTATCAAATTGAAATAAACATAGAGGATAAATTAAAAATAGAGGATATGTATTTTGCAAATATAGCAGAATACTTACATTTAGTGCGAAGCATGAGAGAAAATATTGGTATATTCTTCCATACAAGTAAAAACTGAAATAAATTAATCGTAAGCAAAGGCCTACAATAAAAATATAACACATACTCGCTGTTTGGTTAATTTATTTTCTGTTAAGGATGTCATTGTATCAGAATGTTCAATTTTCATTGTTTATTGTAATTTAAAAATATCACACATGTGGAAATATTAGTACAATTTAAAACTTTACTGTTATGATGTGGACAATATTATAACATTCTTAAAAATATCAGTACTGCAGAATTATATTATGAAATATGAATATTTGAAGTTTGAGTGATACTTGATATTGGAGTAGGGTGCTGCGATTACATGGTGTGGATGTGTGTACGAGTTACTTCCTAGTGATCCCTGAGTGTGAGCTCAGTCTTGTGTGATACCATTGAGCATATGCAGAAGCTGTGTTATAACTATTAACAAGTATTTAATTTAATTAAGGCGCAAATTTTATACGTAGATATTGATATATTAGCTACAACCATATGTGTAGGTCGAGTGCACCAAATCAAGTTTCGTTCTGGGAACGCCCAGTCGCTACGACATGGACAAGAACGTTTCTTGTGTGTTTGTATGTTTTTAATTTGGTGCTTTTATGTATTTGCGCATATATGTATTATCTGTAAAGGTACGACTGTACAAGCATGTATGCTTTTATTGCATATTGTATATAGAAAATTAAAAACCTGCTTGTAAAACAAAAATGCACATTTACGTGCATAATAATTCACTCAGTGTAAAGTAATAAGAATAATAATTAAAGAAGAAATAAAATTTGTTATTATTTTAATCAAGTGTCTTATTTTAATTCTTTCTCAGCGACAAAAAATGTTAAATAGTATCGGGAAGTGTTTGTTGAAGGTAACAGCAATATCAGAGTAGAATCTTGGGAGAAATGATATATGGATAGTTGTGCAGGCAAAGTTTGGACCAGAGATTGCTGCAAATGCACAATATATATTCCTGGAGAATACATTTTACAGTCTATTGAATTGGCCCCGTTATGTTTTAAATGTAACATTTCGGGTATAAATCCTGGTGGACCTGCAAATGTTTATACAGGCCTTGCAAGACACGCCTGAAAGCAGCATCAGATTACTAGGTCCGACCTTATTTAATAAATGAACAACTGTGGTCCAACCATTTGGATAAACGAATGTGGCCTATATGATTATTCTTTGTGTATATAATAATGGAAAAGTCCCAATAAGATATTTGAATTTACCTGTGGTTTGTGCTAAAAAGAACATCGGGTACAAAATGAGTTTAAAACTTAAAGCAATAAGATAGGGAACCAACATTTGATGTGGAAATACAAATTTGTTTGGTAGAGGCGACATCTGTGGATACCAAGCAGTATTCTATAGAGCTCTTTTAGAAGAAATGAAGTAAAACGAAATGAATATAAATTGAATACTGAAGTATTAAATTATTTTCATATTTATTAAAACTTCCATAACTGTTGATAACAATGTTGATATTGGCTTCTGGTTGTATTGGTGTTGAGAAAGTTTCATCTTTTCAGAAGATTTTATAAGTAAAATTAATGGTTCAATGATATGGAAAGTGAATCAACTATTATGAAATTTCCTTTAAAATGTTTTTGATGGGCAGAGAAGATAGTCATTTAGGACTGAGGGACCCCAAAACTAGGTCCATACAGAAACTAAGTAAAAAAAATGTAATGCCACCCCATTTTATGAGCAACATATATGTACATGAATCGTGCAGCAAAAACTTAAAATTGTTTCGGGCTAAACAATATTTTTTGAAAAATAAAACCAAGCTCCAAGATGTAAGATATAATTGTTTTATTTTCATATGTCATAGGAATGCTCCCGATATGTAGGTAATTAGGCTCGGTAAACACCATCATCAAATAATAAAATCAAGTGTTTTCCAAAGGAATTCATACTAGTTAACAACGATCAGTACATATGCACTGGTACAGTTGTTTGTAAAAACCTTTGAAATTAACTTCTCATCAACATTTCATAATATTCAATTAAAACTAGGATACAGTTCATATCAAGACCATTTTCATGGATGGTTTGGGAAAAAATTCTCGAACAGGTTTACTGACACATCCCCGATACTCCAGGGGCTACGCTCACTCTCTGCACCCCTTGCATATAATATATGTATGTCCTAGCAAAATTAAAGGCATGTGACAAGCTAATTGATTGGTCTCGGGTATAAAAAACTAACCAATCGCTAGGCTGATACCTCTCCTTTGAAGAGTACAGAGGAGCGACACCCGACTTCTAAGCCAGTCAATTTTACTGTTATGCGATCGTGAGATTCTTTGATGTACGTCTAAGGATGAAACAAGGTGGTGCACATCGAGCCATCAATTTTTGTGACATATTTCAGGGGTGCAGAGAGCGAAAATTAGCACAACCCCTGGAGTATGAGGTATACTGTATACATGTATCTGGAAATATTTGCATCAGTTGACTTTCACCCTTCTCAATGTATTATAAATGTATTTATATAGCTAGCTGTTTCTACAAAGACATGTTACATGTATATTAAAGTTTAAAAAATCATATGGAAATGTTACTTCCTAACTATAAAGAATCAATTATTTCCAAAGATTTTAATACGAAGAAATAAATTATTTGTTACAGTAAAGTCTGTATTGAACAAACCACTAAGGTCAATGCTCAAAAGTGGTCTCTTTAATATAGTGTTAACACAGTAGCCTGCTTTGTGGAGCTGAGAGGATAAGGTGGTCTCTTTAATAGAGTGTTAACACAGTAGCCTGCTTTGTGGAGCTGAGAGGATAAGGTAGTCTCTGGAGCAGACTGGGCTGTATTTGATTATTTATTTTTTAGATAATTGTGTTTCTAAACTACTGTCATACCATTGTCTTACTGTATACCGGAAAATGTTTCACCCAGTCAAACTTTCACCCTTCGCCGGAATAATGCTTATCCACCCAGTGTTAATATCACCCTTCACATCTAATAACTATGTTTATAATGTTGTTTACTAATGTTCGTGGTAATGATAAATTCGCCCATATCATGGCAGGTGAAAAAGGTGAAAAGTTGAACTGAAGCGAGAATTTCCCGGTATACGGTATATATAAACATGATGGTATCCTGCTACATAGTAACAGGGTACCGGTCACTTCTACTGTCTAAGTAAATATACATTACAAGGAGAAAATATACCCTGAATTATAGCATATAAATATAGGGTCTGGACGGAATAGACACCAATAAATTACTTACAATAGTCATATACATATGTACAACCAGGATCAATATCCTGTCGGTAACAGTAAAATGTCATGTAAAGAGATAAACATTCTCTCAACTCTTAAACAATGCAGTTTAGGGAAATTCTTTATTAGAATTTTGAAAATAAAATTCCCATAGAACGATAGATAATGATACATTTGTATAATATAATTCTACTGCTTATGTGAAAAACTGGAGTCTATACAATTTGTCTCTTATTACATTGGAGACATTCTGGTGGTTGGTTATCATTTCTGCAGTGTTGTTTCATCTATAATGGAACATCTAGTCACAGGATTACGTAAATAACAAGGGGTTGCCACGAAATGAAATATAATAATCATGAACAACATAACAGGCCTGTTCATCTTTGCAAACAAACCGGTTTGTTTATTTTTGAATGTAATTTTTCTGAGAAAAAGCCCCACAAACTGTTTAAAGACTCCTTGTTGAAGAATTTCAATTTAATGTGGAATTGTTTTTCTTCTGATGATGTCAGATCTTTGAAGGCAATATGATATTGGATGAGATACAAAAACATATTAAACAACATCACCATGGCCTTCCTCCAGTCTCATAGGACAAAAATATCTTCTATTCTAACAATCTCAAATTCCTGAGTAAAAAAAATACAGATCATCAACTTGCATTCTACAAATTTAAAATAGCAAAATAACACTACAAAACGTCAATGCTATACAACCAACAAACAGTTCATATTATAACATCACAAAACATCGAAGTTTTCAGTAAACATAAAAACACTGAGCATTAACACAAGGAAGCAATTGTCATATTCAAAGTTTCAGATATTTACATTTCATTTTCTTTTTTTTTAGATTTAGTCTTTGATATTGGATTCAGAATTTGTTTAAATAATATCTTCAATATTCTACATTTGTCTAAAACTACTATATAAACACACTTTATATATATATCTCAATTCAAAAATTGTATTACCTGGTAAGTAACATGTTCGAGATGCTCTGTACCAGTTATGTTTCTGTGAAAACAGAGTTACACATTGAAATACATTTTCTGATGTAAGAAATACCTTTTCAGTATTTCTGTTATCACAGATGGTTTTCACAAAATAAAACTGGCCAGCATGACCATATTGGCAGGACAATGGGTTTTCCTTCTGCAACACAATATTACCAATCAAACAGTTTTACAACTTGAACAATTCATTTGCCTTTATTTTCTAGCTCCCAAAATGTTTGGGTCAGAAACAAAAACTTGAACTTGAATACACAAATTAGTGTAATTTCTTTTAACTACAAATAATCCTCATAAACCATGATGATAAAAATGAAAAATTGCACAGAATATTAGTTCATAAAAATGACTACAAACAATAACTTAAAATTATAAGATTAAGCTTGATATGTATGGAGTCGATGTCAAAACAGAATAAATCTCAAAGACGTAAAAAAAAAGCTATGGAGTTTTTAACGTGGGTGTGTAATGTAACAATTGATACCATGTACACATTCTACAGTGGCTTCAGCACTTTAACAAAAATAAAATAAAAAAGCACAGCAACAACATTTGGCAGCAATATTTTCAGATTGGAAATGACAGCTCTTAACAATCCTTATTGTCTGGAAGTGGAATAGGCCCCGACTTTTATCAGGGGTGTTGGAGTAACCGAGATGGACAATCGGACACATGTAACATAAGGTGACTACAACATTGATGTATATTATTGTAAACTTCCACATAACAGTTTTATTTCCATTATTCACTTTTATGTGATGTTAACACTTCCGTTTCCAAACTTGACTTTGAGATCACCAACTCTTCCGAGTTCACAGTGATCCTTTATGATAATAGTACCCAAAAATAACCCATGATGTCATCGTTTTTTTAATCTAAGTTCCTTATTTTTTTTAGATATTATCAAACAATTGACTGCAGATGCTGTATATTTCCAATGAAATCTTCTTTAATAGTTGGATTATATTTGTCTTCGCCAAATAATTGTCTACATCGTCACCTTGTGATTACAACAGAAACTGGTGTCCAGTAAGCTGATTGTCATACAAATTTCACATAAATACAACCGTTCCATCAAATACATTTCCCATGTTTTCCTCGAAATTGAAACGAGAAAAAAAAATAAAGAAGTAAAAAATCTGATCATCATTTGAACTGGTCAGATGTACAAACATATACACACAGCTGGCAAACTAACATTGATTTCTATCATAATGGATCGTACAGCACAAAACTACACACCATGTTAAACTCAAGCATACGTAAGACATCATATACATGCATGGTGACCGTATTACATTGGCGTGGGGTTTGGCACCTTTTGTCTGTAGACATTCACTGAGAGTTTCTTTTTCAGGTTTCACATGTAAACAAGATACAACAAGCTATTGGCACACCTGTCTTGTACCCACATTCTGAAACATGCATAACAGTTAAAAAAAAGGGTTGGTCTAGAAGAGAGTCCTTTTCAACCCAGCACTAAGGCAATAAGTAACAGTGTAATAGCAGCCATTTATTGTACCTCCATAAGCATTTCGTTCTCTCAGTTATCTACTTTGAATCTCTAAGCCACTTAAGGTCAAGTCCTGGGCCAGAGTCAGCCTCAGTATGGCTTTAACTTGTATAATCTAGCAACATATACTGACAATTACAATTCCTATTTATGATGCTTTACATCTTTCATTCTGTTTTGATCACATTAAAAAAAAAAGACGTCCTTTAAAAACATTCATTCTTTTGTCAAAGTTTTTTTTTTTTACTAATTCTTTTATGATGCCTTATTCTATATACTGCCTCCTTTATAATGCCAATATTGCTAGTGGCAGTATAACAAGGTTTCATATGTTTATAACATATCAAGCTTCTTTCATATTATTTTTTCATTTCAAAGAAACTTTTGAAACATGATGATGGTTATTTGATCTGGTTTGTGATAAATAGCAAAGCAGGACAAATTGTGTGTAAAAAAAGAACATGCCAGCTATTTTCTCCACGTTTTTTTTATCCACGATTATCATGTTAAAAACAGCGTTTTTATAGAAATCTTTATTCCGTCTTTGCGTATTGCAGAGTTATCTTCTCTTGTGAGCAGGTATTGATTGTTACGTCAGTGGTTTGGTGTGAGACAATTATGTCGTTTTCTCAAAAATTGATGACGTTATTCTCACAAACAAATGACGTAACATGAGCAGTTAACTCTGCAATACACAAAGACGGAATAGGCCTACAAGCACATGATTCTCAACGGTCAATCTTAGGAAATCAATGGTGTGCTATGTATTCCACTGTTCAAAATTCTTTTTGATATTATACCTTGAGAATTAATTTCTATAACGATGACTCTATAAAATTCATTACTAACTACATATGTAGTATCTGGGAATTTGATCCCCTTTTCTGACACTAGTTCTTGTATACTCTCTCAGACTTCAATCTACTCTACAACATTAGCAATCCAGTACTTTCTCAGACATAGATCTCCTCGTACACCTGTAATATATTAGACTTTAAGCTTCTCCAAGACATTGATAAGTATGCAGCTCTTAGATGATAATCTCTGACAATACATTAGTACATAATAATACATATGTACTTTCATACCTCAATTCCTTCTATTAAACATGGAATACACATCTCCCAGTCTGTCTAAAACAATTTTTTCCATGATGCCAGATTATGCACAAGATTCATCTTAAACCCAAAGTCTCTCTGCAACATCCTGTCCACATTATACTTCATTCTGGACCAAAATCCGCTCTACCACATCAGAATGCACACACACTCTACATCAGACCATATTGTTTTCCATAAAATCAGTACACAAGGTCATCATCATCGTCCATGTTTGGTTTGGAGCGTCGCATTGTCCTCATGCGGCTGTAACTCATGTCTTCGTCGCTGTCTGCTGGACCCCCGGACAAATTATCATCAGACAGGTCATCAGCCAGTGCCCAGTTTGTCCTGGAAATGTGGACAGGAGCTGGAAAAATAAACCATATTTTTTTCTTTAGATATTTATAATCTGTTAAACATTTACCTTTGTGACAATATTTTGGAAAACAAATGGTCTATGTTGTTTGAGGAAATTAGGAATTTCATCACTAGAACACAGACAGGAAAGAGCGGACATGGTAAACCTGTACAGACTTGTTAACGGTCTGGTGGATGCCAATGAAGACATATTCACAATCTTCGCGGCTGGACAGAACATGCACAACACTAGAGGACACAACAAAACACTCTACAAAAACTGTGATAGAACAAACCTAAGAGGAAACGCTTTTTCAAACCGTGTGACTGAACTTTGGAACAATCGAACACCTGAAGTTGTAAACGCCCCATCATCGAACTCTTAAAAAGAAGACTGAACAAAGTATGGAAGGAACACACAGGCAAATTTAGCCCCACATGCCACAGAGCGGGAGGTATACAGACTGGGAGTGTGTACCAGTAACACCAGTAGATGAGGTACAGACCGGGAGTGTGTACCAGTAACACCAGTAGAGGAGGTACAGACCGGGAGTGTGTACCAGTAACACCAGAAGATGAGGTACAGACCGGGAGTGTGTACCAGTGACACCAGTAGATGAGGTACAGACTGGGAGTGTGTTCCAGTAACACCAGTAGATGAGGTACAGACCAGGAGGGTGTACCAGTAACACCAGTAGATGAGGTACATACCGGGAGTGTGTACAGTAACACCAGTAGATGAGGTACAGGCCGGGAGTGTGTACCAGTTACACCAGTAGATGAGATACAGACCGGGAGTGTGTACCAGTAACACCAGAAGATGAGGTACAGACCGGGAGTGTGTACCAGTTACACCAGTAGATGAGATACAGACCGGGAGTGTGTACCAGTAACACCAGAAGATGAGGTACAGACCGGGAGTGTGTACCAATTACACCAGTAGATGCATCAATAGTAGTCATAGACTAATGGTATTACGTCGACAACGGTGAGTTAACAGTGAGTATTGCCACAGCAATGGTTACATGTAATATACATTATAATTACCTGACCATGTAAATATATTTGCTGTCTTGTTAAAGAGTGGAAAGAGTTCAACAATCTCCCATTTTTATAATCAACATAATAAGAGGCCCAGAGGGCCTGTAGCGCTCACCTGGAAATGTAAGCAAAATTAAAGTTGGAATAGCTAGATGTTGCTGGTAGTGTACATGTATCACATGGCTAGTCCGGGTTTATATACATGCAATAGGACAAAATCCTGTCATTCCTACAGAAAAAGGATTTTGAAGAATTTGCTATGTTTCTCCTATTGGGTTCCGCCCCTCTGCCCCCAGGGGGGGTCAGACCAACCATTTATACAAAATTAATTTCCCTTCCCCATAGGATGCTATTGTTTAAATTTGCTCAAAATACCTTCATCCCAACGAAAGAAGAAGGATATTAAAGCTATTCCTCTATATCCCTATTGGGCCCTGCCTCTCTGCCCCCAGAGGGATCAGGCCCATCGTTCATAACAAATTTGAACATAATCGTGTTATTTCTGCAGAAGAATGTAATTGAAAAATTTGCTGTTTCCCCTATTGGGCCCTCCCCCTCTGTCGCAAGGGGAATCAGACCAACCGTTTATACAAAATTAAGTCCCCTTCAGGCAAGGTTGCTTCAGACCAAATAAGGATAAAACCCTGTCATTCCTACAAAATAAGAAGAATTTAAAAGAATTTGCTACATTACCCCTATTGGGCTCAATCCCTCAGGGGTGGGGGCACAACCACCATTTATACAAATTTGAGTCCCCTTGGCCAAAGGACACTAAATTAGTATAATATCCTTAATCTCTATGGTAGAAGAAGGATTTTAAAGGTTTTACCTCTATTTCCCCTATTGGGACCTGCCCCTCTGCCCCCAGGGGGGCCACACCTACAGTTTAAAATTTAGTTAAAATCCACTAAGCCATTCGGGACTAGTAAGGTTTTAAAGGAAAAGTTGACGGACGGACGGACGGACGACGGATGCTGCACCATGGCATAAGCTTGCTTGCCCTTTGGGCAGGTGAGCTAAAAGATGACATGTTATGGTTGTATTTCTGATGCTATGATGAACCTACATCTCTAACACAGCCTATCTTGTATGTCCTAAAACTCTACTTTCCTTTTTAAACATTGATAAGGCTAAAGCGATGAGATTGTTTCCTGTAATCTGACAAAATCCTTATTTAGCAGAGAGAGCAAAATGAATTTAAATGGAGTGATCTTTCTTTTTTTATATAAGAAATAGCAGAACTGTTAAGTTTATGAGTGCAACAATGCAAACATACTTCAGCTTGCAATTTATCTTACGTAAGAGTAAGAATAATGAAATAAAATGCTATCCCTACCTTTTATTAACAGGAATCACTGGTATTATTATCATGGCCTAGGAAGCCAAGCTAGTGGGTTTTTTTCACTTAAAAAGTTACCTTCAAAATTCTCGATACATAAATCAATCGTAACTCACTGTCCGACACTGACTACTGGTATCAACCTAATCAGGAAAACACTTAAAAAGCAACCATCCAGTATGTAAAGAGGACTTTTGCCGATAGATTTTATAAAGGTGAAATACCATCTATCAGTTTTCAATAAATCACAATCTGTTCAAATCACATAAATATTTATTTTTACTCACAACTGTGTCCCTCATCAGGTTTTGTTTTCTTCGGAGACATGGTCCAGGATAAATCACGTCGCCTCGTGTCTGGGACATCTTCATCAGAATTGTCAGACGGGAATGTCTTATTCTTTTTGACAGTGTAAGGCTGCTTCTTTTTCAGACGACGAACAGGTGTGTCATTTTCAGCATCTGTAAGGACAACACATCATATAACATATTTAAATTTAAGCTGCCTACAAATTATATATTTAAGCAGAATTTGCTACAATCGTCTACAAATTTAACATTTAAACTGAATTTGCTACATATTTGTACATGGTATCTGAACATTGACTTTAAAACTTATGTGATTAATTAGTTCTCGCCCAAACAAAGTACTGAGGTGGTCACATGAAATTCTACACTGGAGATGAACATTTTTTACGAACTGAATTTATTGTTTGAGATTTTAATCTTGCTAACTTTTCAATTTTTTCAGTGGGGAAAAACTGTGGTGCAAAATCTAACAAAAAAGGTCTAAACATGCTTCCAATGACCCCTATTAGACACGACGACAGTGTAAAATGATTTAGTTTATCTATCCTGAAATATGCTCTTATCCTTAGTCACCCCCTTTTTTATTTAGTCACACCTACCTCAGTTTTATTCCTATCCCTTCAGATCCTACATACCTTCCCCATCTAGGCTAGCTAGATGGTAACCTGCTCGTCTCCTCGACGACCTTTCATCATCATCATTGATCTCATCTGGGTCAACTACAGTCCTGCTAAATTCCTGTGAAGCCTTGTTGTTTCCCTTCTTCTTTTTCCCTTCTTTCTTCTTCTGTGATACTGAAACATCTGAATCTTCTGTCCCCTGGTCACCATTTTGATGGTTGTATATATTACTGTTGTTGTAGAGAGGATCTTGCACATCAAATCTGGATTTCAGTGAAGAATTTTTATAACTAGAATCTTCATGATTTCCAAATCTAGAGCCGAGTCCATTAAGATTTTTCAGTCGCGTATTCTGTTTATTGTTGCCGTAGAGGTTATCACGATTTCCAAACCTGGAATCTGCACCATTATTGTAAAGTGAGTCATCAAGATTTCCAATTCTGGAATTAATTTTGTTGCGGTATAAAGAATCTTCCTGATTTTCGCGTCGCGTGTTGTTTGAAAACGATACGTTATCGTAGCCTGCCACAATCTGCCTGCTTCCATATCCTCTCATAGCCCGTAAACTACCACTATCCTCACTCTCCTCTTCATCATTTTCTTCCTTCCTAAAATTATTTCCTCTTGATGAAAAATTTATTTTTGACAAAGAGCCAACTGACTTTTTATAAGGATCCTCAGTTTCATCCTCTATTTCCTCTACAGCTCTGAGTTTTTTCTTTTTAGATTTCTTTTTCTTAGTAGTTCCTGTTGTCTCATCCATGCATTTTGTACCAAGTGGACGTTGAAGGGGAGGTAATCTTGGCGTAAGTTTGCGGCCTCGTGGATGAATGTCTATATCACTGTCCTCGTCTTGATCCATATGCGAATCTAAACGAGTTTGTTTCAACCGATTCTGTTTATCATTATATCTGTCAACATTCCGTGGAACAGCATCCCCGTTTGACAAGCCAAAGTGTCGTGGAGAACGATTAGATCGGTTGACAGTTAGATCATCAGAATCAACTTCAGATTCATCTTCCTTTTCTTTGGATTTACTCTTCTTTAATCGTCTTACTTTATCACCTTCTTCAAATGACTTCAGTGGGTCCGCTAATTCAAGTTTACGCCTCTTCATTTTCTCAATCTGTTGCTGTGAAATATAGAAATTATTGTAAATTAAGAGAAAATCATCACGATAGAGAGATAAGATGATATGGGAAAGCTTAGCAAACATCCACACAAAGCAAAGTGTTTTTATACAATCTATCACCTCTGTGTGGTGGTGATGAAAATCTACAGAGGCTGAACTGTCATCTTTTATCAATATACTGATATGTTATAGGTTTGTTAGGCAATATCATGAATGACGAGACACAAAATATTGATACATGAAGACAAATACGTTATTTTTCCCCCACTATAAATTCTATTGGCACTGACAAGTGAGAATTTTGAGTACAGCTGTCTGTATACCATTTTATAACAAGAAATTCAGAGGGCCTGTATCGCACTCACTTGGATATTTAATGCAATCATGAAACGATTTTCTTATTTAGAGCAATATCGCAAATAAGTCTCAAGGTGCAGGGCCAGGCCACTGGTTTATGGGCTCATCCTGATAGCATGACTGTGTTGGTTTTTCATGCCCTAATATCATACATTTGGTTATTGGTTGGGAATCTCAACTGTTTCCATATTTTGACCTAGAGACTGACCCAGAGACTAAGTCCCCAGGAGTGAGAACAGACCACAGAGCAATCCAAGAAGCATGGATGTATTTGTCTCATCATGCCAGGCAAAAGAGTATGCAAGGTTGCCCAGACCAAATTTAGGCAAAATTTCTTCAGCTGATCTGGACTAGTAGTGTTTTAAAAGAAAAGTTGACGGTAGGACTGACAGGCAATTGACGCTGCGCCATGGCATAAGCTTACTTGCACTTTGGGCAGGTGAGCTATAAACAAATTACACAATATTGTTCATATTATTTTAATTTTTCATTTAACTCGATGCCAACAGCTTTATTATCTTTTGAACTGATTTTTTTTATAATACGGCAACCAATACTGCTGTTTGAAATTTTATCACACTTAGTAGATCTTCATTCATCAATCTTTGTAATGTAAATGTCCAACCCTGTAACATTGATAAGAACAGTTTTCTCAAGAGTTTAAAAAAAACTATTGGACGTAGTAAGCATCCCATGTAAGTAAGTGGGACACTATAATAACAATTATTTGCATGTGCCTACTGTTACTCAAATCAGATTTTGAAACAAGTGTTGACAAAGATTTGAATATCAACTCTTTTCTTCCCCTCTTCTGCTGGCCTGGCTGATCTTATACACTGTATGTTAGCTTTTTGACAAACTTTCTTTTAACCCCGAACAAGTGCCTTTGATATACACTTGTATTAAGATCAGCAAAAGTACACAGTGCTCAGTACTTTAAGAACATGGGTGCTAAATAATGCAAATATGTTAATAATCTCAATAAAAGAAAATGTTTTTCTCAACATTTTTTTCTGAAAATGTTCAGATTGAATACAAAACATATACTTTAAATGATGAACAGTGAATTTATGAATTAAATCCATTAATCCACAGATATGTATAACATAATCCATAGACATGTATAACATAATCCACAGACATGTATAACATAATCCACAGACATGTAGAACATGATCCACAGACATGTATAACATTATCCACAGACGTGTATAACATAATCCACAGACATGTATAACATAATCCACAGACATGTATAATATAATCCACAGACATGGATAACATAATCCACAGACATGTATAACATAATCCACAGACATGTGTAACATAATCCACAGACATGGATAACATAATCCACAGACATGTATTACATAATCCACAGACATTTAGAACATTATCCAGACATGTATAACATAATCCACAGATATGTAGAACATAATCCACAGACATGTATAACATAATCCACAGACATGTATAACATAATCCACAGACATGTAGAACATAATCCACAGCCATGTATAACATAATCCACAGACATGTATTACATAATCCAGAGACATATATAACAAATCATTAACAATCCTATCAATTAAAGTGAAACCTTCATGTGAACTAATCTCCTCTCCATAATGTTTAAGTTTCTGTTTTTGGGGTAGCAAATAGACATCTATATACTTCATTTCATGCTGGATTCAGAGTTCATTGACAGACCCTTTATATCATTAAGATGTCCACTACCAAAACAAATCACTGGCCAAGTTAATTTTAAGATTTTTCGATGATTTTAACGCTAGTTTTTTAGTGCCACATGTATTACCATTATCAACATTTTCCAATGCACTAAAGGGAGATAACTGCAAACCAAAAAATACACAAAAAAAGAGGTAATGTAAGCATTTTCAACTATTTTGTTGTATAAGAATGTTAAATCAATTTGGTTGCTAGTCTATAATTCCCCCATCCCCCTCACCTAAAAATAGTAACATTATGAAAAGGCTAGTAGTACAAATCGCATAAAAATCTGCAGCAAACCAATGAAATCAAACACAGGAAGGATTTAGGTTAATAACAATGTGTGGAAACTTCAACACAGATCAGCAGTGTTATCAACAAATATGGCAAACTTGTGGTAGAAAATCTGCAGTGTGGTCTGTGTTCTGCCGGAACAGATCACAACCCTGGCACATACTGTAGATTTTCTTATTAAGTAAGAAGTTTTAAATTTCAAAATTACTCAAGCCAGGCTTTTCAACAAAATATCATTATCTTATAAATGTATTAACATGCAATTTGCCAAACATTTTCAAATAATCGTTTCATTCACTTAATTTAACAATGATAACCCTAAAAGACAGTATTAAAACATTTTAGAAAAAGTTGCGCCAAAGAAATTTGATTAAATTAATTGTCCTTTGATTATGATATTAAAAATATTGAAGAAAATTTTTAACATTAATCAATATTTCTTTTCTTCCTAAATGTTGATGCTGAGAAACCAAATGGTTGAAAATCTGAGAAATGAAATAATTTTCTTTATTTTTTAATAGTTATTTAAAAAAAAAAAAAAAAAAAAAAAAAGCCAAGCGAAATGACACTAATGTAGATTATAAGAATGTAAGGCCTGGATTGTCTGTTACTACAGTTACATGTGCTGTAAGATTATATTGTACAACTCCCACACAGTAATTTACCATCTTATATCCTCTGCTGAAAAAATGGTAAATCATCGTATTAATTATAAACATTCACCGATTTCTTTTAACATTTCATTTTTTTGGCATGAACTGAAACAATAAAATCAGTCATGAATCAATAAAACAAAATTCTAGAATCTAACTGTGCAAGAGTTGTGTCTGAGATGTGAGTAAACATAAATCTAGGATTATTTTCTAAGAACAACATTTTGTATTAAATCAGTTTTTTCCCCCTGAAGTAATTATATGACTATTAACTAAAAGGTGACCAATTAGGATTTAAAGCATTGCTAAAATTTAAAAGAAACAAATATTAATTAATGTTAAATAAATTCAAACATGTATCCATTTCAATATTAAAGTCAACATTTTCTACATCTACAATTAATAAAATCAAGGATTTTTGATACTTTTATAATCGTTTTACATTTCCAATGACTTATTTGAATCTATTTGTGTGTTCTATTCCAACTTTTCCAATAATGTAGTATCGTCTTTTACATATCTTTGACCAGAGCAGTACTTGTAGGATCTCCACCATCAACAGACGACGGGTTATTGATATCTACGGAACGCTGTTAATAGGCTAACATGGATACACGCACCAGACATGCCACCATATTTATTACAAAGTGATCGCAATATCCACTAATGTACTCACCTTTCTTTCCAGTTCTTGAATGCTGACAGGTTTGAACGGATTCCCTGCATCTTCTTCGTCATCATCGTCATCTGGCTCCTCTATGCCAAGTCTTTCTCTTTCTGCCTTCTCTTCTTTCTCTCTGAAAGCAGAGTAAAGGAAGCAGATAAACACAGGAGTAATTTTGTGTAATTTGAAACTTTAACTAAAGTCTGTCACCTGAGTTATAACAGAATCAAAAGATATATATATATATATATGTGAAATGTTGTTTATTTCAGCATCTACAACATTTTCAAGGCTTTTCAATATATGCTAATACATATGTATTGTACTTGTAGAAGGCACATCAAAAGCAAATATACAGCTATAATATATATCAATAGATATATTAATTACCCTTTTGATCTCAAGAAGTAGGTATATATATTGAATTTTGGCTCTTAGGCCAAGTGTCGAGTTTATACTCTGGTTTTGACTCTTTCCCATACACTGAAAGCATAGGCTTAAGACTATGAAATGCCTGTTTACAATTTGGATATATGTAATATGACAGACTTTATTCCTACTCTCCCCTTTGCAGACAGAATTAGCCAGTTATTTATGTGGAAAAGCCTAGGTATGCCATTTTATAATTTTATGAATCCTAATTTTGTATGAACAAATTACAAGGTCCAATTTCAGCTGAAAGATAAATGTTCAGTTTTCTACCTCTCCTCCTTTATTTTGCGGACACGTTCGCGGCGGACACGCTTCTCCTCCTCGTCCCGCACTCGCTGCTCCTCCATGTCATGCTTCACTCTCTCAGAATACAGGTCCCAATTGTGTTCAACCATTCCACATAACCACTTCAACCCCTCCTTCAGTTTGGGGTCAATTTTTTTACCTGTTCCCTTTACAGCAGAGGTAGCCTCCTGTCACAGAGAATATGATGATTTATGTCTCTTTTGGGGACATTCATGTTCAACATAAAGCAATATGTTAACTAGCCACTTATGGATTCCTTTATATCAATAGAAATGAGGTAAATCAGTGATGTACAATTTCCCATTAACATAACTAGTCGGTCGACAAATTTTGAAAATTTCTACTAGTCTACCTATTATTTTCTTAATGAAAAATTCAAATTTTCACTAGACCCGACATCAAATGTTCTAGTCCCAGGTGTGGGGCTAGTGGAATTGTAAGTCCCTGAAAGTTAATCATTTAAAGAGATGACATTTATAGACAAGCATTTGTTATGGAGAGGACCTTAAGGTATACAGTTTACTTATGAAGACATGATTGGTATCTTCACAGATACCAGGTAGGTAGTTGTCAATGTTAAGACATTTATAAATAGATTTTTATTTTGTATTACTTCTTTTTTTAAATGACAAATATCTGACCCTTATAGACAGAATGTAATACACACATGTTAAAAGTAATCTTATTTTAGCCCTTTTCATAGGTACTTGAAATATTACACAAAATTTATGATTGCTCTGAATTGAAATTTCTTTATATTGTTTCCTATTACATATACTGTTCGTGCACAAATTCATCAATGCACTTACCTGTTAAAATTGATACTATGCTAAAATTTGAGTGCACTAAAATGTATGTGTTTATTTTTTAATCAGTATAACTCTATTATAACCTTTATAGATAGGTTTCCTACCTGGGGATCTATTTATATACAGCTGGTTTGATTGTATTTGTTCTTGTTTGTTTGTTTGGCTATAGTCATTAAGGAGGTGCCAGGTTTTGGTGGTTGAGTAAAGCTGGAGGACCCGGAGAAAAACAACCAACCTATGGCCAGTACCTAGCGACTGCCCCACATAGGGCTCGAACCTGCGACCCAGTGGTGGAGGGCTTGTGGTAGCAGAATGTCCGACGCCTTAACCACTTGGCCACTGCGGCCCCTCAGCTGGTTTGAACTGACACTACGTTACACTTACGATTCTAGAGGGACACTTGTGGAGGTTGGCTAGTTCCTCTAGGTGTATCCTCTCACAGACATCTACAGCCTCCATAGCATCTTTCAGATCACATTTGTTGGCTAACCTGTCAAGTGAAGACAGCATGGCGATGAAAGAAATATCATTACCTGGTGATGTTATCCAGTACACATATTTTATATTCAGTTTTTAATTTAGTATATACAGTGAACCCTCTCAAAAGGTTGTTCATTCTTTCAAGAAAAAGAATAGAATTACATGTAAAAGTTAGTTATAAAAAAAGACAAATCTATATGTGAAATGCACTGTCAATCAAAGGGTCTAAAGGATTGTGAGATTAGGGTTCTATATATGTATGAGGTTTACCTATATCCATAAGTATTGAGAAAAGTTCAGATTACGATATATACACATCCGTTTTTGCACATTATGCAAAATAAGTTAGGGTACAATGAGTACACCAATACAACACAGAGACCAGGGCAGTGAACCTGTAGTACCTCTACTCCAAGGCCAATGGATATGGGGTCAATATAGCACTTTCTGTATCCATTCTATTGTGATATCACAATGATACTGTCTTCTAATTATGAATTCACAATAACATTAGATCTCTTTATTCAAACATTTAAATTTCTGTTGTTGAGTCTTGAAATAACCAATTAAAATCTGTTTCGTCATACATTTTGTATATGGTTAAAGAAGTTGGGGTCCAATCAAGCTGTAAAGCTAATTTCAAACTTTGACAAAAATGTCTGACAGGAATTTATGGTACCAGAGAAATATTAACACATCCTTATTTCTATAAAACTGGCTGTTCTGTTATTGCACTAAAGCTTATCTAAAATATATCATGAACCAAAGGAAACTGCCAAGAAAAATAGACTTTTTTTTTTTTATTCAAAATAAAAACAAGGATTAAATGCATCTTTTTAATATTATCGATAGTATGCAACACAGTTCAGTTAAAACCTATCCCCAAGATTCACAGCTACTGTGCATCATGGAATACCTTTGAACAGAACTGTGTTACATACCATAATGTCAACTAGAAAACATCTGTAAGACATGAAGTGAAAATGAATTTTTTAACAAAACAGAAATGGCTGACCTTGGGATATGAACTTATCCGAGGTATTCTTATACTTGACCTTGGTGTAATCTCTAATGAAACTCTGTTGTGAAATAATGAAGTTGGTAGAGCTGTGAAAATGAATGAATCATGACAGGGTGTAGTATCATTTTTTTGGGTTGGTTGGTTGGTTGGTTATAAAAATATGTTTTCCAATCCATGTTTGGGATGTAGTTATCAGGATCAATTGATTAATTTATCACCAACCCAGCCCTGCTTCCTACACAAAACCTTTCACCCGTACTTACAACAGGACTGGCTTGCCTGCCACCTGTGGATGCTCCAGTAGGGCTTTGAGATTTTCCTGGATCTCTGGAATCCTGTCCTTAGAGCTGGAGTCCACCACATAGATAACGCCATAGATTTCATGGAAGTAGTGTGTCCAGATGCTGCGTACATTTTTACCTCCTCCAATATCAAATATTGTCAAATCAAAGTTGTTCACATTTAACGACTCTGTATTGAAGCCAACTGTTGGTGCTACCTCTAGTGTATCTGAAAATGTAATGCATATTTTTGTGAACTCATTGCTTTTCTTAATTTCAATTTTACTAGCGTATACACAGTATTTTATTTACTTGCGCTTAAGTCAAACATTTATTTCTATCTGATTCAATAAATTTTTGAAAATTTATTAATTTCAATTTGATAGAATGAATTATTTTGTTTCAGAATTTTAAGGAAATTATGTGGAAAGGCGGATAAACATTGCACCTGAAGTTCAACCTTGTTATACTGCCACAATTCCATTATTTGTCCAGACAAAATTTGGTGAAATAAAAGGGTTAGCTGATACATTGTGGATTTTATGGGAGATGTATAAAGGCATTAGTACGATCTTGAAATAGGTTTGTTTATTGTAATTAAGGTGGCATATCTTCTATCCTGTCTATATCAGAACTTTAAACTATAAATGAAGATTTAATATCATGTTACGTAGAGCTGTATAGTGAAACTGGAAAGTCAGCAGACAAAATACATGTATATAGTTTTATACATACCTCCAACCAGAGCCTTGGTCACAGTAGTTTTTCCTGCACCATCAATTCCTAATATGGCTATTGCTATTTTCCTACAACATAAAATACTCTCCAATTAAAATAACACATTGTAGAGGAGGGCATTCAGTGTTTGTCTTTAATTTCTGTCTGTATTGTACAGGTGTCAAACTCTGAAACCTCCTCATTTCAACATTTCCAATGAGAGAAAAAGTGCATGAAATGTGACAGAAACTGTTTTACACTTTTCATCTCTCCCTTTTTTAAATAACTCCAAAAAGCGTTCATTTGATTCTGACACACCTGCTATGATCATTACACACACCCTGTAGTAAATAGAATAAATAGATCATTTGACCACAATATATAAATTTGAGTTTGTGTGAGTTTGAGATTCGAGGGACTGGTAAATTTATATATAAATTGTAGTAAAAATGAGGGAGGGTTTTTAGGGAGGGTTGACTGCTATGAAATTATGCTTCATTTTTCTTTATACTAGAAGTCCAACAGTTTTTAAACTTCATGTAGATAGATCTTGAGGAGTGCTATATATTCCAGTTATCAAATGTAGGTCACTGTGACCTATATTTTCTGCTTTACTGATTGGGTTAGACTTTGGCCATTTTTGCTTGGTTATTCTTTCAATTAAACTCTAACCAAAATAAGGGCATATGTGTGTTTTACATCAATTTTCTAGTTAATTCTGTGATATCCATGTTTTTTATAACTTCTTTAGGAAAAGTATGGCTTCAATTGCTTACTTATGTAAACATAATGTCTTATATATTTATAATTACTATGTATAATCATCAAATCCCACTGGAACCAGACCATGCAATTATTGTGATATACCAGCTCTTAATAATGGCATTGGATACAAAATATGTATGTTTAGTTAATCTTTAATGTACAGGACTGATGGGTCTGCAGGACCTAGAAACAGAGTAATTTTTTGGCCTAATTATAATATTCTAAAAAATATCATGAACTTTACTAGAAAATAGAGAACTTTACATATGCATATACCCAGAGTTTCCTCTGGCCCTGATACCAGACTTAGACATGATTTCACTCAGTTTCGCTCAGATGGCATGGTTGTAAGCTAGCTATAGCTAATAGCTTGTGGTGATGTATAGAATTCAATATTTTCTTCTGATGAATGCTGTACACACACATACTAATTTAACTACCGGTTGGTAGATATTTACATTTATAAGGTATAGCGTTGGAGTAATCAACTCCCACTGTTAGTTCCTCTCCTTTATAATTTGATGGTTAAAAACATGATTTTTAACAGCATGGTCAGTGCCAAGCAGTCAATTTGTTACATTGTTCACTTTTGACTGATTGTACTTACATATATATGTAACTAGTAAAAGGATGGCCTAAATTTTGTCGGATGATGTTTCCAGTGGCTGTTGAGCCGTGACTTGAAGGTGTTGAGCTTTTAGAGAGTTCCATAGATTTATCACTCTAGATCTGTTGCTGTCGAAATTACCATATTTGTTCAGTCTGAATGGTCTTTTAAATAGTTTCCTGGAGTGCCCCTAGCCTGGTTGTCTTCAGCTTCATGGAATAGTTTGCCCTATATGATGACAGATAGATGTCTGGTAGGCTCACACCTGACATCTATCTGTTAAAATGTCTAAGTCTGGTGTCAGGGCCAGAGGAAACTCGGGCTAATATTTATATAGACTATAGTTGAAAGGGTTTCCAATCTCAGTCATGTTTCAATGTACATGTATAAGAATGAATATTTATAATTCATCAGAGGATAGAATGACAACAATCGCTTTATATTCTGTCAATATTATTGATAATAAATGACAGAATTTTAGAATCCTGTGTAATAACAAATTATTTAAACTCTGTTGGTTTTAAAATGCTTGATTATGATTCAATTCAGAATGATCTACAGAATTACATAGTTGTTTTTTAATGAAATGGATATCATGTATTTCAATTCATACCTGGAAGATAAACAGTTACCGTACTTGATATTTATCTACAACACAATCTGCTAAAAAATAAATTGGGTCTTCATGTGAAGGTAATTATATTCTGTTCTTAGAACTACATTTTATACAGCTAAACTTACTTTTTGGGCGCTCCTCGGCCTCTGATACAAGAACAAGCGTTCCCCATCAGTAAGATGATGTTTATAGAAAGTTCACACGAAACACGAACAATGACGGTTGTCGATCATCTGAGTGTCTCTGGCAACAGACGACAGATTATTGTTGACAATGAGAAATAAACACCTGCTTCTGATCAGTTGCTATGTAAATTCAGCAAACATTTATAAAACATTGACTCATAAAGATACTCTTTCTTTTCTTTGGATAATGATTAAGTACGTAGTTTGTTTAAGCAATAATTTAAAAGACCCAGAGGTATATTAAGTCTTCATTTCTGCTAGAATCATCTGTCAAACGGAGCACCTGTGTCAGCCATGTTGGCAACCGGATTGTTTACCCAAGTTGCGTCACTACAATAAGAATCAACTTCCGGGTCAACAAAGGGGCTACATAAAAACGATGTTGACTAGGAGTTATAAGGTAGCATTGCCTTTTGGACTAACGAAATAATACAAGCGTTCAAATGGTAGATGATAAAATGGAAAATGATTCCACGGCACAACGGATGTTACCAGCATCTTTCTCGTTATTTTATCTTCATAGCATCAAGCAGTACCGTGGCCGAGTGGTTAAGGCGTTGGACTTAAGTTCCAATGGAGCTCTCTCCGCGTGGGTTCGAACCCCACCGGTACTAATTATTTTTAGGTCACAATATGGTTTTTCCCAACTTTACCTTTACCTCTTCTTCGACACCGTTGTTAGCTAATATAGGCGCATCTTGGTTTGGTAACATACTGTTAACCGGTTGTGTAGCATAAAAACTAGGATAAAACTTGGACTGTATATTTTTCCAACAGATGTCTAATCTAGATTTAAAACAGTTAAGAGAAGGGGCTTCTACTACTGAATTGGGAAGGGAATTCCAAGAATCCACCACTCTTCTGCTGAAAACATTTTGAGTGACCCTGGTCCTGCTCTGTTTTTTGAATAGTTTTTTGTTGTTACCCCTTGTTGTTGTTTGTGTGAAGGTGAATAGTTTATCTTTATCAAGAATGTCGATGTTGTTTATTATTTTGTAAACTTCTACTAGGTCATTTCGTTTTCTTCTGTATTCCAGTGTAGGTAAGCCTAGTCTTAGTATTCTTGAATTGTAAGAAAGGTGTTTTAAAGATTGAATTCTTTTGGTAGCTCTACGCTGCACATTTTCTAAAGCTATTTGGTCCTTTTTCAGAAAAGGGGACCAGACCTGGGTGGCATATTCTAAGTTGGGCCTAATGAGACTCTTGTAAAGTGCAAGAAACATAGTTTTGTCCATATAGGTAAATGTCCTAAAGATTAATCCTAGTGTGCGATTAGCTTTGTTAATAGATTGACTCACATGGTGGTTAAATTTCAATTTGTTGTCAATTATAACACCTAGGTCTTTTTCTTTAGTAACTTTCTCAATCTGTTCACCTGAGGGGAAGTAGTATGTAGAATCTTGATTTAGGTTACCAATATTTAGATGTTTACATTTTTTGGTGTTCAATTTCATTTTCCAATCTGATGTCCATTGGACAATGTTATTGATATCAGTTTGTAGTTCTGCAGACCCTGTTTGCCTAGAAATGTTTTTGAATAGTTTTGAGTCATCAGCAAAAAGTTTTACTACACTGTGTTCGACTATATCAGGTAGGTCATTGCCATGATTAGGAAAAGAACTGGACCAAGGACACTACCCTGGGGCACACCACTCGTTACATCCACCAGACCAGACAATTCCCCATTAATGGATACTCGTTGTTTTAGATTTAAAGGAAATCTTTAATCCACTGGAGGATTTTACCAGTTATTCCGTAACCTTGAAGTTTTTTTAGTAAACATTTATGAGGGACTTTGTCGAATGATTTACTGAAGTCCAAGTAAATAGTATCCATGTTTTCACCTTTGTCAATTGTCTCTGCCCAGTGTTCCATTACTTCAAGTAGGTTTGTTGTACAGGACTTTCCAGCTCGAAAACCATGTTGGTGAGAAGTGAAAAGGTTGTTATTGTCCATGTGTTCTATGATTTTGTCGCGAATTAGTCTTTGTAAAAATGTTCCTGGTATAGATGTCAGACTTATTGGGCGGTAGTTTTCGACTTTGTTGTGGTTACCGCTCTTGAAGATAGGTGTTACATGGGCAGTTCTCCAGCCGTCTGGGATCTTTCCTTCTTGAATGGATTTTTTGAATATGATCTCCAGGGGTTTAATGATTTTGTCTGATGTTTCAACAAGCAATTTTGGGTGAAATATGTCAGGTCCAGGGGACTTGTTTGGTTTTAGTTTTTTCATCGCTTTTCTTATGAGTTCGGGGGTGATTTCTATATCTGATAGTTCGGTCTGGTAAGGTCTCGTTGGAAATTCAGGACCATCATCAATTTCAGGAACATTAAATATAGAGCCAAAGTAAAAGTTCAGTTCATCTGCAGTTTCTTTGTTGGTGACTGTGTGAGTACCGTCTAGTTTCTCCACGTTGGTTATGCTTGTTTTAGTACGGGTTTTGTTGTTGACGTACTTCCAAAAAAGCTTGCTAGTTGTTTTGATGTTTTCAGCCAGCTTTTTCTCGTAGTTATAGTGTGATGTTCTGATTCTTCTAGTAGCTGTGTTTCTGGCTTTCTTATATTCTTCAAAGTTGTAATCAGTTTTGCGGTGTTGGTATTTGATCCATTTTCTTCTTTTGTGACGGATTGATTTCCTCGCTGCAAGGTCAAGATAAGATTTCCAACTTGCTCTGTTTTGGGTTGTCTTGTTCACGGGTATTTTGTCTTCTGTTAGTTTGGTGATGATTTCAACAAAGATTTCCCAAGATTGAGTAGTGGATTTGTTATCAAGAATATCGTGCCAATTCAGCATATCTAGTTCATCACGAATGGAATCGTATCGGCCTTTAAAATGGTTCCTTCTCTCAGATTTGCTCTGAGTAGAACGTGTTCCAATTTTAAAATTAAAACTGAGTAGCACATGGTCGCTTTTCCCTAAGCCAGGTAAATATTCAATATTATCCACCATTCCTTCCTCGTTACTAAAAATCAAGTCAAGTACTGAAGGATTTCGACCTGATCTGATCCTAGTTGGATGTATGATGTGTTGTTACATAAAGGTGTCTCTAACAGATTCTAAAAATCGTGTGGCATTATGGGTTTCAGACACAGATGTGATCCAGTTTTTCCAGTCTATTTCAGGGAAGTTGAAGTCTCCTGTAATTAAAAGGTGGCTGTTGTTCCTGGATGAGATCTCGGCTAACAAATTCAGTAGATTAACAAAATGTTCTTGTGGTGAGTTGGGACTTTTGTAGATATTTATGAGAAGAATTTTTTCTGTGTTGGTTGTTGTTATTTCACACGATGTATATTCGTTGAATAACGGGTGAATTCAACTCTTTCCACTGATATTTTTTCGTCAACATAGATTATGGTGCCACGTCCACCATCGTCTTTGCCAATAAAGCTTTTGTAGCCGGATATTTCGTAGTAGGAATTATCCGTAGGTGTGGTTTTTACTTTATGGTGAATTTCTGTTAGCATTATGATATTAGGAGATTTTTCTTCTATCAGTACCTTCAGTTCTTCGTATTTGCTGGTTGTCAGTATGTCGACATTGGAGTAAAAGACGAGAAGGTTGTTAAAAGCTTCAGTATTTACAGATTTAAAACCGTCATCCTATAGGCTGTTCGTTTGGGAGTTTCGAATCGCTGATAGTAGCTGTGTGTTGGGAATTCCTCCTACTATTGTTTGTTCTGGGTCGCCGTCTGTGATGAATGTGTCAAGTTCGTAGGATGCCGAACTCGAAAACGCATTTTCGTGTTGTAGCGATGTCTCCGATCTTATCGGGCTAAAACATTCTATACTAGTTCTGGAGGGGGTAGGTGACCTGGATTGTGCTCTGTCTACAGTCATTTCGTCTTGCACAGGTTCGGAGATAACCCTTTTTAATTCGGTTTCGTGAATTTTATTTTTTTCTTATCAATCATTTCTTTACGTTGGCAGGTTGTCATGTCTCTCTTGATTACTACCCTTTTTAGGTTGCCGGTGCATTTTTGTGCAATTAGTCTTGCGTCTTCTAGGAGTTTCTTCCATTGTTGTTTGTTACCCAAATGATTTTATTGGCCTTGTTTTCTTTTCATCATATTTTCCAAGACGAAAACAGGTATGCCGAGTTTAGTAGCTACTTCTGTTACGTCTCGCATATCTTTTAGTTTTTTCTCTTTACCATCTCCAAGGGTTTTCTCGGGGATATTGAAAAGAATGATATTTGTGTTTCTCCTTTGTCTGTCGTTCAGTTCTTTTACCCTCTCATCTATAGCCTTGGTTAGATCAGCCTTGACTTCCTCTGTTATCGAGTCTTTCATGGTTCCCATAGATTCTGTAAGTGCAGATATTTTACTTCCATGCTCAATCTCAAGATTTAGGACTTTAGATTCCAGATGAGTCAATCTGTTGTCATTTGTCTCCTTGTAACTTTATGTTCTAATTCATTTATCATATAAAACTCAAACTGTTTATATATGTGGTCCAACACTAAAATAACTAATTAAGTCTCATGTACATGAAAATTCATGACACATTGCGCCTACGCTCTGGTGTTTGTCCGGTAACATACAAAAAGTGATATGCAAATGTCAAATTTCAATATTTTCTTAACAAGAACTGGGAAAACCTGAAACATTCAATTTAATTTTATTATTTAATATACATAAAAATTAAAAAATTAAATCAATTGCTAATGTGGACTGCAAAGACTTGAATGCCTATACACTGAACATCTGTAGCATGTGATATTAACTCTGCACTAGAACTACACACCTTAGCTACCTGTACTCTGATTGGTGATTACTGACCTCTGACCCACTTCTCTCGACCACATGATTCTGTTTCCAAACAGTATACACGTACCTATGATAAATTCATATATACACGAAAATATAACCAATCTGAAGCTATCAATGCCAATATAAACACAAGAGTGGTAATCCTGTCAAATGAACAAGAGGCCTAGAGGCATCCATCTCTCACCTGGATAATTAAGCAATCATTTTCCTGTAGTTACTTCTTATGAATCCTGTCCTTCTTCTGGTCAAATATCATCACCTAGGGCATCCTAGGAGTTGTTAAATTGTTTTTTCATATTTGATGCCGGTGAACTTGAAAGAAAGTCAAGGATTCTTTATAATAATAATATCTTTTATTTTTACAGGGTTACATATTTAGACATAATCTAGTTTACAATACGGCCCTGAAGATGTTATAGCACAACATCACATGTTACGGGCCAAAAACTCTTGGCTCTTGTGATCTTGAAAGTAGGTCAAGGTGATCCATTTACCCATAGAATCATTATAGCACTACATCCCAGGTACCTACTGACCAAATGACATCATGATTGACCTCCTGGTTATTCAGAAGCAGTTTTTTGAACATGTTTTTTTTTATATATCTGACCACTGTGGCCTTAAAAGTTGGCAAAGGTCATTTTTATTGTGGAAACTTATTGCACTCCATGCCAGGCACCAACTAGCCAACTGCTATCGTCCTGGGTCTCCTGGTTGTTCAGAAAAAGTTGTTTAAAAGTGTTGTTTTTTTTTTTACACATTTGACACCTGTGACCTGGAAGTAGGTCACGGTAATTTAGTTTGGGGATTATACAGCACTTCATGCCAGGTAACTACTAGCCAACTTTCATACCCCTTGGCCTCCTGGTTATTCAGAAGGAGATAATTATTTAAAAGTTTTTACATATTTAATGTCTGTAACCCTGAAAGTAAGTCAAGGTAATTTATTTGAGCTAACATTATAGCACTACATGCCAGGTACCTCTCATCGCCCTGGGCCTTCTGGCCAGAGACGTATAATACGTCTCTGCACGAACTAACGAATACACGATCGAATTCTCACAGGTAACTCACTGACCAGACTATCGTCACCAGGATCGATAAGCTGTCAAAACAAAAACTCATAGATCATGCGTGGTTTTGCGAGATCAGCGTGAGTTGCCAATCTCTGTATTATACGTCTCTGTTCTGGCTAATCAGAAGAAGTTGTTAGACCCCTGTAATCTTGAAAATTGGTCAAGACCAGTTATTTGAGGAAGTTTATAGCACTCTGTCCCAGGTACCTACTGGCTAAATAGGATGACCATATGTCCTCAAGTAATTGTGTATATAAATATCTTTCAATTTATCGATAATTACGACAAGAAAAGATTTGCAGGTTCATTAGAGTGTTTAGTATGACAATGTCTTACTTTTCTCGTTTCAGACGCTGAAAATGTTGTTAGGAACTATTACCCGATCTGTCAAGGTCATTAGTCAAGGTTAAAGGTTCAAAGGTCACAGGCAAAGCAGGATGGGGGTATATCAATGTGAGCCTCTGCTCACAATGTTTTTATTTTATTTTGGAAAAATAAAACAGAACAAAACACCAAATGTTTATATACCACAGTTTATTTTTTTATATCACAAAAAACATTTTCTGCAAAATGAAAAAAATAAAAAGAAGAAAATAATGAAATTTTCCACCAATTATTACTAAATCTCTTTCATCAATCTAGCTAGCAATTACACCATAATCTTACAAGTCTAAATTCAACTTTGATAGACATTAATTTTTCTCAGTGTAGTTTCTTAGGAGATCTCCATGGTTCTTGCATCAGTAGAACCACAGAAATTATAAAAAAAAAATGATGCCTTTCTGTACATAAACACCAAGTTGAAATAATGATCACATCCACTTTCTCAGCATTACTTGTCATGAATCTTAAAACAAACAAAAATGGCCAATTCTTGTATACGAGAATGCAGTTTTGAATTTGAAAATGAAAGCTAAAGTTTAATATATTGACATTAATGTTATGGCCAAGAGAAACTTTTCTGATTACCGGGTACAAAGACCTTATCAAATCCTTAAGTTTCTTTCACATCAGCTGATTATCATACTTCACATATTTAATTCTTTTTTGACATAGTGATAGAGGAAAACGCAATCACAATAATTGTGNAAAAAAAAAAAAAAAAAAAAAAAAAAAAAAAAAAAAAAAAATCAGTGTTAGACTATTGTGTTGAGAACTAGACTCGTAACAATCTCGCTTGATCTAGCTTCTACATTGGATGGACGGAAAATGGACACATACTGGACAGAAAAAAAGACATATCTGATAAACAAATCAAAGCTTATAAACAGACCCAAGTGTAACATGTAAAAGTTAATATGATACAATTATAACAAATTGTTATGTTAAATATTAATATAATACATATTGAATCTATTTTTGTACAAATCAAATTTTTAAATCAATATATATGTATATATGAACATTCAGGGAAATTCTAAAGCATCATCTACGAGACATGACTTTATTTCTACTAGTGAAAAAAATCTTAGTAAAATGTAGAAAAAATAACTACACATTCATCTTTAAACCAGTAACAACAGAGAAAATTTACCTTGGAATTAAATGTATGTATAAAATGAAAAATAGCATTATTTCTACTCACTGGGGTCAGACACAATTTCTGGGTAGAAGTGTAAAAGGAATAAAATGAAAGGGAAAATATTATACAATTCTTTTACAGTGGACCCTTTTCCCATTTTAAGTTAATCCTGTAATGTTGCCACCGTAACTGGTGTTGTAATTTTACCTTTACAGAATAACAGTTTAATGGTCCCTTTAGATTGGATGTGATGCTACCTACTTCAGATGTGGTCTAAATTTGTCTGATGATACAGACAAAACTCTGTGATAACTAAACAGGCCAGCTTCTGTAAACACTATCAATGACCTATTAAAATGGGGATCAATAAATCGTGAACATTTGAAAAACTACACCACTAACAAAAAAGAGAAACAAACTTGTTCACAATATGAATTACAACACCTCTATTGTACAAACATTCACTGTATATCACAGATTCCTCAAGGCAAGAGTACTGATTTCTGTACATGTAGTAACAGACATATATATACACAGGTAAATTTGATTTAAAAAGACTCAAATTGATGAACGTTTCCACATGGACCTTTTATACTTTAGTCTCATTCAATGTCTACTGAAATGTTTTTTTTGTCAGTTTTGAAATGAAGGAAACCAAATTTGGTTTTCCAATTCTTTGTAGTCACAGACAATAGATATATATATATTCAGTTCTTCTGAGTATTTTCAGGACTACCTGTGTTTGTCAGTCCTACTAACAGTGCTGGGGGTCATCACCATGGTAACGGTACAGGTCACCATCACATGACCTATGAAACATACATTCTAACATCAGGCTGGCCTCTTTCGTTATTTTGAATTCACAGATGCATTCAAGTTTCATTAATCTAATCAGATTACAACAATTGGCACAATTAATTTTTCTTAAAATATTTTTCAATAAAACATGAAAAATGATATGACGCGATTCCCAATAAAGCACTAGAATATTTAGCTTTAGTTTAAGGACAATAAAACAACAATGGAAAGGTAAACAACAAATGACAGGTGTTGTTTGGTAATTAATGAAATTTAAAAGAACATCACTCAAACACTGCAACTTCTTTCAGAAACTGGAAACTTTTCAATTAAAAACATGAATGACCATATTTAATCAAGTCCACTGAAATATTATAGTTCCCTACATAACAAATCTACTATTATCTTAATATTGCATAAATCTTATTTCTACATCTATACAACTTTGAATTTTAGCAAAATGTGTTGCCTAATATTAGAACTCTGACCACAAGCAACCTTGGACATAGAATTTTTAAGATCATCACTAATAAAAATCTGAATATCCAATGGCAAGACCAAAAGTTTATCCAATATCCAAAGACCCAACGATAATGATATTCACAAGCCATTCTGATTGATATTTCTCGCCTGTGCCCTGCTTTGACCATCAATGCACATATCAGAGAAAATAACTTAAATGCAAAAACTTCATGTTGATAGAGATGAGATGCTTACAAAGTCAATGGACCATGAAAGGTAGGCCGCATCCAGTATTTGATGCATGGGTCTAGATGTACTACCCAAGATGCATCTTTGGTCGAAGTTTGGTTGGTCTAGCACTTATACTTTCAGTGACCGCTACTTCGTGGCGGCGAGGAGGCAACATTTTTGATAAATTGTTCACGTCAAAGTGTAGGGAGACCAATGTCAGTAGCTAATAGTACAGAGATGTTTTTCAATCCTTTACAATCATCTGCCCATCAGTATCTGCTAGCCTTGCTCGTGAGGTAGTGGAGAATATGGCAAGTTGCATAGCAAGTAATGATGCTGCTTTATTAACTGTACTTCATTTCTGTGTTATGTGACTGTGCTTTGCTCTTCCATTTCGTGTAAACGTAGCTGTACTCATTAAAATCGTGTACATCACAATGTTGAAAAAGATGTCTTTCATTATCGGTCTCAAAAAATATAAACTTACAGTTTAATTGAAATTTCTTTGTATATACCATAAACCAAATATTATCACTAACGGGACACTTTTATTCACAAACATCAAATATTACATGTAGTTTTCAGAAGTGGAACTGGACGGCAATTTTTCTTGTAACAATTAACAATACACATATCTGACAATAGTTATTTTGATGAGAGAACTCTTTGATTTAGCATATTCCAGATATTTAAAACATGATTAAAATGAAAACAAATTTCATATGAATATTGGCAGTCTCTTTATCATATGAATGAAAAAATAGGCACAAAGACAGTCAATGAAAACAGAATGAAATTCTCAGGTAGAACTGAATTTCAAACAGAACTTTTTAGGGAGACGAAGTAATAACTGCGTAGCTATCAATTATCAATAATATTCAATCTTTACTGTGCAGCATAGAATGGGCAAAACACAAATGTCTGCAGTAAACACATTCACATGTAACGTCTATGAAATAAAAATGGTAAAATATAAGATGAAATGAAAAAAAAAAAATGTCATTCCCGTTTACAGTACAAAATATAATTTAAATTCTTTTATCAAATGATGGAAATAGTACATTTTATTTTATCTATACATGAAAGACATTTTCATTTACAGATTTTGAAAAAATATTGGAAAATAATGGATGGAATGTTTAATTTTTAAAAGTAGTCTTTAATTTGTAGAATAAACATAAAAAAATCTCCCTAAATTGAAGGTTATCTCCCTTAGATCAGCAACATATAGTTCAAATGGGCTGAATTGTGTATTGCAGGAAAACTCTATTTCAAAATAGTTTAAAAAACATAAAAATTGTCTATGATGTACAGGATTATGAAATGAGAGGGTTCAAACAAACAGATGACAGATGACTAGTAATTTCTCTAAGCTTAAAAAATGTTGTCATCAAGATCCAGTTTGGCTTTGTTACAATCATACCTTACTGCATTTATGCATACTAAAATTTAAACCATATGGAAACTAAATGAAAGAGACAGGAAAACAAATGCTAAAGCTGGGCATTGTTTGTAACAGACCTGATACTCAAATCCCTGAACCAGACAATATCTCAAGTAATTATTTAACAAATAATTTAACTACTGTATTTTTTTTCTGTTTTTTTTTTCTCCAGGAATCCAAGAAACAAAAAGTGTACAATTTCATATCAGAGAATGAGCTTGCAGGCAGATTTTTAAAATCTAATATCTTAACCATTATTTTCCTGGTAAATACTGTGAAATCAGATATTTTTGAGTGCCCCAAATTTTGTGGTTCCCTGACAAAAAACATTTTGTGAGTACAATGTACATGAATTTGAGGATTACAAGTGGCCACCCAATGGGGAAATTGCCTTATATCAAACTTTTAATTACTTCATGGACCTATGAATTCGTGGATAAAGATTACCCAAAAAATCAACAAATTAAAAAAAACCCATGAAAAGTAGTGATTTCACAGTTTTGAAAATGAAATCTACTAGCTCAAGGCTTTAGGCTTGTGGAACTGTATTTCATGAGAAAAATAATCTAAGTTTACACAAATTAAGTATGGCAGTAACATGACTTAAACTTTGTCTTCATTTTTCTCACACCTGTCGTAGGTTTAAGTACCAAATAAAACAGACAATTTAGTCAGACAATGAAAAATATACAGAAATATATGAATAGATAGAATTTGTTATACATATCTTCTGACTAAATTCAACAAATAACTAGATGCACTTTCCTTTAAACTTAAGGCGTATAACTTTACTATTTGATTACTCTAAATTAAATGAGCCTGAAATCTATTAATTGATATTTAACCCTTTCACCCCCATGTAACTTAAGTAGACTCTACCATGCATTGATCTGGATGAGTCCATTATGGTCTACAGTGGTGAAAGGGTTAAAAGTTAAGCTGTGAATCATTTTACATTGACCAACCGCACTGAGTTTATGGTCAGTATAGTTCACAACCAGTATTACAATTAATGATTACATCTGTTTTGTTTCTGTTAACAATTACCTCGGGGGACACAAGATGGAAAATAATCTTCTAAAAGTTCCAAATATCTAAATTCTAACTTGCATATTCATGTCAGCTACTATAAAAAAATATCTACAATCCCCAAATGGCACAATTTTTAAATAATTTGAATATTTTCCTCAGGTCTATCTAGTTATCAAGCTAAAATGTACAATAAATGGAAAATAATAGTCACAGTAACGATAAGAAAATAAGTCAGAACAACACACAAGAGCCACTTGTTAACTATCAGCAGCCGGAGTTACTGGTCTGCGCACATATATACTTAGTGATATCGATAAACCATGACGGACAGCTGAATAAAGTTTTACTGCATAAATTATTCTACAAATTATGAAACAAATAATTAAAAACTAAAATCTGTATCCGTAATAATCAACATAGCGAAATGCGTTTGATTGGCGAACAGCTTTCGTCAATGCCTGTGTTTTCCGAGCCTTTCTTGCCGCGATTCGCATCATTCTTGCCTTCTGTCTTTCAATTGCTCTTGCTCTTTTTAGATCAGTACTTTTTCGTCGGAGCCAGCTGAAAAATAACCAGAATGAATTATAAGTTAGCGTATTTTACTAGGAAGTTTTTTTATACATGTATGTAACATTTCTAGCAATAAAGACCTTGGAAATGTTTGGATACAGAGGAGTACAGATATTGGTTGTATGCAAAGAACAGAAGCTTCTACCACGATGACATCTCTTTCAACAGGACAGGAAATTTGCCATAAACAGCAGTAATCACCAAATGACCTAGCAGTCAAGGCAAGGGTGCTTAACTTATTTACCCCTGAAGACACATCTGAACTCTTCCAATTCAAAGGTTGGAATACTTATCATTATGAAAGTTCTTGGGTGAATGGATTAGGCTCAAAATGGTATAATAGTTTAGTTATGAGTACTGATATATAATGCTATATGATCGGTAATATTAGGTTAACAGATAAGTAAAGCACTTAACTAAGTACACTGGTTAATGAAGAAGATTTGATCCCAAATCCTGGTAATATATTTCAATAACAGTATTACTGATGAAAAATTCCAATGTTCATTCATCCTTGCCAGCTCTCCCTATTTTGGAGGGAGACAACCAATGTTGGACCCTAATTGGCCTAAAATTTAACATTTTCCACAAGTGAATTTGCAAAATTTTTACAAGATCTGAAAATTACATCTAAAAGAAGAGCTCAAAAGATGCTATCTAAAATTGCTATATTTTACCTGGGGGTATATACACACAGTCTATTTACCCTTTTTATTCCTAGCACACATAGTCTCCCCCATGGAAATTTCAAAAAAGTTGGCAAGAATTTTCATCACTTATTGGATACTGACTTAAGTTGGATGTACCAGTAAAACCTACACCCGACAGGTCTGTATTTACGAGATAAAAATTACAATAGAAAACTGAACAATTTTTACATACTCCCTGAAAGCCTTGTCACAATCATCTCGTGACCGTATGATGAGTCCTTCGTTAGTCTCCTGCTCCTGCCGCTTCGACAGTAGCTTTTCTCTCTTCTTTTGTTCCGACTTGGTCTGTACCCACTCCTTGAACAGCTCGTTGTTCTTTTGAGTCTACAAAACGCAGCAAACCATACATGTAAATACCGGATCGAGTGACAGCAGTAACCCTGTGTTTACTTGTCCTGTGTAACACTCCATCATTCAAACACACGTTTCATACAAGGCTTCGCAAACAAAACCTACCTTTTTACGTGTGAAACTGTCTGTTAACATGCATACCTTAATGCATCGTTGTTAATAGTACATTTGTATGGTTTCGTATCACTCTAAAAGCATCCTGACACTCCCGTAATTAATTTAACTATCTTTGTGTATTTCAAAATGTATACAAGTCAACCAAGTGAGAAATATTTTCTGTATTATGGTGACCTTGACCCTCTGAAACACAAAATTGTTGGGGGCATTTCATACTTGACTATTGTATGAAGTTTCATTGAAATCTATTTCAGATGTTATGGTGATTTTAACCATTTTCTATAAATTGTAATAATGACTTTGACCTTGGCAACCTGAAACACAAACTTGTTTTATGTATATCCATAAAAAGATTTCTATTGGAATGAGTTTCATAGAAATCAGTTCAAAAATAAAGTGGTTAAAGCACTGTCATGCCTACAAGAGGGATGTTCCCTGGACGCATTCATCTTTAGAACAAAAGGTAGAAACATCAAGGCGTGCCTTCCAGAAATCATAACCTTCATCCATGACGTTGACCTTTGACTTATGACTTTGAAATTCCATAGGGTTAATCTTCTTGTCATGGTCAATTATTGTACATGTACCAAATTTGGTTGAGATTGGATTAACATTGTGCTCTCATAGATACAACATCATTTATTGATTAACCCCACATTGTAACTAAGGCATTGTGCTATCTTATTGTGAGAAAAATCTCCTTCACAAAAGAGTTCCACGTTAAAAAATCTATCCTATGTCTTATAGAAATAGTAGTACTTTTCATTAATTGGCAACACTTCTGAAAAGTACATAAATTTATAACAGGCCAAACTCCACTTTGGATTGAATACGGTAGAACCTCAATATAAGGCCCCTTGTTTTACTTGCCACCTTATTTTTCTTGCTTTCTTAAGAATTCCTTTGTTTTCCCTCAATTTATTGCCAAACCCCTTTATATCGGCAAAATATCTCTCAACAAAATGATGGCAGTACAATGAGGATTTACTGTATGTATCGACAAAATATTCAAAAATCTACTTCAGAACAAACAAATACATAAAAAACCACAACCAAGGATGTTAACTCCAGCCCCAACTTTGAAACATACAGGACTATTCTAAAAAGGATGTGCTCTGCTTCATTACTGGAAAATAACTGTTTCTGGTTGCAAGACACTAAATCACAGATGTCAGTATAGGGGGTCATGGGTGTTCCCAGTAAAAAGACCTCACACAAACAATGTTATCCTACCCTGGTTAAATGTACAGTAATCTTATTTCATACTGGGCTTTAAGTTCCGTTATAATCAGGGGCTGAGGTTTCTAAACACTAGAGTCAATATTCAGCTTATACTCGTAACCAATGACAGAAAATTTAAAGCCCTGTCGATGTGGAATACTGTTGCTGTGAAGGCATAAATATATGTAGGTACAGGCAACTAGAAACTGAAACACAAACAATGTGACAGACAGTGTCTGGTGTCTGCAGGTAAATAAATACATGGGGNGGGGGACACACAGTTTTGTTTGTTTGTGTTTACCTCCTATTAACAGCTATGGTCATTTAAGGATGTGGCAGGTTTTGGTAGTGGAGGAAAGCTGGGGTTGCCGGAGGAAAACCACTGACCTACGGCCAGTACCTGGCAACTGCCCCAGTCTCGAACCCGCGACCTAGTGGTGGAGGGCTAGTGGTAGCAGAATGTCAGACGCTTTAACCACTTGGCAAACGTGGCCCGTAGGAACACACAGAATACTCTACAAGCTAAACTAACTACAGTAGAACCAGTTGTCAAAGTTTAATTTATGCAGTGGTTTAGCTGTGATTCAAACCATATCTATCTGTGTAAATCTTGTCAGATCTTTAACTCAGCTATTCCCCTAAACTCTACCGTATTATTTACATCTTCTAACTATTCCCTGAATACCCCATACATAAAAAAAATTAAAATGAAATAGTGGACGAAATGAGTAAGATTTAAATTTCGAAACCACTTGGCTCTATCAAATATACGAAGAAAAGCTGGAAGTCACTGTTGTCATTGATTTCTTTCCTTGACGTGGTAGTGTTTAGTTTGATCTGTTGTTTGTACATATACTAGCTCCTGTATCCCTTGCACAGCCCCCCGATAAATAATTTTTGTAAAATTAAAATTGACATATATTTATATGTTTGTTTAGGAATTGAGCTGAGAAAAAACACACAAACAGAAACTATGGTAAGACATCAGCGAAAAAGCATATAGAAAACACACAGCAGAAAGCTTGGTAGATACAATACATTCATACAGTAAACAACACATTATAAAGATGTGTAAAATACATGGGAATACACATTGAGAAAAACACACCAGAAAATATTCTAAGATACCTAGGAATACACTTGGAGAAAAACAAGAAATCCAGCAAACAATTTTTATCATAAAATTGTATAATGGGCCTCTGATTTTAATTAGATTGTACCAAATATGAAAATTCATTTTCAAAAGAATCTAAATCTTCTATGGCAGTTAAGTAGTTGAAATATGGTAAGAACATGAGTGCAAAGGAAAATGTGCGTTTCTTATGTAACCTGGAAATAAAAATAGCACATGATGTTATATTTCTTACGATGCATACTAAAATGATCAGTTTCTTTACTCTGATGGATCCATAGCCCCCCCAAAAAAACACCATGATGGAATTCTGCTTATCATGATTTTGACACAATTCCAAGGAAAACCATGCAATAGAACCTGCATAAGACACCACCCTATCTGTCACTACAGCTACAATAGAACCTGCATAAGACACCACCCCTTCTGTCACTACAGCTACAATAGAACCTGCATAAGACACCACCCCTTCTGTCACTGCAGCAGAACCTTTTTCAATAGTCCTTCTATTCTGTCACTACAATAGAACCTGTCTCAATAAGACATCTGTTCTGTCCAAGTAGCACCAATCTGTAACTAGATACCACCTCTTCTGTAGAACCTGTCTAAATAAGCCAAATTTCCGGTCACTAAAGTAGAACTTGTCCCAATAAGGCAACTTTTCTGTCACTACAGTATAACCTGTCTGAATAAGCCTGATGTTCTGTCATTACAGTATAACCTGTCTAAATAAGCCAAATCTCCTGTCAAGAGGTAGAACCTGCCCCAATAAGGCAAATGTTCTGTCACTACAGTATAACCTGTCAGAATAAGCCAGATGTTCTGTCATTACAGTATAACCTGTCTGAATAAGCCTGACGTTCTGTCATTACAGTATAGCCTGTCTGAATAAGTCAAATATTCTGTCATTACAGTATAACTGTCTGAATAAGCCTGACGTTCTGAGTATAACCTGTCTAAATAAGCCAAATTTTCTGTCACTAAAGTAGAACCTGCCCCAATAAGGCAAATTTTCTGTCACTAAAGTAGAACCTGTCTAAATAAGCCAAATTTTGTGTCCCTAAAGTAGAACCTGCCCAAATAAGGCAAATTTTATGTCACTACAGTATAACCTGTCTGAATTGTAAATGTTCTGTCATTATAGTATAAACTGTCTGAATAAGCCAGATGTTCTGTCATTACAGTATAACCTGTCTGAATAAGCCAGATGTTCTGTCATTACAGTATAACCTGTCTGAATAAGTTTGATGTTCTGTCATTACAGTATAACCTGTCTGAATAAGCCAGATGTGCTGTCATTACAGTATAACCTGTCTAAATAAGCCAAATTTTCTGACACTAAAGTAGAACCTGCCCTAATAAGGCAAGTTTTCTAGCACTACAGTATAACCTGTCTCAATAAGATTAATGTTCTGTCATTACAATATAACCTGTCTGAATAAGCCAGATGTGCTGTCATTACAGTATAACCTGTCTAAATAAGCGACATTTTCTGTCACTAAAGTAGAACTTGCCCCAATAAGGCAATTTTTTTCACTACAGTGTAACCTGTTTAAATAAGCCAAATGTTCTGTCCCCAAAGTAGAAACTGCCCCAACAAGCCAAATGTTCTGTCACTAAAGTAAATCATTTCTGAATAAGCCAAATGTTCTGTCACTAAAGTAGAACTGTCTGAATAAGCCAGATGTTCTGTCATTACAGTAAAACCTGTCTGAATAAGCCAAATGTTCTGTCATTACAGTAAAACCTGTGGAATAGGCCAATTGTTCTGTCATTACAGTATAACCTGTCTGAATGAGCCAGATGTTCTGACATAACAGTATAACCTGTCTGAATAAGCCAAATATTCTGTCATTACAGTATAACCTGTCTGAATTAGCCAGATGTTCTGTCATAACAGTATAACCTGTCTGAATAAGCCAGATGTTCTGTCATAACAGTATAACTTGTCTGAATAAGCCAAATGTTCTGTCATTACAGTATAACCTGTCTGAATAAGCCTGATGTTCTGTCATTACAGTATAACCTGTCTGAATAGGCCAAATGTTCTGTCATTACAGTAAAACCTGTCTGAATAAGCCTGATATTTTGTCATTACAGCAGATCCTGTCTCAATAAGCCACCTGTTCTGGCACTGCAGAAGAATATGTTTTAAGTAACCATATGATTTGTCACCAGAACCAGAAAAGGTGCAATCACACATGGTATTTATATAGTGCTGTAATACTAATGGTGTGAGAGAATTATACAGTATATATCTGATTTTGATCAATATAGAAAATTGAAAGAAAAACATAATGAAATAGTACACTCTTTAATATGATGGCCTACAATTGAGGAAAGCAAAGTAGCTGGTATGCCCAAGGAAGAGTAAAACATTGTTCAAATAAATAAAACATGCAATAAATTTTCAAATTAACAAAAAAACGAAATCTGTGTCATTTTCAAATAATGATAGACAGATGGAAGGATTTTGGACATTGTTTCTGTAAACAGTACAATATTTTGAGGTTTTGAACACCAAAGTACTTGGTAAAAATCCATAATATTTCTTTTCCAAATTTTTAGTAAAATTCATTGACTTGAACAAAATCTTGCATGATATTTTAAACTGTCCCTGTTACCTCATCAGAATAATCGTCATCTTCCCACTTATCTTGAGATCTTTCCTGTTATAAAAACAAGAAATGGTTTTCCTCAAATATTACGACAAGGAGTGCACATTTGGTAATCATTGTATTGTTCTTTCTGTGATGAAGAAGATAGCATTTTGTACATGTTTATAGAGAGAAGGGGTTATGTTTGACTTACTTTTAGACTGCTGGTTTAGAAAAGGGAAGGGCCATGTTTGACTTAAGTCTCAGACTGCTGGTTTTCAGAAGGGAGTGGCTATACTTTGAGAAGGGAGTGGCTATGTTTGACTTAAGCCTCAGATGACTGGTTTTCAGTTTTCAGAAGGGAGGGGCTATGCTTTGAGAAGGGGGGGGGGGGAGGGGGGCACATAATTGACTTAAGTCTGAGACTGCTTGTTTTCAGAAGGGAGGGGATATGCTTTGGGAAGGGAGGGGCCACATTTGACTTAAGTCTGAGACTGCTGGTATACAGAAGGGAGCAGCTATGTTTTATGAAGGGAGGGGCTAAGTTTGACTTAAATATCATACTGCTGATTTAGAGAAGAGAGTGGCTATGTTTGACTGAAGTCTCAACAGCTGTTTTTCAGAAGGTAGCAACTATGTTTCCAAAAAAAAAGGGGCTATGTTGGACTTACTTTCTGATTGCTGGTTTAGAGAAGGGAGGAGAAACATCTGACTTAGTGTCAAGACTCCAGGTTTAGATATTGGAGGAGAAACATTTGACTCAGTCTCAGACTCCAGGTTTAGATATTGGAGGAGAAACATTTGACTAATAGTCCCAGACTTAACAGCAGACTTCAGGTAGTACTGAGTTTAAGAGTTGGGGTACTAGTGAACCACAGATGTCTGTTTATCGCAGCTGGGTGAAATGGAAAGGGGGACAATCAACTAGGTGTCAGGCTCCCGGTAACATTAGGTTTATAACTATCATGAAACCTTTGGAAAAAGCAGTATATGATTCTCAACAAACACTATTCTCCTGTGAGCCATAGAAGATTTAGACTCGTATAATTTTCGTTCATTTTTTTTATGTTAACAAATTTGGAAAAAATGATCATGATTTTCAAAATACCGGTAGTTGTTTTTACCTCATCATCAGAGTTGTCATATTCATCCTGGCCCATGTTTTTCTGCTTATCTTTAGATCTCCTCTGTGATAAATACAGGAAATTTGTAAACTTATCACCATGACAATTATACTGCAAACCCAAGCATCACACATTAATACAGTTAGTATTTTATAGAAAAAAAAAGAAAAAAAACAACAACAACAAAGCATCAAAGTAAATATTGGAAAATGACATATAGACAGAAAGCAAAAAACAAATACATTGTACATTTTTTTTTGCTGCAAGACTGTTTCATTACTTCATAATTTACGGTTAGTGAATGATTCTTGATGATATAGCACCAGTGAAAAGCAACTTACCCGTATTACATGTATTACTTTGGTTCAGGTTAACTGAATAATCTAATCTGCCTATAATTGTTGGTGAACTTCAAAATATTAAGCACTAAACTACTTTAAGCAGGTATTTTTTAGTCATACAAATGCCAACTGGATTGTAACAAACTCTATGAATGCCAACTGGATTGTAACAAACTCTATGAATGCAAACTGAATAGTAACAAACTCTATGAATGCAAACTGGATTGACACAAACTCTATGAATGCCAACTGGAATATAACAAACTCTATGAATGCCAACTAGAATGTGACAATCTGTATGAATGCCAACTGGAATGTGACAATCTCTATAAATGCCAACTGAAATGTGACAATCTCTATGAATGTCAACTGGAATGTGACAATCTCTATGAATGCCAACCGAAAACTGTTCAATGACTAAATATGTTTTACCATTCATTAAAATAACATTAACAATTATTCTACACATTATCCTATGTTTAAAAGTAGTTCAACAAAGATTATACAGTGTACAAACATTCCTACTTAAAAATGATTTATATAATATATTTACAAATTATGCAAGATCATCAAAGATTAAAAAAAATTGCAGTTTCATATAAACCTGCCCTACACATACCCGGGTATGTTAACTAAGTTCAGATAAACTCATTTAACTGAATCTATATCAGTGAATGTCGGTAGATATTGAGAAAGTACACCTGTAACATTGAATACCCGATTCATCTCTACGCTGTCCTTGGTCTGTTCTATGTTAGTTATTAAGTCTTCATTAACAGGCTCTCTGGGAACTAAACATCTGACAAATTTATGTGTTGTGTTACGCTATGTTGGAGAAGTGTAATACAGTAAATAGTAGGATACAGGAAAACTAACATCATGATAAATAAGTGATCTGGATGGTATTATAAGATATTTCGAAAAAGGTAGTCCTTGAGATGTTTCTATCAATGTAGACTTAAGTATTTGTCAGTATAGATACTATCAAGTGTGTTACAATTTCATATCTTGAATACAAGCAGCGCGACCTTGCCAACCTATATTTTCATATTAAATAACAACAAGAGGCCCATGGGCCTTAACGGTCACCTGAGTCTATAGTATTTATTTTTGTTGTTGAAATATGTACCAATTTGAGTAAAAAATAGTATAATGTTAACTTAACTTTGTCAGGACCATGAGCTGATCATTCCTAGACCAATTTTAAGTGAGATCGGCCTATTAGAACTTAGTAGCAAAATAGCGGCCATGGCAGCCAAATTGTATTTCTGATTGACCCGAAAAATAACAACACTTTGTCAGGACCATGAGGCGATCATTCCTACCAACTTTCAGTTCAATCGGTCCAGCAGAACTTGACTTTAAGTTTGAAATAGGTTTTCAAAATGGCGGCCGTGGCGGCCATATTTGATTTCTGATCGACCCGAAAAATAACAACACTTTGTCAGGACCATGAGGCGATCATTCCTATCAACTTTCAGTTCAATCGGCCCAGCAGAACTTGACTTTAATTTTGAAATGTAAAATGTTAACGGACGACGGACGACGGACGACGACGGACGAAGACGGATAGCAATAGGTCACTTGAGCTAAAGCTCAGGTGACCTAAAAACTTTCCCAATCCCTTAAATATGTAGAATAAACCAGCCCCAGGTGTTTTGCAGGTGGAATATTGTACACTCCTGGGTTTCAAACATGTAAACGTTTAAATGTTGTCAAAAGGATATTATGAATTTAATTTTAGTAGTGGTTTGGTTTCAATGTAACATAATCCAATTTTATGTTAGGTCATATGATGACGGATTAGTTTTTGTTGGCCATTATTAATCATACAGACAAAAGCCCAATAAAATATGCTGATCACAAGCCCCTGGGATTATACTATTAGCCAGCCACCCGTCCACCTGTCTTTTTGACAGGCAGTTTTCTGAAAGGGACCTATTTTGACAGGCAACTTTCCACTATAAAACCGTACTATTGTATATCAATTTTGACAGGCAGTTTTGTAAATTTAGTAGCAATATCAATATTTTGATCAGGGACATTTAAAATCCTGGCTTAAACCCTGCATGGAATCCAAATATTTTGTTCATTAAAATAGGCATTATTTATTTTAAACTTGTAAAGTACCCGGTATATGTACATGTACTGGATTGAGACTGAGTTTGTATTAAGTCTCAATTCTTGAGAGGAATATTTATTATTGGCAAGCATGACTAGTGGTTAGATGTTATCGGCTATATGAGCTCAGTGGTAGTTTGTGTGTTTTAAATCATGTGGCTTGTTTAAACATAAAGACAAGCAAACAAACACAATAATATTAAACAGAAGTTAAATGTCACAATGTGTACGTTATATTGCATTTGTGTGTGCACTTGTGTGTATGTATTCTCAGTATAATTAATTGATGGCTTTTTAAACTGTTTAGAAAGGAAAAGGGGGATACAAACAAAAAGTCATGTAAACTAATGATCCTTCTATCCATTTCAAGCGTTAGGTAAACATACCCAGATGCCCTTATAAGGAGCCAGAACTGATAACAAAAATCAAAAGACAAAATCACCATGAGCATTCACCCCCCCCCCCCCCCCCCCCTCCATCAACACCAAACCAACACAAACATCAACAACTCACCTTATCTGGTTTTTGATTTTTTCTCATCTCTTCCTCTTCCTTTTCTTTTTTCTGTTTCTCTCTCTGTCTAACCTTTGACAACCAAGACTGAAACAGGTCCTCATTATAACTTTGTTTATCTTCTTCGTCCCTTTTCCTTCTTCTTTCGTCCTCCCTTCTTTGTTCCTCCTTTTGTTTATTTTGTTGCTCCAACATATCTTTCTCCTTCAGCGACAAGGCATATGGTGACCGATAGTTGGCATTCAGAGGAAAAGAATGATTAATAGGAGTATTTCTTGATCCTGCCGATTGTGCCCGAGTTTTTTGGGCGGGTCGCATAGACCTGCGGGAGGGTCCTGTCGCTGTGGAGGGTCGGGGGTTAGATGGGGGTGCTGGTTTTCTGTTAAACGATGAAGATGAATTATTATTGTTTGTGTTACCAGCACCACTAATGTTATCCTCGTTCTCTTTGTCGTTGTCAAACAGGGGAATCCCCATATCATCTGCCGTCACTTCATCAGCATTTACAAGTTCAAAATTTCCTCCTCTTTCTATCAACACTTTGTTGTCTGACCGTTTTGTTCCAGGGGGAGTATTAGAGTTATTTTTTGAGGTTTCCGATTTATCTGAAACGGTGTTACTTTCTTGATTCTGTTGTGGACCTTCTTCCCCCTCACCATAGTCAGGAGGGGGCGCTACAAGATCCACAAGGTCTTCCTTGAACAAAACACGAGATTCTCGTTTTTTATCCGTTGGCGTAGTATCGTTGGCGAGCTCCTCGTTGAGCTGTTTTACACGAGCTGTCACGTCGTACTCTGGAGGATCCTCTGTAGGTAGACCGTCATCTGTACAAGATTAAATAACACGTCTGGTTATGACACAGCAAGACACATAGGCACCAATAGATAACTTTTACAACAGACTTGTAAATAACTTTTTTTAAAACAAACTTTATTACATGTACATGCAGAACAGGGGGGCCGAATTTTGAATAGACATGCTTCCTGCTTTGTCGGAGACCGTAACCTCTCTAAATCAAATACTGCATATCAGTAATATACAAAGTGTGTGCGAACTTAGGTGTAGATTTTAGAGTACTTTGAACCTGTGCAATCCAAAAGGCTGTGTATTTAAACTGTGATATTCCATTTAGACAGGTTCACTGTACATAAGAAATATCAAGCTCATTTTAAACCTTGATTCTGCAAAAGTTTTAAGAGTAGACAAAAGGATCTTCAGAATCAACTTATAGACATAATGATGTAAGGAGTCAAATTAAGTCATAATGATGTAAGGAGACAAATTAAGACATAATGATGTAAGGAGACAAATTAAGACATAATGATGTAAGGAGACAAATTAAGACATAATGATGTAAGGAGACAAATTAGGACATAAGGATATACAGAATTAACATACAGACATAAGGATCTACAGAATCAACATACAGACATAAGGATCTTCAGAATTAACATACAGACATAAGGATCTACAGAATCAACATACAGACATAAGGATCTACAGAATCAACTTACAGACATAAGGATCTTCAGAATCAACAACAAATTAAGACATATGTATCTAAGACATTCCATTTAAACACAGGGTTTTCTATTTCATTTTTTGGAAAAGAATCAACACTTACGTTCATGTTCAGCTTTGGTTCACTAATGATACTGTTTCATGAAATGTCACCTACTTTACATTCTATTATCATTTTTATCCTTGTTATGGTGATTCTCATTTACCTATATGAAATATTCTAATATTTACCAATGTTACAAAGATTCTCTTACACTTACCCATATTAAAGAAATTTCCTGCAATAAGCCCAAAGGGCCAACACATAAACTTGAAGTAGGACTGGGTTTATAGCCGGACAATGAAATAGCCCTTGTTCTATTGAACTGTATTTGACATGGACCAATTACCAGACATGAGCCAGATAAATATGGTATCTCAAACCTACCCATGTTACGGAGATTCTCCAGCTCCATCATGGCCCGTTTCTGATCTTCGCTCAGTTCCTGTTCGTCCCACTCATCATCAGTTGACTTTTCACCAGATGTTTCCCTCTGTCCTTTTTCCTCAGTCTCTCCCTCACTATCTGAGGCAATGTTATTGCTCTTTGGTGGCTCATTGACCTTCAGGATAAAGAAAAAGAAAAAATTATTGATTGTTTATTCTGTTCACACAAGAAAAAGAGTTTTTCCCTTCTTATGTCACATTAAATATTCATATCAAGGCTGTTCGGACATCCATCTCTGAGACCATGAAAAATTCAGTCTTGTGTATCAAGTGATCATGTATACGGTAACAACTCCACCAATATATGGTAATTATACACCCATACTGGTATTTCATTGGACAACAGAGGTCACATGGTCCACAGTATCTACGATTTTGAGAGATAATCCCTTTAATTGCTATTAGATAGACATCATACAACAAAAATAGGTACTTAGAATAGGTGATGCTGGAACCCTTCTGATGAATCTTTTATAGATTCTCTTATCTTATTCACCTTAGGGGGTTAGTCAAATACAATTATCAACCTCTGGACATTTCCAGTATGTATGTACTCAATAATGTACCTCGGGTTTCCTGTGCTGGCTAATTTACTATATAGGTCATGCTTAATCTTATACAAGCTTTGAAATGAAAATGATAACTAAGGTCACTACTGTATTTATTGCCGATTTATTACATTCATTTAAATTTTGTCTGAATAATAATAATAATTTGAGGTTCCTTTATACTGCTTTATCACAACCTAGTTCATAAGTCGTCTCAAAGCGGTTCACAAATTATTATACAGCAGCAAACAGCCGTTGCTGCCATTTCGGCGCTCACAGCTAGCATTCTACAATTCTAGCACTGCCCAACCACATACTCATTTACAGCAGAGTAGACTGGAACAAGCGGAGTAAAGTATCTTGCTCAAGGATACCACACAGTGCCGTGCCTAGCTGATATGTATGCAAATATAATGTAAGTAAGACACAGCTGTCAAACCTCCCTCATAAGGAGGGAGACTCCTTCAATTTGACCAAAATTTACCAATCTGCCTTGAAATTCCCTCATTAAATCCAAACACAAAGTCTACATCCTGTGGTCAATTGATCTCCTAGATCCTGCAGAGTGTGTGTAATGATCATAACAGGTGTGTCTGAATCGAATGAATGTTTTTAGGAGTTATTTTAATACATAAAAAAGGAAAGATAAATTGAGAAAAGCAGTTTCAGTCGCCTTTCACACCCTTCTCCCTCATTGGAAATATGGAATGAACTGATCATGACTCATTTGAGGTTTCAGAGGTTGACACCTTTGTTAGAGAGAAGATTGCAACCACTATTAAAACCATATCCTTAACCCAGGATCAGTCTTAGATGTAAATCCAAATGATCTTTGTTGATAAGTAAACAAATAATCATGAAAATGAGTCACAATTTTGCAAAATAATGGATATATATATATACAATATGTGCCTTCATGTCTATGTATTTTGATACTGGACTGAAAAAAATACAACATTTTAATTTGGACTGGGGTCTAGATTGTTTCATGATGTATAAAAACACTTGTAAAAAGAGTACCTGCTTTGATATTTATAAGTTAAATAAGAAAACAAATAAGAGCAGGGGAGATAATTACTGTAAAGCAGGGGAGATAATTACTGTAAATAACTAGTCTATGTCAATGGGTGTTTGTTTCAGCTGTACTTGTTGACAGCACAATGTTTGTTGATCAGTGTCGGTTGCATGGTACAACATATCTAAGACATTACACATACAATAGGCTATTGACATACCACTTGTCGATGTGAACAGGACCAAAGAGCACAGATCATAGGCCCAGTATAATACACCTATATCATTCTAGAGTTAAAAGGACAGATGAGGCCTCCAATCAACTCCACAGGTAGGTTTAAATGTACACAAAAAAAAAAAATCCTGTTTATATATATATATACATGTATTTACTTCAACCCACGCCAGCGCTAAATTCTAGTTCTGTCCATTATCATTGATTGTTAGAAATTGATATGCTTCAGGGCAGTTCATATGGAAAAAAAATGCCTGGATTTTTTTTTACATAAGTTACCGAGGACAATTTGCTTGTGTGTCGAAGCATCTGTAGGCTATAGCCCCGTAACATGAAATGTATGTTTTTTTTGCTCTATATTGTCTTGTGTAACAAAGGGCATCTGTAATTCAGCAATAACGTTCAGATATCACAAACCAATCCTTATAGTCCAGCATTTTTAAAGACACACAGGTACCTATTACGGAACTTTCTATGACGTATGATATTCGTAAACAACACGCCTGTAATAACGCCCAGTAAACATAATTTAGACATATAACTCATTTAATACAGACACAAGTATTTGTCAAAGATTTTCATGATACGATTTAAAGACTTATCAAATTATTCAATTTTGAATTTGACACAATGAGTGTGTCACACGTACTACAAGAAATGATATTTGCCAGATTTATGAATTGACTCCAATTTTTCGGTTCGTAACGGTAACTATAAACAATTTCATTTTATCAATGACAGCATGTAAACAATATTGTGAGTTTGTTTGATCAAAGATTACCTGGATTTTTGATGTTAACAAAATGCACAAGTGAACAATTTACCTACATCTTACTAAAGGCTGGTTCCATGTTTATTTAGCCTACACTATGATTACAACATTTTAGTAGTGTATTACTTTATAAAGACTGTTTAAATATTATATTAACCTGTATTTCATCATATCTTTTCTATATTATATATGCACTAAGGCTTTTTTATACAAAATAGGGTGAATTTTTCAGAAATTAAAGCATTTATGGTTTGACTTGCTTGGTTTGTGCTTTACATCTTATTAACATTATGGTCATTTTTAAGGATGGGCCACATTTTCGTGGTGGAGGAAGACTGGAGTACCAAGGAAAAACCACGGACCTGCAGCTAGTGCCTGGCAACTACCCCACATAAGCTTCGAACCCGCAACCCAGTGGTGGAGGGATTGTGATCATAGATGTCGGAAACCTTGGCCACCACTTCCCAACAATAATGATGGATTTTAGAATTCATGTTTAGAATGCAACTACAGAACAAAAGAAAGGAACTAAAAGTAGGGTTTTGAAACAAACAGTGTAACTGGTACTGATGCACTCTGTTGTGAGATTTTAATGATCTTATCTCTGATAAAGTAAGCCAACAGATCACAAACAAAGGAAGTGGGGAGGGGCATTTAATTGAAAAAATATGGTAAACATTACATGTTCAACTTGTTTACTGTACTATATAAACACACTGCAAGTCGAAAATATTGAAAACTTGCTATGCCAATTCTTACAAGGCTTAAAAAGATATAAAGGTAAATAATTGTAACAGAGGTCATTATATTTTTAATGCTTCCACTAGGAGTTGAACCCAGGCCCTATGGTTTACTAGTTTTACGCTTTACCAATGAGCTAAAGAGAGGGTCTCCCTAGCCAAGTCAGTAGGATGTGGCTGGTTTTTTACCAGGGTGACATAATCCCCCTCCAAGGAAGAACTTGTCCTGAGTTTTCCAGGGGTCATAGCAATTTCTTTGCAAGTATCACTAGTATTATGTCAATATATCCCTGGTCCCTGTGTGTAACAGGTCATTATTTCTTCATTGCCTCTCTGTTAGGAGTCGATCCCGGGACCTCTGGTTTACTTAAGTCTTACGCACTACCAAATGAGCTAAAGAGAGATTTACCTGGGTGACAAAATGAATTCAAGACTTCTGATTAAATACACATTAAGACAAGTCTGCCATTATATATCTGTGTGCAAAATACATTATGTTGTCAATACAGTAGACAAAGTAAAACCTGTCTAATTTGAAACTCTGTGCAGGTGGGGTCCAATAGCATTCTTTGCCAGGTAACCATGACAACCACCATAAACAGTTTATCAATCTATGTTATAGCTTACTCATCCCTGCATGTGTCTGCATGTATAGGTATAAGTTACAAATATTAATGAAGAAGTAGAATGAATAATGAGGAGATCAAGATAGAAGACAAAAGCATGAAATAATAGGACAGTAATTTTAGTTTATCTTAATCTGCTTTCATACCTTCACATTTAATCTAATCTTATACAGATTGACCATTTACATTAAATGTGGAATCAACTATATACAGATCTAATGTCTGTATTCCGACAGTTTATCCAGTATGTAACATCTATCTGATGGCCTAAGGTTGTTTTACTGATATCTCCCTTAATTATTGTGTGATGCATGTCATTTTTCAAATTAAAAGTAACAGAAACAATTTTGCTAAAACCTTTTGTATGACAGGGCATTATTGGGTGAATCCACAGAGATGACCCTTGACCTCACACACATGGAGAGAAAGGCTATTTATCTGCATGACAGCATAGTTTTTAAAATATATCATCATCGATCATGGACTGTTTCTAACATTAACATGTAACAATTGTCTCATACAGAATTATCTCATGCATTTTATAACTCGCCAAACCTTTGTTGACAAGAGCATGTGATCAATAAATCCTAAAGTTTTGTCTGTTCCCCATGTGTTGATAACAACAAATCATGTTTCATCATAAAGAATATTGGAATCCTAGTAATCTTCTGCCCTGCTAGCCTACAGAGGACGCAATAAAATCCTATTTTATACCAAATCCATTGTTGTGAGGTTAAATATAGAGCTGTATTGCCACCCTCCACTGACCAGATGATCTTGTGGGAGGGAATATCTGTCATATTGGTTTTACAGGCATACCAAATATTACCAGTATCTTTTTTATATCATGATGTTTAAAGGTCAACACGGAGAAGATAACCTGTAATCAAAAGATTTAATAAAATATCAATAAAAGCTGGAATTGTTAGCTTCCCTGACTATTGGCTTGGTTAGATGATTATAACGGTATTATGTTGCAGTTTTCGTTCTGTTCTCCATCACTTCTCGATTTACACACGGTATGTATATATTTTAGCCTCGTCTACATGTACCAAGTGAAGCATAAACCTAAAATTGTATTTCAGTTTTAATTAATTACACATGACCACGCTTGCCTAGTGTAAAAAAACTATATTACTCCAAAACATATAAGGGTTTCACATGCCTATGAAGTATTTATTGATGTATATGCAAATATTTGAAGTATTTGTCATTATCATGATGGAATGTCATAAATGTGTCGTCAGTGTCTGTGTCGGTCGCTAGCCTGGGTACCCCATTACCTGATGTTTGGCGTGGTTGTCACAGAGAAGTTAAGCGTTAAAGGCCTATACCATTATCTATAATAAACACCCAATACTGGAATGTACACTGTTCTGGTGACTTGTACAAACATCTACCCGCACGGCAATAGCTTACCTACATTTATAAACTCAAAAGTCAACAAGTTGCTGAAACATTAGCAGCAATAGTTCATAACACAAAAGGAAAGATATGAGTCTGGTGGAACATTCATTCAACCAGTAGGAGATATGACATTTAATTGTCCAGTAGGATATGGGACACTCAATTGTCCAGTAGGAGATAGGACATGCAAGTGTCCAGTAGGAGATAGGACATTTAAGTGACCACTAGGAGATAGCACATTCAACTGTCCAGTAGGAGATAGGACATTTAAGTGACCACTAGGAGATAGCACATTCAAGTGTCCAGTAGGAGATAGGACATTCAAGTGTCCAGTAGGATATGGGACACTCAATTGTCCAGTAGGAGATAGGACATTCAAGTGTCCAGTAGGATATGGGACATTCAAGTGTCCAGTAGGAGATAGGTAATTTAAGTGACCACTAGGAGATAGCACATTCAAGTGTCCAGTAGGAGATAGGACATCCAATTGTCCTGTAGGAGATATGACATTCAAGTGACAAGTAGGAAATAGGACACTCAATTGTCCAGTAGGAAATAGGACACTCAATTGTCCAGTAGGAGATAGGACATTCAACTGTCCAGTAGGAGATAGAACATTCAATTGCCCTTTAGGAGATGGGGCATTCAATTGTCCAGTAGGAGATGTGACATTCAATTGTCCTTTATGAGATAGGACATTCAACTGTCCAGTAGGAGATCGGACATTCAATTGTCCTTTAGGAGATGGGACATTCAATTGTCCTTTAGGAGATGGGACATTCAATGTCCAGTAGGAGATGGGACATTTAACTGTCCAGTAGGAGATGGGACATTTAACTGTCCAGTAGGAGATCGGACATTCAATTGTCCTTTAGGAGATCTGACATTCAATTGTCCTTTTGGAGATGGGACATTCAATTGTCCTTTAGGAGATGGGACATTCAATGTCCAGTAGGAGATGGGACATTCAACTGTCCAGTAGGAGATCGGACATTCAATTGTCCTTTAGGAGATGGGACATTCACTGTCCAGTAGGAGATGGGACATTCAATTGTCCTTTAGGAGATGGGACATTCAATTGTCCTTTAGGAGATGGGACATTCAATGTCCAGTAGGAGATGGGACATTTAACTGTCCAGTAGGAGATGGGACATTTAACTGTCCAGTAGGAGATCGGACATTCAATTGTCCTTTTGGAGATGGGACATTCAATTGTCCTTTAGGAGATCTGACATTCAATTGTCCTTTTGGAGATGGGACATTCAATTGTCCTTTAGGAGATGGGACATTCAATGTCCAGTAGGAGATGGGACATTCAACTGTCCAGTAGGAGATCGGACATTCAATTGTCCTTTAGGAGATGGGACATTCAATGTCCAGTAGGAGATCGGACATTCAACTGTCCAGTAGGAGATCGGACATTCAATGTCCAGTAGGAGATAGGACATTCAACTGTCCAGCAGTAGATCGGACATTCAATGTCCAGTAGGAGATAGGCCATATTATATCATAAAATCATACTAATACCCCGCGAACAACCAGTAATTGTGCTTACAAAACACGTAAGAATTACTGTGGAGTTGTATTTAACAATAAAACTCAACATATTACATATCATTTTTTTCTTAATAAGATCTTGTGCTATAATATTTCATCATAAAACTGAACTATATAGGTATAGATCAGTCAGGTTTATCCTACCTGTCTATACTCTAGCTACCGCATATACCAGCTGAGTAGACTGGAACAAGCAGAGTAAATAGTATCTTGATCAAAGATACAACACCTTGCCGTGGCTTGACATGAACCCGCAACCCTTCGGTCACGAGCCTGGCGTCCTACCACTAGACTTCCATGTCCACATAAACATGATATAATTCCTAAATTATTACAAAGTTAAAATTTAAATTGATCATACACATGTATCAGCGATATTAAGTATACTTATAATTATATCATAGTCTGTCCCTTATGACTAATAAGGAAACTTCTATTGATTTATTGATCCTAGAGTCGTAAGTGACAAAGGTTCCAGAATACCCTTAAGAGTAAACTTATAAATGTTTAGTGTGCGGTATAATTGATCATCAATTAACATGTAAATGTTGTTGCCGGTAACTAGGATGTAAACACACAACCTGCACTATCCACACGCATGTATACCGCCTTACCTGTTCTCGACAAAAATGAAATGCCAAATAAATAAATGTCTAAACCTGGATACCAGTAATGGCAACCTGAAGTTAATCCCCTTTGATGTTTTACCTGTGATTTACCTGTGATTTACCTGTGTAACATCAGAGTTTAAGTCTCCATATTATGTCCTGGGTTAAGCTGTACCACCATTTACCTGAAGATTATCTTAACTTCAAAAAACGTTCTTAAAAGGTGTTTTTATTCAAAAGATCTTTCAACTTTTATCCCCCGTTATCTGGTATGATATTTTAATGTTCACTTCCAAAAAGGAAATAGTGTTTTTTTAATTTAATCATCTATAAAGTAAAATACTGTTATACATTTTAATACATAGTTAAGCTACTCATACATGAGAAAAAAGGTTTAAATCCTATTAGTTCTAACAGATCTCAAAGGTAATAATCCCATCATGATTAACCTCCTAGTCTAAAATTGTAATCACAAACCCTACAGGTGTGTATAGAAACTTGTATTTACTTACATTTTTGTCCTCTTTGGTTTCTTTGACTGGCTCTGGTTCCGTTTTCTCCTCTATGAAAGCATCTAGTTCCTTGTCGAGGTCATCCTCCTCATCACTGATAAACGACTGTGACTGTGATGTACTCATGTTGACAATATGTCTGTAAACAAAAACAAAACATTACTATTTACTGATATTTACTATAATAATACTTCAAACAACAAACATTTCAATAATAACATCAAAGAAAAAAGAAAACTACATGTATATTTAGTGCCGAATTACATACAAAATTAAACAATTAACAAGGAATTGTTGAATTTATTTTTCCTTTATCTATACAGTTAAGCCCAGTTTATCTAGCTTTCTTTATCCGGTCTTCATAATATCCAGTTATTATTTTAGGAGATAGACGGAAACTATTAACCTGGTAGTCTACATGTAAATCCAGCCATCTCAAAATCCAGCCACTTTTGTTGAGAATGAAGGTGTCTGGATTATCAAGGTTCTGAAAGTCACTGTACTTGTATTTTCCTTGAAATTGTTTTTCTCTTAAGGAAGTTCTTAAATTTGATACAGAGAAATCCATATTCTGAGCACAGATACACTGTGTTTGGGGATTGTTTTCCCTGCAGTACACTTATAACACCCATATTTCTGATATTTGATGTTTAATTTCAGTCACTACAAAATTTTGTAAGCAATGCTTTGAAACCTATTATGTTTAATTTGTTGCCTAAAAAAATATAAAATTCTTTCAATTTAATAATGGTTATTTGATTTTGACCTTGATCTATCTTCAACTCCCCATTTTAGTGGTTTTTTTTTCAATTACACTTACTACTACACATAATTTCTTGTTAAATAATCATTACCTATCTGTCACACCTTAAACTTTTAATGCACGATTGTAATTCAAATTGTATTAAAAACGGGTTGTTTCTTGTCCTGTCTAAAAATAAACACACACAATAGACGGTCGATTCTAATTCAACAGTGTACAGCACACAGTAGTAAACCAACAGCGGGTATATATTTACAGTGCAATAAAAACATCTGATTGTCTTTTATATAAATACACAACAAGTTGCTAAATCTGACAACATAGTGCAGACGTGTGCCAAATAACATTTATATCAACCTTAATTATACCCCTGTCATTCACAGTACAAACCTTAGACAGGCCAGACCTTTTTTTTTTATCAGAATACGACAAATATACCAGTACATGTACGTCATAATCCTGATCATCTGCTTCTTAATGAAAATTTCTTTTACTTTCATCTCAACATAATTTCAATATAACTGTTTTTCATTTTCATGAGACAAAATTATATAAAGCATGAAAACAACTGTTATGATAAGAAAAAGGGGTTGTGGCTTTATCAAACTAGGGTAAGTCTGATATGTACATAGGGAACAGTGCTCTTGCTTTCTATTTTGAAAACATCTTATTTTAAATATTTCTCTTCTGAATGTCAAAATTTTCCCTAGATTTCTAACTCCTGTCATGCGCGACTGCTACATTTCAGTTGATCAAAATGAGACTGAGTCAGAAAAAAACCTTATCCACCACAAAGAAGAAACTTTGTATTTCATTATATGAACACCATTTGTATTTGCGAAACATTACTCCTGTTTTTATAATCATCTCCTTTAAAAACAAATTGAAGGGGCGGAGATAGACTCTGCCTCATCAAAAAAAATTGAAAGGAGATCATCAGTTATTTCGGACTAGCAAAAAATATACAGTCATCAGTATACATGAACAGAAAAACATGTTTTATTTCATTAAAAATTCATTATTGTACCTTCAGGGTATTTAATTAAGGAATGTCTTCCTACGTAATGATGTTATAGGACAAATCACTGTGAACAGACATTCCTTAATGAAGTACACTGTACCCTGAAGGTACAATAATGAGAACCTTAATGAAATAAACAATCTTTTGTGTAAAGTAATTCCTTAGTAGACCTCATAACATCTGCTAAGGAATCACCTGACACACAAGATTGTTTTATCATTAGTACAATGCATACACAAAGTACAATGTAGCGTACCTGATACTGTTACATTTTCTTTGGTTAGTCTTTTATTGCTAAACAGACATTAAGATGTAGTCTGTCAATATCTTCCAATGTTTTGATTTCCAAAATGAAGCACATCCAGAGTATTTCTCTAGCTTTCCAGATATTTCAGTTGTCAATATATACAGTCCAATAACCTGCTGGCCACTAGGTACGTTACATGATCTCGCTCATTACTTGGTAATCATATGATGATCATGGGTTTTGGGAAACACTGGTAAAGTTACACTGTCCATTTGTAACATAACAAACAAGGGTTTTTGTTAATACACTCCCGAAGATGGTGACGTCATTATTACGATAAAGTACTAACGGTAACACTTCTATAGACAAGACGACAACACAACATTAATATTAATGAAGTTTGTCTGTATATAAATATTCCACATTTCTAATAGATACTGCTGCTGTGTACCTCATTTTTTTGCGCCACAGAAATCCGAATCCTGGACTCTTTGTTTCTCCTGTGAGACTCGCCCTGAATTAGAGAACCTACTTGGTCACTTAGTGATGGGAACCATGCATCAACACTTTAAAAAAGATTTTCAGGAATCACTTGAAAAAATCCTACAAATAAAACTGGGTTCTATATTTATACAGAAGGATAAAACAATAAAAGAAGATTTACCTGAACCCTCTCCATCGAGAGGATCAGAGTCCGTATGATATATTGATTATTTGTGTGGCTAGCTATTGGCCTTATGAGTTTGACGAGGATGAGCCCCAGGTGTTGTTTTCTGATTGATTATTTATAATGTTTACCTGTTGTATCCATCATATCTTACAGTTCATGACCACATGGTCGGCACTGGAGGCTGCCGTCAAATCCTCTAAAAATAACAACTAGTCGTCAAGTAACAACGGCAATCATAGAAACAATTGATTCCCATCGTCTGATACCCACGGTTGATTTCGCTGCGGTCAAATCAACCGTGGGTATCCGACGATGATTGCTTCCGTACTGCCGTTAATTCCTGTTAAATATTCATTACCCTGATTAAACTGTCTTGCATATGTGTACTACGTATACTGTTTCATGTGATGCAACGCTAAAAATACTTTCAACTTTTCAAAAAAAAAATTATACAGATACTGGGAGCCACGCAAAGTTTAATCAAAGTTGTATAGAATTTGTTGTGCATTTTGGCATTGGTTAAAACATCTTACGTCTAAACAAATTTTTGTATCTAAATACAAGCTTTTTTTAACATTTTTCCATCAGTTGGACAAAACCATCTAGTGAACTTTCATTCTACCTTTACGAAGGCATGACATGTTTTAGGAATCGGGGAAAATATTGTGGTATTTTCTACAAAATTGGGAAAATATCTAAAGTTTCATAGAACACAATATTACACATCAATGAATACATTTTTAAATTGGATTTAATTGAGAACTCAAAAGGATAGAGAAAAAGACATTTAAATTGGGTTGATATCTGAATGTTCATTAAAATCAGTGCATGTAATTGATTTGTTTGCTCCCTCCCCCCCCCCCCCCCCCCCCCCCAAATAAAATCCTACTGAAGTAATCATTCATAAATATTAGTATACATATATATGTTATGATCTTCCTTATGGCTATTTTTGAGAGGAAATTACTTCGAGAATAAAGTTTTGTTTGGCTTATTGCTAGTGCTATAAATAGTTTTGTCTAGATCCAAGTTCATTTATGCTTGTGTTTGTATCAATCTGCGTCCACTCCAGTGTTATCTGACTTAATGATAATTGTCATCACTCTAATACCACAACCTGTGGTAGTCATCGGGAGGTAATCGGTATTGATGAACAGCTTAGGGACGGACGAACATGTAATCCATCAACACAGCCAGGTTAGTTGTTGTACACCATGCTTGCAGCCAAACAAAATTAATATGTTAGTACAGATATAGTGATATAGAGTGCTCTATATAAATCTACTTGCGCTTCAAATATAAGTGTATGGCACTAAATTGCCCAATAATATAATACCTTGAATGGTTGTTATTGCCACCAGACATGTGATTAAATATTACTTTATTACAAACATAAATGAAGATAAATGCAGCATGCTTTCTTTAAAATGTGCATACCATTAGGCATACAAACACATTTTGTGACTCTCAAAACAAAACAAAATAATCAATATATACAAAAGTACCAAAACATGAACACGAAGGACAAATCAGAATGAAGGTAAATACATGAAAAAACAACATGATTCAATACATCATATAGAATGCACTATAAAACATTTGTGTTATCATGTGCCAAGAAAATTTACCAAAAATATTACTCAAATAAAGACAGATATATTAAGATATCCATGAAAATGTAGCATATCATTAATGATTAACCAGTGATGGGCAATCGGTTTAAAATCATAATCGATAATTGGTTTGTCATCGGAAGTAGTAAACCGATCGATGATCGATTGCATAATCTGTTCATAATTTCATGGGACTGTATACCCAAATAAAGTGAGAACACTACCATTAGATCAATAGACAGAGTTGTTAACTACACAACAGGTTTTGTTCTTTTATAATGAATGGATTTCAAGCAATTTTTATGCAGTTTTATCAATCAAATAGTAAAAATCATAAGAATATATGCCTTTCAATACATTTTTTACACTGAAAACATTTAACACTTTGATTTTAATAAAGAACCGAATATATCGATAATGGAATTTGAAATCGATAATCGGAATCGGAAAGGGCAAACCGATTGATTTTTGATTATAAACATTTAACACTTCGATTTTAATAAAGAACCGATTATATTGATAATGGAATTTGTAATCGATAATCGGAATCGGAAAGGGCAAACCGATCGATTTTCATTTATAATCGATCATCAGCCCATCACTATGATTAACCTAATAATATTAAATTATATGCATGGTACTTGCAGCAGTTCTATAGATAAAAGCATATACAGTACATATATATGTATACATGTACTTAAAAATCTCAACAGGCAAAGGAACAGTAAAGACGATCTGAACTTGAAGAACTTAAACCATGCAGAAAGTAGTGAGTGTTATTAAAGATAACTGAATAAAAGCCTAAAATGCATGTGTTATTACTGTACAGTAAAACCTGTCTAATCCAACACCCTGGTGGCTGGGTTAGAGAGGAATCAGGATGTCACTATATACAGGTTTTATATTGTCAAGGTGTTTTATACTAGGATTTGAAACGTTGGTCAGATATAACTGGCTGTCAATATATTCAGTGAAGACAAATAAGACAGGTTTCATTAATTAACAATAGAGAAAATAACATCACACAGCGACACAAACCATATTTATCAAGAACGTTCAGGCGTGTACAATTTAATATAAATTAAGATTAAAGCCAACAGATTGATTTTGAAAAGTTCAGTTTTTATTGAAAGCTTTCACTAGCTTTAACACAAAATGTATAAGCTCCAGTCGTCGGGTTAGTGGAACTGTACACCCCTGAAATCACACCATAATGGACTGAATATAAACCAATATAAAGCTATCAATTCAATTTGAATTTGAAACCCGGACACATCAGATCATCAAGATAGATAAAGGGTCACATCAAATATTCACATGAGACTATTACACAGGCTTACTGTATATGTAATGCGGAAAGAATTGCTGACTTGACATGCAAGCACACAAACACATGAAGTAGATAGTTTAATGATATGTATGGCAATTGTACAAATCACCAGTATGTACTATAAACAAAATGTACATAGCCTCTGTGTATGTACAGTACACAACAAAACAGGGTAAGGCATGATGTGTGTTGTATGTGGCATATCCACTTTCAAACACCATGCATAAACCTTGCAAAATATTCAGCCTTGTTTCGAGGATCTATGTTTGTAAAATCTATCAAACCAGTTTTAGTAAATTCACTGTAAATAAAAAAGAGATATAAACATTACTGTTTATTTAATTTAATAAATATTAATTCTGTGTCTAAAAGAATCACAATATTTGTTGAATTGTAAGTTTCAACTGCTGTTGAAGGAAAAGAAACAAATACTGGAAAGGTTTACCCTCTAAGTGAAGAATCCTTGAAATCCTAATGTAGCCTGTAGGTAATATTGCATTTTCCTTTTTGCAAAAATATTTTTTCTTACATATTTTTGCATGTAATTCATTACATATAATAGAAATATGGAATAGGTCTGTACTAAAATTGAGCCGATAGCAATTACAGTCCAATTTTTCTAGTGTAAATATTATGTTATCAAGATTGTAAATTCCAACTAAACCATCTATATCTATTCTAGCAACCATGAATTAATGCTTTTATGTACTTTTTAAGCAAAATCTTGGCAACACAATTTGTTAAAGGAATTGTAAAAGTTGTCAAGACTTGTCAAATGCATAGTTTAAATGTTATTATTTTCAACTTTAATAACTAAAAAATATATTGGTTAATCTCGTTGAAATTGTCATGCTAATCAATATTTTCTATGTCACTTAAATGTCAATATTTGATTTTGTAATGTAAACATTACCAATTACATCTGTACACAACTGCGCTAGTTTTGCTGACAGCCCTTAATCTGTTACACAGATTAAGGAACCAATGAATTGTACCATTCTACGCCAATGTTACCTTGTATAACTGAAGTTTGGTACTGTGATAAAAAGTTTCTACCCCGATATGTTACTGTAATAATAATAATAATTTTATGATGTAATAATATATGTTACAATAATAACACAAACAAGAGGCCCATGGGCCTTAACGGTCACCTGATATATTTATACAGAGAGTTGATTTTGTTTTTTACATGAACAGAAATATTATTCAAAGTGACAAAAAACAATAAAACCACCTAAACTCAATATCTAGCATATAGATTTCAGACTAAAAAGGATTTGAAACTAGCACCTCTGATTCTTAACAAGGAAAATGAAGAAATTTTAGCACACTGACTCCTTTGAGCCCCACCCTACAGCCCTTGGGGGTAGGGCTGGCTCAAAATTTTCAAAGTATCAAACTGTCAGTTCAAGGTTATAATTCCAATCAAGTTATTAACATGTAATATTCAAAGTATCATTTGCCATTATAAACCATAATAAATTTTGCCCCCCCCCGCACCCTCCTTCCCCATGGGGTAAACATGAGACCCTAGGGTCATAAACCTTAAGACCCTTCCATCTATGAAGAGTATTTGATTCTACCATATCTGGGTCTTGA